AGTTGGCTCTGGAATGTCTGGAATGCGGAACTCCTTCCAACGTTCCCCCTTTCCTTCCCGCCTCTCCAATGCTCTCGCCTCCTGGCGCGCTCCTATGGTCAGCGCTGATTTGGTCAGCTGGTCCATAGACTCCGCCCTGGGCGCCTGGGAAAGTTCGTCTTTCACAGCCGAAGAAAGCCCTTCTTCAAAGAGCATTTGAATGGGTTCCGCCGATAAGTCCCACCCCAATCTGTGAACCAGCATGGTGAACTCAGTCCAGTACTCACGGACAGATCGGCTCCCCTGTTTGCAAGCCATTAACTGTCTGCGCACCACTCCCTGTTCAATATCGCTGGAAAACATCAGATCCATGGCGCGAAAGAACTTCATCGTGTCCTTTAGGACGTCACTATTCGCTGCCATCAGGGGTCTAACCCAGTCTCTCGCCCTCTTTTCAAGATGCCCAATCACGAAAGCCACTCGTGATTCCTCGTCAGGGAATTCATCAAACTGCAGATTGAGTGCATATTGCATCTCTGTCCAGAGCCATGATAGTCTTTGGGCTCCCCCCCAAACTTCTGCACCAATCCTGGTACCTTTCTGGCGAGCTGGGTGGCTTCCCCTTTTTGTCTGCATCCTGAGCCCTCCTCCTCAAGCCTCGCCGTCTGCAGCGCTAGCTGGACCTCCAACACCCGGTACCTTTCTTCCAGGCTTGGACCCGCTCCAGCTCCTGCTTCTCCGGTTCCGGCTGGTTGCTCATGATGCCTTCTGCACAAGCTGCTTTCAAAGACTGTCAGAATGCTGTGATGGGATGAGGAGCTGCTTGTGCGTAAAATAGTATCCCTCAGAGTTTGTTCAAGTCCACAAACCTCTGTCTGTGACGGAGCCCCTCAGACATGGCTCCTCTAGTCACTAGCAGATTCCGACAGTGGTTGCTTTCGGAATCGCTTCCAACATAAAAGCTCCTTAACGGAAACACGTCTTCTGGACTCTCTGCGTGACAGTTTCCGGCGAGGAGTGGGTGTTCCTACAGGAGGTCCTGAAACCTCCCCACTGTTTTCGCTGGAAGTGTCTCTGAGCCATCCCTCCAGCTCACTTTCCTCAGCTCAGCTCCTCTCCCCTACTGGTTCCCTCTTCAGCTGCTGAGTCTCTCCCAACCTGTGTGAGCCCTTTCACCTCCCTTCCTTCCGATGGCAGTTCCCTGACATATTGCTATTTGATTTTTATTTATTTTTTGCACACCCTGGCATTCACGTTTCGGATGAAGGCAGAATTGAGATATATTAAGAATAAACAAATACATACATAATTCTAAAATAAATTCTAACTCTTAACAACAATACATAAATAAACAACTTCAAACAAAACAGCGGAGTCTGTATTGGGAATTCTGCCCCAAATGTTTTCTTCTTCTTTTGTTATTCAACTCTTTTTTCTTTTTTTCCCCCTTTTTTTGACACACACATCTATAAAGGATAGATTAAGGGGCAAACTATAAAATTATCCTGACTAATGATGCACATGTCTCATTTGTAATAGTGCAGGTTTCCTGTGAAATATTTAATTTCAACAGCTCTTGACTCAACCACTTCAATATCATTTTCCCTCTGTCAAAGCAGAGTGTAAAGCTATAGCATGCATTTGGTGGTATCCCATTTCCCCTACAATAATCAAGAGTGTTAATCCATCTTAACCTAAAATTGTCCTGCCTGCTTTTGTCCTCCAAATCTAATAAAAAGAGTTAGTTGGCTATTGAAGCATAATCCCTATTGAAGCATGAACTATGTGTTCAATGAGGTTTACTCTTGGGGACCTATGCCAAGGATTGCAGCCTATGGGTCCCATCAGCGTAGCCTTTGCCTGAAATGAGTCTTCTTAAACTTCCCCACAATAAGCAAAAGAAGCTGTATTTACCCCCTGCTGCAGTTCCAGCGATGGACAGGCCACAGAGCAGAACTCCAAACAGCCAACTCTTGCCAGAAGCTGACATGTTCTTCCCTGCCTGGGAGAGTTTGTTGCCTTGCTTTGAAAAGCACAAAGGTCTCCAAGGGGGAGGAGGAAGTGCCAGCTAAGGGTGTGTGGTGAAAGGAGCACCAAACATGAAGGGGGAAAGGGCCCAAATAAGGGCTGAAAATTGAACTGCCTTTCCATTACGCCCTAGGGCAAAATAAATCAAACAAACAAAAAACCTGCCTGTTCGGAAGCTGTCCAACTGGGTCTTATCAATGCAGCCTAAACGGAGCACTTCCAACATCTGACACAGGGAAACAGAATTCCTCACTGCAAGAGGGAGCGGTCCTGGCAACTCTCAAAGAGGCCGTGTTGAAACTCACCTCTCTGCAGAAATGGCCTGGACCCAGGAGCAACACTGGGCTGGTTCGTTGCAAACACTCCCTTCACAGGCAAGGCTCCCAGCGAGCTCCCGGCTCTCCAGGACTGCACTGACTTTCTAGATCCATTTCAGCTGAGCTTTAGGCTTGGTTTTAAGACAGAAATTATTTGGGCTACATTGTCCAGCTGGTTGGGTTTTATCTGGATGCTTCCCATGCCACCCAGCGCCTGTTCATGCCTTTAGCTAGCACGGATTCCCAGCTTTATACAGTGGTACCTCAGGTTACAGATGCTTCAGGTTACAGACACTTCAGGTTACAGACTCCGTTAACCCAGAAATAGTACCTCGGGTTAAGAACTTTTCTTCAGGACGAGAACAGAAATTGCACAGTGGCAGCAGTGGGAGGCCCCATTAGCTAAAGTGGTACCTCAGGTTAAGAACAGTTTCAGGTTAAGAACGGACCTCCGGAATGAATTAAGTTCTTAACCCAAGCTACCACTGTATAGATATATGCAGGTTTTTAGCACTATCCTTCCAGGCAGCTGCAATCATAGGCATAGGAAGTCCCCAGGGTCTGAAATGGATCTGTGACTATATATCTGTGACTGTTGTGTCTTCATAATTGTAATAGAAGTAGTAGTAATTGCTTTCACTGTAGTGGAACAATGCCACCCAACAAATTTGTTAATTTCATCTGGACCTGCAATGTACAGCTGTTCTGTTGCTCTTTCCCTTACAGGTGGCCCTGTGCCCAGCTGAGGCTGGCAGTCAGGCTGCTGGGCTGGTTTGTAGTCCATAGGAGGAAGGACTCCAGAGGGTTGCGAATGCCTTTTCTTCTCTGCTCTGCACTCAACCAACAAAAGTACATGCCCCTCCTTGGCCATTCATTACCCCCAGTGTGGGGTAGGAGGCACACCTTATCAGCGACCTCTGTCCTTATCAGTAAAGGAATCTACAGTTGTTTGCAGTTCTTCAGCTCCGGATTCTCCACTTGTATTTTCACCTGGAGCTCTCTTGGCCCCTTACTAGTTTTGCACCAGGGTCCAGTGCAGCCTGGCCTTAGGCTCCCTCTTCCGTTTTTGCACCCAGCCCTCACTTCTATTCCCTAACCTCAACCTATTTCTATGCTAAATCCAGCCTCTCTGGTCACTTAGAATGCCAATTTTTGCTTCCCTCCTCCAGCCCAGGTGTTGACCTGGCTCACCTTTCCTCAGCAACCCTCCCACTTCAGGAAGCAAATTATTTAAGTCACTGTCCCTTTAAGTCTTCCAGCCACTGCTATGGGATGTTCCAGAACAGACTTCTCTGGGGCCATCTTGTTTCCCTCCCCGACTTCTTTCCACCACACTTCCCTTCTCCCTGTATTGGTTGCCTTTCTTCATTCCGGTGCGAAGCTCTAGATTCCCTCTTAGACACCTGGTTTCCCTTCTGGTTAATTATCTGCGTGGTTTTTTTGCTTCTTTGGGAGGATTTGAGGAGAGCACAGGGGCTGAGCACCACACCATGCAGGGCTCAGGGCAACCTGCGAAGGGGTGCCTGCATTTGGCCACCCATCACCACAGCTTTTGGGGACAATCCACATTTGCAGGCTGCGGCTGGTTCGAAAAGGTTTATGCCTAGCACCTCCGATAACTCCAACACACAGCCACAAGTCTCTAATTGGGGAAAGTGCTTCATCTCAGCACTTGCAGCCTTCCATTGCTTTCTACCTGCTTCATTTCCCAGGTCTCGCAGTCCTTTCTGCCCCTGCACAGCCCAAACATGGGGCATGTGCATTCCTGTTGTCTGTCCTGTCTGTCCATCTTCTGCATCCTTAGCGCCCCTCCCTGCTCCTTAAATGGGAACAGAAGACCTAGTGGCATAGCATGGGTGGGGCCACAGCAGCGGTTGCCCTGGGTGCAAAATTCTTAGGGACACAAAATTTCAAAAAGAAAAAAAAAGTAGTAATAAAAAAATAGTGCACCTTTCCCCTTGCACAGAAAATCTCCCAATGTTTGCATGGGTGAACGGAGGAGCGGATTTGGGTGATAGCTGGTTGCCAGGGCACGCTCCGCACAGGCTTTTTAAAGATACCTGTTCCTGACCAATCCCCTGTCCTGCTCTCCACCATGCTTGACACTCACGGGGCACCATGACTGCCACTCGGGTAGGTTGCTGTGCCATTTCCCCTTCGTTCCAACATGTCAGTGGGTGGTGCAGGGATATTTGCCTTGCCCCGGGTGCTGGCAACCCACGCTATGCCAGTGGGGGGATCTAAGCTGTTAGTCTGGACAGGGTGGTGTGTTTATGGAGTCCATGCTCCACTTTTCAACTGACTAGCCAATTAATTATCTGTAGCTGTTTGCAAAAAACAGGTGCAACTGTTTTGGCACTATGTGATAATAAGCAGCCTTTTGTTTTTATCCAAATTGGGGCAACAGGATGTTTTACTAACGTTCTCTGGTACAGCATCACTGTAGGCCCAATATTTTGAAATATCACATTTCTGTTGTTACATGTTTGCATGTGTGTTGGTGCATAACAGGGACACATGGAGGTATGGGTCACGCACACAGTCTTGATCCAAAACTGGGGGGGCCATCTCTTGCATTTGCCCCTTTAAAAAACGAGAGGCTGCCCCATCAGCCTATTTGAGCCTTTTGTGAAGTGTGAAACTTTTGAAGGAAGACCAAGGAACAGACACTTTTCTGACCAAAAAATGGCATCCCTTTATTCTGAAAGTCTAAATGTAACACTATATTCATTTTTATAATTATTTTTCAAGTTTTGTAAATCAGAACTATGTTACTGTATACTTTTGACAATGCAAAGATCTGAAACTAAACATTGCATTAAACAAAAGGTAACTTTTATCTAGGCTTAGTAACAATGTGCATACCTCCTGCAGGAAAGGAATAAACATAATTTACAAAATAGAGATGTTTATTTAACTAATTTTTCTATATTACCTACTCTCCATCATTTTGCAGCTCAGAATAAAGAAATATGCTGTATTTGTTTTGTGGAAAAATATATTTTAACAAGTAACTATCATTTGTCATTTTGGTGCTCTATTTATTGTCCATAGCTGCTTGTGAATTACAATTCTGTGTGTTTTCTTCTCACCTCATCCACCTTCTCAGGGACAGTCTTTAGCCAAAATTCCACTTTTTTCTCTTTCAGCTTCATTGAGACTTTCTGCTTCAGATTTATCTCTAGATACTGCTCCTGGGTGTTATAGGCCGGCCACTCTACCAAACCTTCTCCATTTGGGTTTCTAGGAGCAAAACCAACAACAGACAATGTCTGTTCTGTCATGTCTGCCAAGGCATCCTACATGCCTTCCAGCCAGCCACACCACACCCCCATAATTATCACGGTGGCCCATGACTCACCCGCTGCGAGCAAAGTTAGCCCAATATTTCATCATGGTTCTGCTAAGAACTTTCTCCTCTTCCGTGGCATCACCTGAAGAATAGAGGGAGGGAAGTTCATTACACAGCTGGGATCGCTGCAAATACAAATCCACTCCCAATGGTTACCCAACCCAGTTCAGTAATTCATTCTCTGAAGCAGAATGGGGGGGGCAGGGGGAGTTCGGGGGGGGCACACATGCTGCAGCATCCATCAGAATATCTGCAGAAAAGCTGGTGCGTGAAAAGGTGCCTGTCATTTGTAGTGATCTGCAAGCACTCCAATTGGAGAACAACCTTTACCAAAGGTGTCATGGACTTTGAAGAAGCATGAACTCAGGGCTAAAAGGAGAAACAAGCTAAAGGAAGGCATGTTTGCAAACCCTGTCCATGATCAACACCTGCCTGGAAACCTTGGCCTTCACAGCCACTTAACGGACTCACTTAAGCCTATGTTCGTGAAAGACAATCTTACTCAGCTACGAGTGATCTCCAAAGAAGGTCTGTTTCAATGTGTAGTCTTGCCTGACAGCCCTGAGTCACGTGGCTGGTGATGCTCTGTTCTGAAATGGGCAGGGAAACCTCACATGAATATTTAGATTTGTCCATGTCAAGGCAGAGGCTGCAGAAGTGTTGTGACGGGCCAGGTGTCCTGGGGTTGTGGCGGAGCCATGCCCCAGGCCAAGTGCCCAAAGGGGACTGCAGGAGGAGAAAAGGCCACTCAAAACTCTTGGCAGAGAGGGGAAAGTGAGGGGGCAAGCTGCCTCCCAGAGAGGCAGACATGGCGAAGGCCTGGAGGTGGGAGCCTCCCTTGAAGCACAGCCCAGGGCTCATCCAGAGTTGCACTTGTCCTGTGCCTCGAATGTGTGGGTCTGAGCAGGTTCCCGCTTGTCCAGGAAAACCTGCTCTTTAGCAATAAATTGGAGCAGGCATCAATCCGGAGATGTTTTCTCCAATTCGGCAGTAAAGATTGGGTTTCGGGGGGGGGGGGGAGCTGCTAGTTTGGATGAGTGCCAGTATCCTACTAGCTTCTCTTGCCTAGCTGTGAAGAAGGAGGTGCCCTCCCCATCCTCCCCCCACCCCCAGTTAAAGGTGAACTGGTTTGGGGGGTTTTCTGGTCCTTGTGCGCCCTCTACTGCCCACAGGTGGGAGTGGCTTCTTCCTGCTTCTGCTTTCCCCCATCCCCATTGTTGGTTAGATGCCCAGCAGAGCCCCAGAAAGTGGGCCACCCCTATAAGAACCGCTCAGGCCCTTCCCATGTTTTGCGCCCAGAGGGAGCCTTGCTACATCACCCTTTGGTTTCAATTCACTTTGAATGTATTATATTCCTAGAAAACAACATGCAAACTGTTAATTAGAAAAGCGAACAGGGCAGGTGATCAGTCTGTCCACCTCTGCCACCAATTCTTAGCGTAATCTGTAAGCACCAAATCCCTGTCATGCCAGAAGGGTTTCAGCACTGCAGATTATGGCAAACCCAACTGGCTTGTGGGGGGGGGGGGCACAATGCCTGCCTCCTGTGCCTGGAAGCTGCCCTGCCCTGCAGCAACCTCCCCCAAAAGCGAGTCCTGAGTCACAGGATAGCCGCTCTTTACCATGCAGGCGAATGGCACCAGTGAGAAACGGCCCTCCAAAGACGAACCCAACTTCGTCTGCGTGATCCGCTTTCACGTAGTCTGGTTTGGTATCGTGGTACAAACTGGGACGGTGCTGGTACTCAAAAAAGTAAGTGGGAGCCCCGGTCTCTAAAGAGGGAACAAAAGGAGGCGGAGGCTGAGAGAGAAGGCAGCAGTGCATTCACTAAGGACAGTGGCTCCCTGTCCTTTGCCTTTCAGCTGCTAGGTAGGGGGCAGCCTTCGATTCAGGTCTGAAGGGTCTCCTGTACAATCAGAGGGACTTTCTGGTAAGATCCAGGAAGGCTTCATTTTAGCTCACCAGGCACTCTCTGCTTCAAAAAGCCCCAGGGGAAATTATAAGGCTTTCACATCTAAAAGAAAACAATGTTGGCACCCTCGGTCCAGCTTCCCTGTGGACGACATTCCACAGGTGGAGGTGCCACAGCTGGAATGCCCCCCTCCTTCCTTTTTCACCCACTTCACCTCTGCCAATGAGAAGCCAGAATAGACCTTTACAACCCTCAACAGTTTGTGGTCTGGGAGAAGGCAGAACCTCCTCCAGGTGCCCAGAGGCCTTCCAAAAACTGTGTGTAATTGTGACAAGGCACTGTGATGCTGGGAACTTATAGATTATGGGGAAAACAGAAAGATCAGCTTCTTCGTGTGTCATCCTGGCAGCTAGTATATATCAGAGAGGATTTTCCTGGCCTTGTGGAGTCTGTAGGGCCAACTCTTCCTACAGGAACGTGATCCAAAGCAGCTCCTTTCAGTCCACTCACACAGCCTCCTCCTCAGAATGCAGCCTCATGACTTTGCCTCTTGAAGGGACAGCATGTTACTGCCCTCTGGGCCAGTCAAAATCCTGCCTGCTGACGTCTGTACCGACTGAAGCTTCCAAGAGGTCTCCAAAGGTCATTGGCTCAGAGGGGCAGGCATTCTTCCCTTCCCACTATCCCAGAACACCCCAGGAAACAGTGCTACTAGTTGCATTCTTTTTCTGGGTGCTCCTGTGGGACATGCTATTAGAAAAAGGGGAAAGAAAAAAAAATCCTCAGCCTGTTTGTTTTTCAAGGTAAAGCCACCCACCACTAAGGTTCTAGGATTTCAACTCTGATCCTTATCTGACCTTGGGGGAGTTTCCACACCACCCCCACGGAAATGACCCCCAAAAGCAAAATACTTCTGATCACCCCTTTCAGCTGGCAAAAGGGTCTGCAGCCACGAAGGCCGCTTGAGTCTCCTGTGACAAAGTTGGATCCAGGAGAATCCCTCAGCTTTTTTGAGGCAGGGCAACCCTGTCCAGAGCAGACTGTGCACCATTCCTCTGAATCCGGAGACCATCTGCCCACAGCCTTGTCAGGATGAGTTTCAACCCCACTTGGATGATAGCAGCTAGAGGTTGACAAACAGAGGAGTGAGGAGCATGCGTTTGGCTTGGTGGTTCAGAAAGATGCCACCAATGACCCCTCCACAGAAGCTGGACTGTCCGTACCTCAACACCAGGGGGCCTATCTTGCATGCAGAAGAGCTGAAGGTCCCACCTCCAGTGAAAAGGATCAGGACGGGAGGAGAGGAGAGGAGAGGAGAGGGGGAAACCCTCTCAGCGTCAGACACCAGAGAGCCACTGCTGGCATAGATGGACTAAATAGGCACAGTTGATCCAAGGACTTGATCCTGTACCCCTCTTCTCAGGAGCTTTGTCTAGAAGCTTGTAACACACTTTCCATTTGCACAAAAACATTATCTAGATCCATAGAAACATACAAAGCCTATGAATCAAAGGCTTTGAAAAATTACCTTGCAGATTTAGTGCATTTGAAAAGAGAAACCCTGAAAAGATGCAACGGGGGTTATGCGGGCACTTGTGAGATGGGTGCAGCCCTTGCACCATAATTTCATGTTACTCCCAGTGGGACTTCTTCATGACCTGCTCTCAGTGGCTCAGTCAGCCTTCATCTTTGACCAGGCCTGTATTTTCTAATGGGTGAGGAAGTTCATACCTTGGCCTTTTTCACCCACAGACTTTAGTCCAATTCAGGAATGATTTACTCATCTTGTCGGCCCAGGGATCAAAGAAGCTGGCATTGAACTCAGCCAAGTGTTCTCTCCTTTGGTAAGCACAGAAGCCCACGTGACCCCCAACGATGAGGGGTGGGGATGTGCCTTGTGAGGAAGGTTCTGGGTGTGATTGGTTGCTCGGTCGCTGCTCAAGGGCTCACATAAATCAAGTGCCGCAAAAAGCAAAGCTCTCCACTATAACCAGGCCAAGAACCAAAGGTTGCTGAGAACTGACTAGGACTTACGTGCAGCTGAGAAATAGTTGCAAAAAGCTTCTAACTAGGAAAGAAACGCCACACAGGAGCTGGTGAAACTTAGCTAGGAACTCTAATCGCAGCTACACAGAATAATGATTGCAATTTTGGGGTATCATCACAGGAGCCCTTGACAATACAGATGAAGGAAATAATTGTTGCATCCCTACAGTTACTTAGGAAAAAAATGTCTTCTGAACTTTCAGTGATGCGACTCATGAGCTGCAGAATGCCTATGTGATGTACTCCATCAGTGGTTTGCAAGAAGCAAATCTGGTATCAGAAGCAGATATTGTGCCTTATAATACAATTTAAACCAGAACAATTTTATTCTCCCTCCCATCCGAAATACTCAAATAAAATGCTGACTGACCCCTCTTGCCTATTTACTCACATGGATAAATCTGGTCTTCTCCCTCAAAGCAGTTGTGGCAGCTTATGTAAATCTTAGACGCAAGGAATTACAGACCTGCTGGATGTCCTGAGTTTACAGTATAAATTACTGAAGTGGCAGAGGGGGAGACAATGCTTGCTTGCTATGCCAGCACTTGGAAACTGCAAACACACACAAGAGCCCTGACTCCAGGCTCCCCACGCTAAATTCCTGAAAGTCTTTGATATCTGGAAATAATTTTGTTCCTTCCTCCAAGTAGAGTTGAACTTGAGAAATTACACAGAGAGTCTCTTGGAGTCAAACTCCAGACGCCTCACATTCTGGCTCTGGGGATCCTCTGAGGGAAATGGTGTGCCTCAAATGGCATGCGTCAGAAGTGTTTTAATGTCAAGAGGAGACTTTATTATAAGTAACACCTGGCGGGGGCAGGGGACACTCTTTTTACCTCTGTGATACCGTAATGTTTTTATGGATGGGATAACAATGAACACATCTCCAATCAAGTCCAGGAACCCATCTCTGAGTTCATCCAAGTCGTTGGTGTCCCCAAGGTACTCATCAAGTACCATTGGCAGGAGTTCAAGTGGGATCCCCTGCGAGAGAAGAAAAGAGATGGTGGGAAATGGCCATTGCTGGGGCGGGGGGGGGGTCCCCTCCTTTCTCAAACGTGCCCTTTGTTACTTGATTTGTGCTACAAGTGTGTAAGAAGCAGGTTGACCGAGAAAAGCCAGCCGCTGGGGCGGGACAAATGAACTGGATGCTATTTCTGTTTCTGATAAATTTGCCTTGGGATTCTGGAAAGCACTCCCCTCCACGTTAGAGGAGGCTAAAAAGGGTGTGCTGGTGGAAGCCTAACTGGCCTTGGGCATCATGTCTAGCCTACCTTGGGAAAGGGAGGCAAAAGGTTATTCTCCCCCCTCATACTCTGCCACTGCTACACCCATGTTCTTCTGAATGGAACTGAAGCAGAAGTCCTAAGGCCCCCTCCCAGGATTGGGTCAGGAATGATCTGGGGGGCTTTGGGGAAGGCCACTGGCTGGGAACATGTGAGGGCTGTGAAGCTCCCCCCCCCCCCGTAAGCAGCTGCTTCCAATGGCTTCAGGAGAAGGAGAGGGACAGGGGTTAGTTCCCTCTCTTGCCCCCTTCTCCTCCTCCTCTGCCAACCCTGCAAGCAACCATCAGAGCTAATGCCAGAGCTCCCATTCCATCCCTATGAAGTCAGGAGAGGACTCCTCTGGATCCTAACTCCCTCCATCACCAGTCACCTCTCAGCCTAGGCATGATTTGCCCCATCCAAGCAAACATCTACAGGGTGGTGCTCATAATCAATCCTATCTGCAGAAAATTTATTCTCAAAGTTTCTCAGAGAAAGGATGCAAATCAACAAAACAAATAGTTACCAAAACGGGGAGGATTGCTTCTGAAGTAGTACGGATTCTGTCCCTGTCTCCCACGTCCTTAAACCCTTCCAGGGTCCCAGTCTGCATCAAAAGAGAAAAGAAGGGTTATCTGTGTCTTTGAGAGAAACTCCAGAGTAATTCTTGGTTGGGAATGTTCATTTGTCCGTGTTATTTAATTATTAAAACATCTTTGTTGAGATCCATTATTGCCCACAGTGAACCAGTTCGTCTCCAAGAACTTCTGCTTGAGAACATCTAATGAGCCTTTGGGGTCTAAAGGAGTAGGTTTATGCTTAGAAACCACCACCAGCCATTAAATTCATAGCCTAGTTGTGAGGCCCCTCCTGTCACAGGGATTTCATGCAGACATTTGGGGGGCAGAATGAAAAGGCCTTGCTAGCGGGATCTTACCACACGCGAATTCCAGCCAAATTCATGGTTGGTGACTCCGACCATGAGGGGCACAGCACTGACCTCCCTCCCAGCCAGAATCTCCTCTGGGGTCTTCGGCATAAACACACCATCCAAAGCTGGCCCTAAGCCCTGAGCAAAGGGAAGGAAAGAAGGTGTTTAACTGAAGGGCCCAGGACCACTCCCCACCCTCCACCCTGACCAAGCCAAAATAGTCCGGGAGGAATGAGGAGCTCAGCCTGTCTTAGCACCTCAGTTACCTCTCCTGATTCTGATGGAGCAGAGAGATAGAGCTGGGTGTCACCTGCCTATTGGCAGCACCTTCAAAAATCCTGATGACAGCTCCCAGCAGCTTTATAGATGTTCAATAGCATGGGGGACAAGATGGAACCATGAGTAGCTTCCCATGAGCAGAACCAAGGAAGTACAGTGCCCCCAAACCCCACTTCCTTGAGTGACTCCTGAAGGCTGTTGTGGTTAATGGCATTGAAAGCCGCCAAGAGATTGAGAAGAACAAGCAAAGTTGTATTCTCCCCATCTCTCTGCCAACTGTTTAGTGGGCACGATGCTGCAGCCTCACCCTCTTCAGTCAGGTTTGGACCAAGTCTTACGCCACCTGAGCTCTAGCCACCAACCCTCCTGTTTCAAGGCACGCAGGACACAAGAGCACCAAGAAAACTGATGTGCTCCACAGTTTTTGTCTGTTTTTAGTTGTTTTTATTGTACATCGCCTTGAGATTAATAAATCAATAATATTCTGATCAAATAAAAGATCTATTTAAACATGTACACAAATATGTATTTAAATCCAATTTCTGCACTTTTTATATTCTGTATTTATATTACAGTGGTACCTTGGGTTACAGACTCCACTAACCTGAAAGTAGTACCTTGGGTTAATAACTTTACCTCAGGATGAAAACAGAAATCGCACGGCAGCTACGCAGCGGCAGTGGGAGGCCCCATTAGCTAAAGTGGTACCTCAGGTTAAGAATGGTTTCAGGTTAAGAACAGACCTCTGGAATGAATTAAGTTCATAACCAGACGTACCACTGTACACTAGGACAAAAAGGAAGCTATAAGACGGGCTGGTCCATTCCTCCTTGCCCTCATAAACAGCAATACGCACTTGGAGCAGAAGGTCTTAATGAGCACTCTAGGTGGTTCCCCTCACTGGGAGGGGAGAAACAACTGAGCAGGGCATCAAGGCTCTTTCCTGATCACTCATGTCACTTACCTGCCTGCTAAGGTCAGCATGGATCAGCTCCTGCTCACTCTTCTGCCGGAGACAGTGGACTAAGGCGGCTGAAGTGGTCATCTCACAGCCAAAGATACGGGCAATTTTCTGTATATGTACACAATGACAGGAACTCTTATCTGCTGCCATCTCTGGCACACTAAGCATTCAAAGGGTGGAGAACAGAGAGTCCACCATTTGTCAAACTAAAAAGTGGCAAGTGCCCCACCCCATTTTCACTGTAATTCCCAACTCCTTTTGAGGGTTGCTTTAGAATTCCACCAGAAAGCACTATTGTGGTGTGCCGGCCTTAAACATGGCTTTTGGGGTGAGTTGTGACCCCGGTATGCATTCATCTTGTTGCCAAGGAAACCTGATGGAAAGGGTTTCAAGGCTGCCCAACCTGCTGTGTTGCCATGGAACCTTTGGGGCCCCAATGAGAAAAAATGTCATTTTGAGGTATTATTTAACCTCTCTAGGTGACTACCCCAGTCCCCTGATCTGAAGGAACAGCTTTCAGCAGGTTTCAGTGCCCTCCATATGTCCCTAAGAATGCTGGAGCTCTGGTGACAGAAAGCAATTGTTTTGCCTGTCCTTTTATCCCTGACCCCAAGGAACAGGTGTTTTGAGTCTTTACAGTGCATCTTGTCCTCAGCATGTAGGCCCCAAGTCCAATATGCCCACATTAAAAATTCCCCAGTGTGTTATTTTCAGGCCCTTAGGAGCACCCTGCCCATTGCCCAACCACCTGGGTTCATGGTGGGCATGAACGGCCCACCATCCTCACCCTATAGGAGTAGGGCCCTGTCAGGGTGCTGAGGGACCCATTTTAATCACATCTCCATGGCAGGCCTCCTCCCGTCTATATACCAACAGGACCATACCTATGTGAATGGTCCCTCTCCCTCAGCCGAAAGCAGCACAACATACCTCACACCTCCATTTCTAAAGGGCAAGAGTGCATATTGCTACTACCTGGTGCCCTTTTGTTTTAATCCAGATTGGCCCTGTGCCTCACCTGTTACCTGTTACTAATTCCAGTCATGGCACTGAGAGAAGCTGTGGTGGTGGGTTGTGGTGAGATCTCGTGAGATTTCAGTAAGATCTTGGCAAGAGCTCACCGGAAGTTGCCACTGTTTTGTTTCTGCCAGAGGTGGAGGCAGCAAGGGGGACAGGACACCTGCAGGGCACCGCCTTTTGGGATTCCACCACCTGGGGCGGTTGCCTCAGCCTACCTCATATGTGAGCCGGCCCTGCCCTGCCCTGCATTCATGACACTGGGGGACTCCACCCAACTTTTGCTACCTGGGCCGTGTTTAAAAAAGAAAAGAAAAAGCCAGCATCCTTGGGACAGAAAACATTTTGGTCTCATCTGGTCAAACAAGCAAACCTACTTCAGCAGACTTAGACCTGTTCTGGAAGATTATTGGAAGCTGTGAGACACCGCTCTCCAGGATGGCTCTGTGGAATAAACCCTTTGACAAGGGAGACATAACCTGGCAGAGGAGAAAGGACACCATTGGCAACAGACATTATGCCCTGCCACTGACCTAACAAAAGCGCTGAACATCAAATTAGGCCTCTGAGTCCCCATAGAACTTACACCAATTGCACCCAATTCCTTCTTCCTAATCTTTCCTGTAGCCAGAGCAAAAAGGGCCACTTTACGCGCCATGATTACATGGGTTCTGCAAGTTAGCAGAGACCGCTACCCCCACCCATCCTTTCCACAGCTTTGAGAGTATGTCAGAGATCATTATTTTATGTTTTGTAAAATGTCCACCTGAGAATTAAGCAGTCTATTACTATAATAGCAACCCCCACCATATAACATTTTGGAACTCACATGGGCTGAAGCACTCATGGATCCTGCAGAGACACCAAAGAGAGTCACCAATTCCGGATCGCCCCCGAAAGCTCCGATGTTTTCCTGGATCCACTGGAGAGCTGCCACCTGGTCCAAAAGGGCCCAGTTCCCTCGAGCACTCTCGTCCCCTGTGCTGAAAGGAAAGCGTTGACAAGGAACAGCAAGCTCAGCGCTCAGGTGGATTTTGGAGAAAAGATTGGCACTTTGAGTCAATGCCAGGTCCTTCTGAGGGGGTTCAGATGCACAAGTGGAGAGAAGAGCTGACCCGACAGGTCAACCCAACGCCCCTCTAGTGAAAAGGGCCCTGGAATACCTTTAGCCAAAGCCTCTTACCTGAAGAACCCCAAAATGCCCAGCCTGTACTGAAGGATGACCACCACCACATCTTCATAGGCAGCTAGTGCGGAACCATCAAACCTGGAAGCTGCCCCAAATATCATGTTCCCTCCGTGAATCCACACCATCACCTTCAAAAGAACAGGGGCGGAAGGGAATGACTGGAAGGTTGCTAGAGAGCATTTTTCATAAAATGTTTTTGAAACAAATAGCACATAATAATTGTACATATATAGACTATTTTGTAATGGATGGCAAAGATGTATCATCGTAGTCAGGCAATTTTGCAACAACAGACAACCATTTAGTTTTTTGTGCAGTTCAAGATGCAGTTATCCAGTTTTTATTTTATTTTATTCAGAACAATTAAAGAAAGGATGTGGCGTAACCAATCAAAATTGCCCTTTGTAAGAACACGAGAGGCAGAAGAGTCTTCAGAGTAAAATGACATTGGCAAGAGCCACTGCCATCAACCCAGAATCTGCTGCCAGCCACCCTGCTTTGCAGCACTGCTTTCAGTCCATTTAAAATATGTGCTTACTGGCAGCTTGGATGCCTTGGGGGAATCTGCGGGAGTATAAATGTTTAAATACAAACAGTCCTCGGAACTTTGGAAGGGCGGGTGCTTTTCTTTCCATCTCTTCTGAATTCCTTTGAGTATATCCAGATCCTGGGGGCACCTGCAGAAAGGACACCCCCACAGATAGTGAACATACTAGCTCAAATATAAAGATAATAATTTGCAAGAGGTCACGAGAGGTGGCATCAGGGAGAAACTGACATAGGCCAGTTTAAAGGTTTACTGGCAAAGGTGTGGACTTAATCAACTGTTCTTACTTTGTTTGTTTTTTAACAAAAGGGCAACAAGAAAGGGGTCTTCTTGGCACTCTAATCTTAGAAAATGGATGACAATGCTTCAGTCAATCAGAGCAGGACCACTCAGCCTTTCTGTTCAGAGAATTCAGTATAAATTGTTTTACTTTGAAAACAGGATATCCTCTGTTAATAGATTTAAATGCTGGGAATATAGATGTCTTAGGAAAGATGTGCTACAAATGTGATGGGACTATAAGCCTTCACAACCTTATTGGAACATAATATTCCATGCCTTCTGTCAAATAATTAACCATCCTGAGTTTAGAGCCCATTAGCATTGAATTAATATAATTGCAAATTATTTGTCTAACATGGTCAAATAATTAATTATGAATTTATTGAATGCAGCTAAAATGTTGTGGGATTAACAGTGAAAGAGCTCTTGGCCTCCAATGGCTGAGGGCTGGTTGCTGAAACATCTGGACTGCTCTGACCCATTAAGGTTGCAGATATTGGAATTTCTGTGGTGTACATGTTAAGTTAAAACAGAATTTTCTTTCAGCAATTAGACCTGTTTTGTTTCCAGTGATTTCTTTCTCAAAAAATATAAAATGAATGAATTCTTTAAAAAAAGATGATGATGAAAACATGCTGGTGGTTCCCAGCACCTCCCCTCAAACATTCCTCTCTGCTGGTTTTTATTTCCCCAGTGCAGCCAAGAGGATCCAACTGCATCTCTCTTACACCGCTGGGTACGTGGTAGCATCTCTCACGCCATCCCATGGCTCAGGCGGCTGAGGTGAGGAGAATCTCAAGGAGCCAGTGGGAGGCTTTGCAAAGGCGATGCCCAGGAAGACATTGACCAGCCGCTCTGTGCCCTTTACACTTGCTTGCGTCCCTCGAAGCCGTCCATATTTTGTGGCCACTTCTGGGTGGGCGCCTTCTGGACCTACACAATGCGTGCATACAAATAAAGTTTTTTAAATGTGTGAAATCGCAAACATAGAGGCAAAGGTATAGAATTATATAAAACCAGGGGGCCAGAGAGCATTGGGCCTGACCACGCCCCTCCCTAGAAAGGATCTGTGCAAAGCCAAAAGCAGCCTCCCTTCTCCCTCCACATAAAGGACATGAGAGCAGCCATCCTCTGCAATCAGCACTTTGAGTTAAAGTGGGTTTTCTCTGGTTGTAGCTTTTAAAAAATATACTATTTCATTTTAAATGTTGGCAGCTTTTTCTGTTTAACGCTGAGCTTAAAAACAGATAAACCAGAAATCAAAGTCATAGACCGTTTTATGAAAGAACCTTGCAGACAACAGCCCTGAGGATCATCCCAAAGGGAGTCCTGCAGTCACCTGGTAAAAACCATGGAATTGGGGAGCTGGAGGGGAACCCAAGGGTCATCTATTTTTTTTTTAATGATATTTATTAAGATTTCAAAGAATACAAGAATTACACAAAAACAAAAAGTGAAAATACAAGAAAATACAAAATACAAAATACAGAAAAAAGAATTAAAAAAACCCTTAAAGAGAAAAGAGAAAAAGAAAAATAGATCAATCTTTCCATAACTTACATTCATATCCTTGTTTCCCTGACCTCCTCATACCTCCCTTTTTTGTATTCCAGTTCAATTAGTTAAATCAGCAATTTCTTTCCCTCTTTGTTTTCTCATGATTCTTAAACTTAATATACTATAACTTTAAATTTTCATCTGTTATCAATCCTTTTTTACCTACACCTTTATAGAATTGCTGCTTAAACCACCTAGCTTCATTCCAACATCATTCTAACATTCATTAATTTTACAATATTTCTGTAAATAGTCTTTAAATTTCTTCCAATCTTCTTCCACCGACTCTTCTCCCTGGTCACGGATTCTGCCAGTCATTTCCGCCAATTCCATGTAGTCCATCACCTTCATCTGCCATTCTTCCAGGGTGGGTAGATCTTGTGTCTTCCAGTACTTTGCGATAAGAATTCTTGCTGCTGTTGTGGCATACATAAAGAAAGTTCTATCCTTCTTTGGCACCATTTGGCCGACCATGCCCAGGAGAAAGGCCTCTGGTTTCTTCAGAAAGGTATATTTAAATACCCTTTTCATTTCATTATAAATCATCTCCCAGAAAGCCTTAATCCTTGGGCACATCCACCAAAGGTAAAAGAATGTACCTTCGGTTTCTTTACATTTCCAACATTTATTATTGGGCAGGTGATAGATTTTTGCAAGCTTGACTGGTGTCATGTACCACCTGTATATCATTTTCATAATATTCTCTCTTAAGGTATTACATGCCGTAAACTTCATACCTGTGGTCCATAACTGTTCCCAGTCAGCCATCATTATGTATGTCCAACATCTTGTGCCCATTTAATCATAGCAGATTTCACCGTTTCATCCTGAGTATTCCATTTCAACAGCAAGTTATACATTCTTGACAAAGGGTCATCTAGCCCAACCCACTGCAATGGAGGAATCTCAACTAAATTAACTAGATGGCCATCCAACCTCTGCTTTAAAACCTCCAAAGAATGAGAGTGCACCACATCTCATGGGAGTCTGTTCCATTGTCGAACAGCGCTTACTGTGAGAAATATCTTCCTGATGTTGAGTCAGAATCTCATTTCTTTTAACTTGGAGCCATTGGTTTGGTTCCTAGCCTCCGGAGCAGGAGAAAACAAATTTGTTCTATCCTCCATGTGACAGCCCTTTAGATATTTGAAGATGCCTATCATGTCTCCTCTCTGTTTCCTCCTTACCAAGCTAAACATACCCAATACCCAATTCCCTCAACTGTTCCTCATAAGGCTTGGTTTCCAGACCCTTGATTGCCTTCCTCGGCACTTATTCCAGCTTGTCAATATTCTTCTTAAATTGTGGTGCCAAAAACTGGACACAGTATTCCAGGTGTGGTATGACCAAGGTAGAACAGAACAGGACTATTACTTCCCTTGATTGGTACACTATACTCCTCTTGATGCATCCTAGAATAGCATTAGGTTATTTTGCAGCTACATCACACTGTTGACTGATGTTAAGCTTGTGGTCCACTCTAGATCCTTTTCACATGTACTACTGGCAATCTTATAAGAACATGCGGTGCAGAGGATAGTGTAAATAAAATGCTATAGAGCCTCCCCCAATGGCTTTGGTCCTGAAGCCAGCACATGCAGTTAAGTGGCGGGATATCACTTGTTTTGATGCCTTTAGCTATCAGAAGGTGGGGAAGTCTTCAACCAATGCAAATTGCCTTTCCCTGCCTCTCCACCACCCTCGCCTCCTATTGGTAAATCTTTATCCTACCACTGTCATCTCTAACCCATCCCTATGCATTTTCCAGATACAGTACAATGGGATTTACTGCCAAGTAAGAGAGGAAACGTAAGAGAACACATCACAGAATCAATTTCTAGTCCCTCTTCTGTCTCTGTCTCTGTCTCTGTCTCTGTCTGTCTCTCTCTCTCTCTCTCTCTCTCTCTCAGACACACACACCACTCCCTCACCCCAATCTTTTTTAAATCCAGCAACCATCCTCCCCCATGAGTGGCAGTTGGAGAAATTGAAGTGCTCTTATGCAGAGTGTCAGACACAGGAATGAGATGGGCTGCTGTTTGCAAGAGAGGGGTGAAGGGTGGGAGGGAGCAGCTGGTGCATTCTGAGTTGTATTTCTGAATAATGCATGAAGATGCTCTTAGATCAAGTCAGACCATTGATCTATCTTGCTCAGAACTGTCTGTGATTGCCAGTGGCTTGCTGGAGTTTCTGACGGGCTTTCCTAACCCTACCTAGAGATGCCACTGGGGATTGAAGCTGGGGCCTTCTGCATGCAAGACAGGTGTTCTACTACTGAGAAATGTCACTGTATCTTCTACAGAATAATAATACAAAAATGGTGTAACTGGAAAAATGTAAAGAGGTGACTGACACAGACAGAGATGCTCCTCTTCACTCTCCTCAAGAGTGGATTGCAAGGGGCTATTTCACTCTTTATCAGTCAAAAATGAAACACTCCCCTTACCTTTGCCTTCAATGATTCTGAAGCCAACAGTGCTAATTGCAGCAACCCAGAACAGGGCACTCCATGGGGCTGATGCCATTATGCTTTACTGCCCCTGGGCCGCTGCGCCTTTATATGCTTTCAGGGCAGAGTACAAAGATCGGCATCCCTTACAAAGAAAAACCGGGAAAACGTCCAGATACACCTAGCATCAAGCTATAATAACACCAGACCAGTGATTCAGCTTTCAGCAAAAGGGAAGCATTAACTGCAATGTGAGGAAAGGTTACACAAAAGCTGCCAAACCAGCTGGCACCAATGGAAAGGGCAAAGTCTAAAGCAGGAAAGAGTGCCCGTGCCCTGCTCGGGCCCTCTTTGGCTGGCATTCCTGCCAGAGGAGCTGGAAGGAACATGTGGTGGTCCTTTGTGTGCTGTGAAGGGTGAGAGGAAGGCTCCTAGGATGATAAGTCAACACCTCTTCCCTCACTCCCTCTCCTCCCCTCCAAGTAAAATGTTAACTGATGAGGGCAGATCCATGTCATGCATTTAAACGGCATCCAAACCATGGGTCAGCAACCTTTTTCAGCCGTGGGCCGGTCAACCACCCTGCAGAGCATGTTGTGGGCCAGAGTATATTTTGAAGAGGAAAAAAAAATGAACGAATTCCTATGCTCCAAAAAATAATCCAGAGATGCATTTTAAATAAAAGGACACATTCTCCTCATGTAAAAACACGCTGATTCCCGGACCATCTGTGGGATGGATTGGGAAGGTGATTGGGCCGTATCCGGCCCACGGGCCTTAGGTTGCCCACCTCTGATCCAAAGCATACAGCTTCCCTAGCAGCCTTTCTCAACCTGTGGGTCCCCAGATGTTGTTGAACTACAACTCCCATCACCCCTAGCTAGCAAGGCCAGAGCTCAGGGATGATGGGAGTTGTAGTCCAACAACATCTGGGGACCCACAAGTTGAGAACCGCTCTCCTGGGAACTGTAGTTCTATAAGGGCGCTGGACATTGTAGCCCCGTGAGGGGGAAGCGACAGGTTTTTTTCCCTTCTTGCTGCAGGTAGCTTTTTCCACGGGGTGGGAAATGCGGCCCATGGGCTGAAAAGAGGCCCTCGGCCTCCACGCATTTCCCTTTCACAGCGCAGCCCCTCCACTTCCCGGTGACTTTTGGGGCTCCGCGAGGACTTTTTCCATTAGTAACCCTCAGCCTGCGACTCTCACAGTGGACCCTCAGCTGCTGGGTGGCCTTTCTGGCAGGGAGGCTGAAGCCGCAAAATCCTGCACTGAACAGGCAGGTGCGACTGGATGGCCTCCCAGGGACCCTTCAAACCGCGCAAGGAAGGCAGAGGCGGCAGTTGCCAAGGTAAGGGGAGAGCAGTCTGTATATGCTCAGAGGCTACTTTCTGTCAGTGCACGAACACTCAGGCGTTTCCTCCCAGCAACTCGCACTTCTGCCGCGGGGAGAAGCAAAATTAGAAACAAAGCGACCCCGGAAGCTCCCGCTTAAGGCAGCGAGATGGGCTCTTCTGCATTCTTAGCTCCACTGCGCTAAGGCAGCTGACGCAAGTGAGCGCGTTCCCCAAATGCCGGAAGCGCGTCACGCCGATGCCACCTCCGCTCAGCGTCCTTCCGGCGTGGGGAAGCGCTTGGCAACGGCGCTCGGTCTAGCCGGCTGAGTGCCGCCGCCGTCGCCATGGTGGGCCAAGATCCGTCTGCCTCGCCGGCGGGCGGCGCCCTGGAAAACGCGAACCCGCTCATCTACCGGCGCCAGGGCGAGCGGCCCGTCACGGCGCGCGAGGAGGACGACGAGCTGCCTGACGCCATCGACGACCGGGAGATCTTCGATATCCTCATCTGAGCCCAGCCGGGGTTCGCCTGCCAAGGGGGAAAGTCTCCCTGGGGCGGAGGGGGCGGGACCGGCGCTTCTCGTGGTTCTTAGAGCTTCTCCAGTGGCTCATGGAAGTGACGCCTCCGGCTTGCAGCGGCGCCTGGGTTGGGGTCGGGAAGGCGGGTGCGGAGCCGGGCAAGAGGGGCTGAGCCCCGGGAGCCCGGGGTGGGGCTCTGGGGGCAGCAGGCACGGTGGGTTTGTGTCTGGGGTGGGCAGATCGTGTCACATTCACACGCCTTCACTCAATAAGCAGGTCGCTTGAATAGTCCCATCGATATACAGTAGTCGTTTCTTAACGCACCTCGATGCGTATTTCGAGCCGAGTAAGTTACAAACTGTCAGGAGGAGGCAAGTCCTACCTCATGCACCTATTTAGATTTCTTTGAGGGTGTCAACAAGCATGTACCGGTAGATAGAGGTGATCTGGCTGACATGGAGCACTTGGATTTTCAAAAAAGCTTTTGATGAAGCCCCTCGCCAATGACTCCTGCGTAAGTTTAGCAGTCGAGGAATCATAGGAGAGGTCCTCTTGCTTAAGCTGCAGGAATGAAATAGTAGGAATAAACGGACAGCTTTCCAAATGGGCAGATGTTGAAAATGGAGCCCTCCAAAGATCAGTGTTGGGACTGTGCTCTTTTAAGTTGTTTATAAATGATTTAGAATTAGGGATTAGCAGCAAGGAGGCAAGGTTTGCTGGTAACATTTTTTAAGATTGTTAAAATGAAAAGAGAGTGTGATCGTTTGGAAAGGAATTGAAAACAAAATTGCCGGTATCATACCATGCAACTTTTCTTTGAACACTCTGTGACATTCTGGTTGCCTCACCTCCAAAAGGATATTGTAGAGGAAACGGTCTGTAAAAAAGGTAACCAAAATGATTGAGAATGGACTAGATGGGTCATTTGCCCAATTCAGCAGGCTATTATTATTATTATTATTATTATTTGAATTAATATATGGTGGAACCTTGTGTTACGTACCGCCCACCTTACGGATGCTTTGGGTTACGAGCTCTGCTAACCTGGAAGTAGATGCTCCTGGTTGCAAACTTTACCCTGGATGCGAGTGGAAGTTGCGTGCCAGCAGCGTGCCAGCAGCGGGAGGTGCCATTAGCGAAAGCATACCTCATGTTAAGAACGGTTTCGGGTTACAAACGGAACTCCAGAATGGATTAAGTTCGTAACCGGAGGTACCACTGTACCTCCCTATGCCCAGGGTCTCAGGGTGGTTCACAGAATAAACTTTTTAGGCATAGAGCGGGGCTGTATCAGGTTTGTATTAGAAATAGCACAGATTGATTTCTGCTCTTCAGGGTAGGATTGATAGCTTGCATGATGTGGAAGCCCCACAACAGGTAGATATATGTAGAGTTGTAGGATTGGCAGCTCATTTATTTTTTTTTTAAAGTTGTATTGGAAAGCTGGTGTTCTCTTGCTGGCATTCAGCAGGTAACTCAGGGTTTTCATGCAAAATTTCCTACCAGCGTGTGATCATCTCAGAAGAAAGAGAAAGTGGCATTTAGTAGAGAGGGGAGGATTGCATAAAGCAGAGATGGAGAGTCTGTGGTCCTCCAGATATTGGACTATAGTGCCTATCACACAGGCTGATGGGAGTGGGGAATCCAAGAGCATAAGGAGGGCCATAGAGTCCCCACCCCTGGACTAAAAAGATGTTTTCTGATAGTGTGCAGTTGGCCTCTCTAAAGAGGTATTAGCCAACCTGTTTTCTGCATTGGTTCCTGTTGGGAAGGCTTGAGCAGTTTGTTTTCATTGGGCAACATTTGGGAGGCTCCCATCTTAAATGAAGAATTGCATCCCCACAGGGCCTGTTGCTTTGTGCCTGGCTGTGCTTTGCTAGTGGAGTGTTTTTCCTTGACTTTCTACATCTCATTCGTTCCATCAACGACCCAGAGCATCCCTTAACATTAGAAGAACTAAACGTCGTAGAACAAGTTCGAGTCAAGGTCAGTGTTGTTGGCCTTTCTCTGCCTTTTCCAAGCTGTAGAGAAAAAATGGCCACTTTTTGAGCCAGAGGCCGGCTGAACAGGCTGTAGCCCATGTCACTAAATTCATGAAAACCAGGTACAAACAGATCCTTTAGGAGAGATGCAGCTTCAAGGAAGAACAGGTGTCTTTCCATTTTTGCCTGGCCTGATTCTTAAATTCCCCATTTCACTTCCCCACTGCCCAGGAGGCTTTTTATATAACTGCACCTGTGTGACTTATCCAAGCTGCTACCATCATGCCCTACGGTGATGCCCCCTCCCATCTCACCACCACCTGGTTAGCTCAGTGGCCCTTGGCTCAGACTCAGACACTATATTCTTTTATATAGTGTAAGTGTGGGGTTTTGTGTCAGCGTCAACTGGGTAGGTTCTCTTTCTGTTCACTTATTACATTTCCTTGGTGGTGAGGGATGGGGGTGGGGCCAGGGTGTTGGCTGTCTGTAGTTGGCTGCAGTGAGGTTTGTTTGCATTTGTGAGGGGGTGGGATTGTTGGGTCAAGTTAGCCATATTGATTCGTATGCTGTGGATGGGTTCTTGTTGGGCTATGATAAAGGGGAGCAATTTGGGGGTGAAGGTGTTCTATTTGTCCCCAGGTTGCTTGGTTTTCTTTGTGAATTCCTGGGCATCATCTTCAGACTGAGAGGAGTCTAATTCTCAAAGTACAAATGCAGAGTTAGTAAGATGCAAAGAGACAAGCCAATTAGCTCTTTTTCCAATTAGAACAGCATTTTATCTGGTTTAAATTATGACTCTCTTGAAAAAAAATTGTGATTGTGTCGGGATGGGTCTTTCACAGGTAAATGATGCTGAGAGCACCGTTTCAGTGGAATTCACCCCCACCATTCCACACTGCAGCATGGCAACATTAATTGGCCTTTCAGTCAAAGTGAAGCTGATCAGATCCCTCCCAGAAAGGTTTAAGGTGAGTGGATGTAAATGGCCAAAAGGGCGATGGAGAAATTCTGTTTTCGTTGCATAGGGTGGACATGAGGGGCCTTTGGGGCTAGTGAGGCATTGCTCTTGAGTGATCAGCTGGAAGTAGAATTGTACTGGTAGTTCTGCTTTTACAGTGTCTGCATTCCCCATTGCAAACCTGTGGTGCTCACCCCTTGTCTCCCACCAGCCATGAGCAGAAATTAGAATTCTGCAGGGGATAGAAAGTGCGGTGGCAGCTGCAAGTTCCTGTAGCTCCTCAAAGCATTGAAAACCAAGACAAATGTGGGAGACAAAACAATGACCTGGGTCAGCAACCTTCAAGGGGAACTCCAAAGTGCTGCTTTGACTTGACATTCTAGAGTGTTGTGAAAGTGTTGCAGGGGATGGGGTGGGGATGGCAGATATAAATTCAAACAGCCAGCAGTGCCAGAAAGGGCCTAGGAAAGGGCCCCAGACAAACAACTGGCTTGGTCCTTTGGGAGTAGCTCCTGTTTGTGAGACCACTGCTTGGCTCCAAGAGGCAGCAGCTACTGCACCCTGGAAAGCAGCATGAATTTCCTTCTTACTTGCTTCCAGTGACTCCCAGTTTCAGAAGTTCTTGCTCATCTTGGCACTTGACGGGCTAGGCATCAAAGGGATATGTGGGCTTTCCTTCTCCCCTTTGTTTCTATTAAAGCACCTGAGGCTAACAATTGCAGGATCCCACGCAGCCCATGCTGCTTTTTTGAATTTGACATGCTGGAAACCAAGTGCCGTTTTTTCAAAGCAATAAAGAAAGGGGTCCCTGGCTGCCCCCCAGCCCCGCCATTGATCAGATGCCTTCTTTCAGTTGTTTGAGCCACTCCTGCTCCCTAGTGGCTTCTTCATATCCAGTGGTGGGGTATTCAAAAGCTTTTGATCAAGGCAATCTGCCCAGCCAAAGTATTTATCCCACTCGAAGAATTCTTGGGTTGGAATTAGAAACAAAGAAACTGCCAAAGTGACAGCGCATCCTCACCAATGAGACACAGAATGGAAGGGAGGGGACTGGTGATGGTGTGTAACAGAGCAACCAAATTAAATTAAGGTAAAGTTGGATTAGCGAGGTATAATTTTATTATTCCTCCAGTTGGTTCAACCTGGGGGAACATTATTTGGTGACACAAATGATGCTTCTTCTTTTCTTCCTCCCAGGTGGATGTCCACATAACCCCTGGAACACATGCATCAGAGCATGCAGGTACGTTTGAAATTCACCACAAAATACCCCTCAGAATAGGTCACTTACATTCCCTTCTATATTTGTTTTGAAGCAAAGCTGGAAGGGAAGAGTACAAATACCACTTGGAATTTTTTTGGTGGGGTCCTAGCCCTTCAGCTATACAGCAGAGGAGGATGGATGGATGGATGTCTTCACTAACTCCTCTTGTGGGGTTCTTTTTCACAGTAAACAAGCAACTGGCTGACAAAGAGAGAGTGGCGGCTGCCTTGGAAAACAACCACCTGTTGGAAGTGGTGAATCAGTGTTTGTCTGGGCGCCCCTGATAATGCATGCTGGGTGAGGTTGGGGTGGGAACAAGCAGGAGATGCTCTTGTACTTGTATGTGAATAAAATAATTGTGATTGTTTTGTTTTTAAATAAAGACAATACCCTTTACCCTACTTAAGCTTGTCTAAAAGTATTGGATTAGAAACACACGTGAATCTGAAAAGTAAATCATGAAAACTGAGGAACATGTTTATATAGTATAAATTGAGGACTGGACATCAAAATACCACTCTTACAAAGCTGAATATTTTATAAAGGTCTGAATGTTTCTGGTTTAGAAACATTCCCACGGACAAAACTTACTGTTCTTGGGTGGCTTAGAAAACAAGGTGGAAGAAAATCCTGCAACCAAGTAAAATCCTATTTTATAAATGGGAGAGCACTTGGAAGGAGATTTTGTCAGTTATGAAAGAGGACAGATAGATAGACAGGTGTGTTTTCCAGAGCCTTGGCAAACAGGGCACATGATAGATAGCCAGTATCTGACATTCTGCAACTGCATTGACACATCCTACCACATTTTATGGAGATGGCTATGGCTGCTGTTTAGCCTTCAGATTGAGGCAGTTGCAGAGGCAGCCTGGTGGGTGAAATCTACATGGGTAGGAAGGATTTGATACCAGGGGTCAGGATTGCCCAAGACCCTTTACATTGAAAGGGGTGGGTTGTACCATCCATAGGTTCATGACTGTTGGTTGCTTACTGGAGGGCTAGTAGAAGCTGGTGAAGGAAATGGCATGGGGTGTGGTGGGAGATGCCCCTTCTCATTAGTCAAGGCGGGAGGTGGGCACATGTGACTTCTTTCTAAAGTATTCAGAGAGCAAAAAGGTTATCCTCCCACTTCAGTCTGAGCAAGGATTTGAGCTTGGCAGTGCATGAAGATCTCTGCCAACCTCCCCAGCTAAGCACAACAAAAGCAGAGGAGAGTCTTTATTGAATGGAGCAAAATCCGTTTTACACCAAGGAGCCCAGCAGTGGAAATGGCTTTGACAAACAGTGTAGAAGCACAGGTAACATCACCCCCCAGTTGAGGTAGCATCGCAGGATGGAAGGGGTTGTTTTAATATGAATTTATATTATCACTTAATGCCAGAAGAGACTGTTAAAGCAACAGCTTCAGACTTGACACCCAAGGTGGCCCCTGTGCACCTTTGCTCCCTTAGATTCTCCCATTTTATTAGCTTGAGAAACACTACCAAGGTCCTTGGCTCCATTTACAAAGGACCTGCCCTTGCTTATCAAACACATCCTTTTCTAAGCTAAAGCTACCTGCCCTCCCACACACCCCTTCCTTGCCTCCCTCTTGCCTCAGGGTGGCCACTGGTCTCTCTCTGCACCTCCCCCAAAATCCTTGGGCACAAACATGTTTGGTTGTCAAAAACACAGCTGAAGCAACCCCAGAGCACCCGTCACACTGCACATGCCAACTACAGACAACTGCTTACACTGGACAAAAACTTTTGTCAAAGGACTAGACGGAGCTACTTGCGTCTATTCATGGACCAGCAGGTCCTTCCGAGAAAGCAGCTTCCTGCATTCAAGGCTGTGGAGTCCTGCTGCATTCAAAGTAATTCAGGAGATGTCGAGTGCAGCTCATTGCCTGGCTTGTGAGCTCCCATGGCATCTGCCGAGTTGGAAGCAAAAGATGCTGGCCAAGAGAGAAAGATCTCTGCCTGATGCAACAAAGCAAGTTTTTCTGAAAAGCTGCAAGCTGACTGAGATGGATATGAAACACACCTGAAGACATTTTCTAACTTTGCGTAAATGGGTTCTGAATCTAATTCTTGGCGGCCAAACCTTGGAAGACATGTCCTTGCGGCGGCTGGTAACCTCTGCGCCTGCTCTCTCAGTCAAATGGTTGAATTGGTGAACCAAACACACTGGCTTGCGCAAGCACAGGACAGTCAACCTCCCTTAGAATTGCCTTTGTTGTTTTAGCAGGGTCAAAAGTGATGACTGCCAGCCTGAAATTACTTTAAATGGCTCCAGATTGGAACACTCAGCAGACCACCTGCAAAGGTTTCTCCTTGAATAGCTGGAAGACTGTCTCATTCCAGTCTTCATTCACCTAATATTCAACCAGAGACCCCAATAAATAAAGAATAAATAGTAGGCTGTAAACCAGTAAACTGTTTTCAGCAGGACCACAATCTGACACAACAACTTCTTTGAAGACCCCCAAAGAGCCTATTCATGATTACAGTACAGCCTGTCTTGGGTGACAGCAGCAAAGGCTGGAGGAGCCATAGCCCTCTCCCTCCCTCCCTCTTCCCCTTCAAAGGCCGGCTCATTCTGGCAGCAGCTGTTCCAGTTCCTCGTCATTGAGACAGTTGGTTGTGACAATGTGGTTGAGCTGCTGCATGTACCTCTCTAGATCCTGCATGAAGTGAGGGATTCGAGCCTTCTCCAGCACCCCGTATTTCTGAAGATTACTCACATCTTCGTAGGAGACCTGAATTTATTTATTTTTAAAAAAAAGAGCAACTGAAAGTTAGCAACTCATTCAAAGATGAGGTTTCAGTCTTCTTGCTGGAAGCCACCCACCCAGAGTGGCTGGGGCAACCCAGTCAGATGGGTGAGGTACAAAAAACATCATCATCACTGCAAGACCAGAGAGCTTTGTGTAACAGACCAAATTTACCTCACCTGAGAGCCAGTCTGGTGGAGACTCCTACTGAGGGCCAAACCAGATGCATTGTGGGAGATTCATAATCAGAACTCCCTAGTGCCTCTTGAGTTAAAAACAGCCATTTTGAGACAGGACTGTTACAATGATAAAGGGGGAGCGGGGAGAGAAAAGACATTCTATGCCCTTTGGAGGAAGATAAAGATGAATTGGAGGGCCTCACTTGGATGGAAAAATCGGGTTTTCTTAGCTGAGGACTGTTAGAGGACTGTGCTGTCCTCCCTCCCTTCTTGGTCACTTCCTGCTCTATCCACCTGCCTCCAACTGGAGCAAACACCAGAAGCCAAGCCAAAGAAAGCCCTCTTGGCTATGAGATGGAGGAGGTGAAGGTACCTACCCCCCACAATACACACACATGGGGAGTGGGGGAAGACCACAGAGCAGGCAGAGCTGTTACCTTCCCCAGGGCAGCCAGCAGCTGGAAGTTGATGGTTTGTCGATGTCTCAGGATCCGGAGAATTCCATCCAGGTACACTTGATCTTTACTGAAACACCCTGAAAGAGAAAAACCACTGACACATCCAGCATAAGCAGGACACTTTTCAAAATGACGTCCAAATACTGGCAAGAAATTCAAATACTGCCAAAATCAGGGAACTTCCTGAGGGCTGGAAGGGTGGAGGTTTGCAGGAAGTCATCTTGTGCTTTTGGAGTTTTCTTTTTTTTAGTGTTCTGCAGGGTATCAGAATCTAATTCTGAAGGGCACCATCAATCAGGAGAGCCCCCAGCACCAGCCCTGCTGCACATCAGTGCCCAAGAGCAGAGCTGTCCTTTGCAGGTCACCTATACACCATCCCCCAGCCAGCCATCTTCTTGTGATGGTGGGAGGGTGGGGACTGAGCAAAGGAGTCCTAAATCAGAGAGGAATTTTAGCAAATGATGCTCAAGTGGCCAACCTCCAGAACCCTGAGGGCTGGGAACATTTGCATCTCTCCAATACTGATCATCCTCATGCCATGCGAAGGCCCTTACCTGGCTCGGAAGTGTCTGTCTGGCCTCTCTTGGCCCGCACACAGTATTCCCAGCGCACCCCAGGGTCCTGCACGTAGCGCTCCAGGTCATGGAAGAGCTCACAGAAGGACATGTGGCTGGCCCGGTAGACAGTGTAGTAGAGAAGGGCTGCCCTCCACAGGAAGGGCTGCTTGCGGAAGAGGACGCTGTGCAGGCTGGCCAGGCCTTCCTCAGTGGGATTCGCCGGCTTCAGGCCGTAGTGCTGGCGGCCTTCTGAGCTGTGCCACGGCTGGTGGGCATTGTTGACCCTGCGGATGTAGTGGGTGCCTAAGGCAGAGGAGAGGCATTTCTCCATCATTACTCCTCCTTCACAACTGGCATGCCTCAGCTTCCCCCCCACCCCACTTCCCAGTCCTTCACTGGGTCAATGAATCGCAGTGCAAAAGAGGACTCACGTCCTGGGTTTTAGGCTGCATGTCCAGGGGTAGGGAAGTGGGTCTATCAGGTGGGTAGGATCACTCCCTGCCCATCTGCTGATGCCTTTATGGCATCGGATGACAACTCAAAAAATCAGAAAGCCTTAAAAATTGGAAAAGTTGAAAACCATGAAATGAATCACTTAAAAATGTGTTATGTCAGGCTTCAGGGAATCAGCTTCCTCCCCCGTGGCCATAAATGAGGAGATCAAACAAAATGAATTCTTACCAGTTAGTCTCTTTAATAAACACAGCGAAGGACAAAAGAAAGTGTCAACCCAGAATGGCGGTGCTCCTAATTAAGGGTTACACCCTCTCCATCCCTATTAATCTACATCACTCCAACGTCTTGTAATCTGAGCTTGTGCCCTCTGAGCTTTCTGTTCTGAGACTTTCTGAGCTCTTTTCGACCTTGGGCTGGGCGGAGGAATGCTGTCTAGAGGAATGCTGTCCAGAGACTGTGAATCTGTTAACCCTCTCTCTTCCAGTGTTTCTTCTCCTAGCTGTTCCCCATATAGTATTTCCCAGCTTCTGCCTTCTGAACTATGCCCCTCTGCAAACCACTGTTCCAAATCTAGCTGTCCTCCTGCTCCTGGGAAGATTCAGGAGCAGGAGCAGGTGGAGGTGGTGGCTTCCACCATTCCTCCTCAGCACAGTCCCTGATAGTTCATTAAACTAGATAAAGCCCGACTTATTATTAAGCAGCTTCTTTCAGTCTGAGGAGGCTGAAATCTGTTCGGATATAGCAGTGGTATCATAATGGAACTTGTATTAGACATGAGCCTTCCCTTGATTTTCACAGCCAGACAGCATTTGACAACTAGGCCCCTGCCAGTCAGCACCCAGACCCTCCTGCTCTTCAGAGTTCTAGGTCTCTGTGGCACCGAACAGAATTATTAACCCTCTCCGCAAACCAACCAGAGTTCAGGGCTGGGTAGTCCAGCTGGTACATCCTTCCCTTGGAAGAAAAACTGATGTTCCAACTCCTGGCAGACAATTCTCCACTCTCCTCCCACCCCGTGCTCCTTTAATGCCCTTCCAGGGCACAGAGGGTTGGGGAATGTCCCGGAACTTTGCTCCTTCACGGATCCTGACCTATTTCATGGCGCAACATGCCCTCCAGCCAGTTCTGACGAGCCCCAGAAAGGTTGATGGCTAATGTTGGGCGGCTGTTTTCCACCATCATCACTGCCTGAGACAGCAGGTCCTCGGTCAGCTGAACCACCACCTAGAAGAAGATTGGGGAGCAGGGCCTGTAGTTACACTCTGAATTGAGCTGTGAGGGAGTTCCCATCACAGGGCCCAGAATGGAGAAGGAGCTTTGAAACAGAAGAGGGAAACCACAGGCCATCCATCCATCCATGCATGTGACAACCAAGACCATCCCAGCATTTATCCCCCAAGATTCTGAGCCTGCTTAGGAAACCCAGCACAGCTCTTGGGAGGTAGGTCAGGCAAGGAGCAGCGCAGAGCTCCCATGCAGCTTCCCTTCCTGGCAGAACTCCAGTCAGTCCATGCAGTCTCCAGGGGAGAGTCCAGGGCTAGTCTCAGATGCGGCTTCCTACCCTCACCATCCCAGCTGGATGCAACCCCAAGCAATTACTGCCTGGGCAGGAAGGATTTTGGGGTTTCCAAGGGCACTGTGCAAAAGGCTGTCAGGGTGCCTCCCTGGGATCATGCAGCCTTCTGGGATCATGCAGCCTTCTTTTGCCAGCATTGGACTCACCTCTCCAGAGCAGCCTTCCTTCTGCATGTACTTCCTGACAATGGACCAGATCTGGCATTTACTGAGCAACTTCCCTCCGTTGGATGCCTCAAAGTTCTCGTAGGTGCTATATTTCTCCAGCACAGCATCAATGATTCCAATAGCCTGAAACACACACAGCAAGTGAGTTTCAACCCACAACTGTCTGCTTTTTCTATTTAAAATAAAATTTAAAAAATGTTTTTGGCTACCAGATAAAAAGAAAGAACTCCCCACCCACACCTGAAGAGAGTACACCTGATATATTCAAGATTAATGCATAATGTTAAAGGAGGTCCAACGCAAGCTAGTTGAAGGTGTCCTTCAGATGCTGGCAACCTGGATTCATTCTACTTTTTAACTTCGTAGGAATTAAAACTAAAGCAAGTTGAATAATAGGTGTCTGTCCATTAGTTATTCCATTGTTCCTGTGGCATATTTTAAAAGGCACAATCTGTATGCATGTGCTTTGCCTTTTTCTCCATTATGTATTTCCCTGGATAACCAGAGACAATCTTGGATATTTATGACCTGTAGACCAAATAGACAGACTGAAGAGCATGAAGGACAGGTGGTTGCCATCATGAGATCACCCCTTCCTCTGCTTCAGCTAGGAAGCCCTAAGCAGCCCAGCCATCAACACAGAGAACTGAGACCATGTTGCTCCACAGCAGGCAGACCTGGCTAACCAGAGGCAGCAAGCCTCTGTGATTCCTCAAAGTCTGGCAACTGAAGGAGCTGGTCAAGTTTTATTCTAGCCTGGCAAATGTCTTTCAGCTCCCCTCTGCAAAAGACGACTGTGGACAACTTCCCTCAGAGGACTGTTGTGAGAATTAACAAGAGGACTCTAAAGTTCTAACAACACCACAGAAAGAAGAAGTAGAAAGTTTGCTCAGCCCAAAACAGGGTAGCACCAGCTGTGAACAGAAGACCCAATTCAAACTGCCACCATTCCCTTAGTCTCAGCCCTCCAGTCTGCAATATGGAGGCAATGATCCTGACCCAATGTGCAAAGGTACGAGAGTCCAGTCACCCCTGCTGCTTGCCACTGGTCCTAGCACCTGGGCTGCTGAAAGAAGCATCTGATTTCCAAGTTTCAATCTTCACCCTCTTAGATCCCTGAGTCCTAGCATCCCACAGTAAAACACTGCCTGGATGTTGGGGGAGTGGGGCATGTGCTCAAGTGTGCCAGGACCAGAGCAGGCTCTCTCCCTCCAGTGGCATGACTCAGTTTCGTTGGACCCCCTTGCCAAACTAGAATCTTGAAAAGTAGGTGAGCCTCTAGATTCTGCAAAACATTTTGCCCCCCTGCTCCTTACAGGGTTATTGTGAGGATTACTGATGCACACAGCATAATGCCAGGATGGGTGCAGCTGTGCTCCTGCTGCTGAGACCCAAAGCATCTTTCCTGCCTCTGGGAGGCAGAGACTTGCTGGCTCAGTCTCCTCGCAGCAGAGCAGAGGGAAAGGGTTGTGGAGGGAGGAGCAGCCATTTGAAAGAGAATGGCAAAGGCAGAGGGAGCAGGGGGAACATTTCTTACCTGTGAAATAAACTGCCCAGAGGCTTCTTTGTATTTCTCCAACACGGCTTCAGGGACAGGCTCTGCGTATTCAAACTGGGGGTTGTAGGCGTAGCAGGCCCCAAAGAACTTCTCCCTCTCTTTGTCAACGTTCACCGGCCGCAGGGCCACCAGCAGGCAGGGACTTTTCCTCTTGGCCCCGATGCACCTCTCCGCCTTGGCTTTGGGGAGGTGAGGCAGGGAGGCGGCACTGCGGATCTGCCCCCGTGCGCGGTCCCTCCGGTTCACTGCGCAGATGCTCTCGCTCCGGCGCATCCAGCTGCAGGGATTCTGGAAGGCAGGGCAGAGGCCCACGGGGGGCGGCACTTGGGGCTCTGGGTTCTGGAGGCACTTGGTCTTGGGGGGCGCCCGCTGGCCCGGGCTGGAGGAGTCTGAATCCAGAGAAAGGGAAGGAGAGAAGAAGGGAGGCACCCGCAGCCCCTCATAGGGACGAGAGGCCTCCTTCTTCCCGCTTCTCCGCTGCTGCAGGCCAGCACCAAAGACATCAGGCTGCTGTTCCCGCCGCCGAAAGGACTGCCGACCCGAGTCCAGCACCATCTTGTTTGGGGGCAGCCCTCTGAGGGGGTGTCATCAGGCCAGCTCGGAGGATTCTTCGCTCGGAGGAAGCCCTGGCAGCAAAGAAAAGGAGGCACAGGCTTCAGGCTAAGATTCCCTTCTCCACACAAAAATGGGTAGCTAAGTTTGATCAGAGTCATTAAAGCAAAAAGAGAATTTGAAGAGCTCCGCAAGGACCTCTGCAAACTGAATGAATGGGCTGTAAAACAGGAAAACAGCAAATGCAAATGAAAGCAAGTGTAAAGTGATGAAAGTTGGGGCAAAAAGACTGTTAATTTCACAAGTGCACTCATGGGGTCTGAACTGGTGGTGTTTTGCCAGAAATGAGACCTTGGGGTCATAACAGATAGCTCAGTGAGCATGTTGACCTAGTGTGCAGCAGCTGTGAAAAACACAAATTTCATGCTAGGGATCATTAGGAAAGGAACTGAAAATAAAGCTGCTAATATTGTAGTGCCATTATACAAACCTATGTTGCAACTTCATATGGAAGAATGTGTCCAGTTCTGGCTACCTCATTTCAAAAAGAATATTGTATAATTTGAAAAGGGCATCCAAAATTATAATGGAATGGAGTGACTCCGCTATGAGGATAGTTTGCCACATCTGGGGCTTTTTAGTTTAGAGAGAAGATGGAAAAGAAGTGACATGGTCAAAGTTTCTAGAATGAGGCAAGGCATTGAGAGCGGACAGAGAAAAGCTTTCCTCCTTCTCTCATAAGACTAGACCCCATGGGCTTCCAATGAAGCTGAATGTTGGAAGATTCCGGACGGTCAGAAGAAAGGACTTCTTCAGGCAGAACATGGCTAAATGATGGAACTCACTCCCACAGCAACAGCCACCAACTTCAATGGTTTTTAAAAAAGGATTGGACAGATTCATTCAGGAGAAGGCTGCCAACAGCCACAATGGCTCTGCCCTGCCTGCCTGGACAGACTCAGTAATGCCTCTCAATACTGCAGAAGGGGAGAGTGCTGATATTGTGCTCAGGTCCTGCTTGTGGGTTTCTTCCCTTTGAGGCATCTGGTTGGCCACTGTAAAGACAGGATGCCAGGCTAGAATGTCTGCCATCGACCTGAGCCAGCAAGTCTGCTCTCACGTACTTCATGAGCTGTGGGGAGGAAGGATACTGTTGCTGCTGCTGCTGACAACAGCAACATCTCTCCTTTTGCCTGTTCTCCTCGCAAGAGGCAGCTTTGGTTGGTGACCCAATAAGCACCCCCACAGGCTTCGCATTATCTGAAAACATGAAGAGGGACCACAGGTCCTTTCTAAAGTCTGATGTGCTAAGCTTGGCTGTCATTACTCAGTGAGGAGGGGCAGGAGGAGACTCTCAGTGTGTGTTCAGTCACCCTTGTAGTGACTACTTTGCATGTTCTATGGCCAGGTTATTGGCACTAAAAATGGGCTCTAAGTTTCGCCCTGGCTTTGGGCTTCCTCCCCCTAAGCTCTACTCAGAGTAGAACTAACACTGGCTACAACCCTTAGCTGTCAGGATCCATTAATACTTCCCATCTGAAGATGCTTCTAGGGTCCTTCTGAAAGGCAACTGTGTGCTCTGCCCCTGAGCCTGCCGCCACCCACCCTGAGCATGTTTGGCCATGGTAGAGAGAAAGAGGAAGAAGGATTTCTGCATGCAACAGGGAACTGATTTAAGGGATTCCCATCACAAAAAGCAAAAATGGATCTCTGAGCCCTGGTTCCCAGGAGCACCTGGCTAGCCAGAGGGACCTTTAAAGAGCTGGCTGACAAGGGGTGAAGTCAAAGGGCAGAATGGGCAGGTCTAGTAGCCACTATTCAACAGGACAGCTAAGGACTGAGTCTCCATGTCCATGAGCAATATACCTCAGATCTTAGGGGCTAGCTGCTCCTGAGCTTCTCAAAGGCAGACTTGGCTGGCTGGCTGGCTGGCTGGCTGGCTGCTCTGGGAGACAGAATACTGGCTGGGGCAGACCCTGGCCTGATCCAGAGAGGAGATTCTTATGTCATCATAATGGACAGTAGGCAAGCAGGGAAGGGGGGGCAGGAGGACTAGTGGAAACCCCAGCACAGCACAGCAAACTCACACCACTTGCATCATCTGTGCAATTCCACAACTGAAGGCAGAGTCTACCTTCAAGCATTACTGAAGGGAGCAGGGACCAGGGAGGAGATGTCGATTCAGTTCCTTGCCAACGGCACAAGGAGTCTAGGAATGCATCTGTATGTAGGAAGCATCCTAGGAGCAAGGCAAGGGAAGCTGCCCCACCCAGGCGGAGCCCCATCAGCTCTGTGAATGGCCTGGGGACCACAGGAATTGCAGAGGCTCAACAGGCGCAGGTTTGCCCAGCATGACCCAAAGGTAAAGGTGGCTCTTGCCAAATCTGCTCCCCTTATTTATGGCAGAGCAAATAAGCAAGCTGATGTTTGCTTGTCCTTGCATCTCAGCAGGAATCCAGGGCTCCTCATCTCCAAGGGGGGGGGGAGAAGGTGATTGGAGGGTGCCCCAAAAGGAGCACTTTGGGCTGGGACAGCTGCTGGAGCATCTCCAAGGAGACAGGCAGGCAAGGCGGTCAGGACTTAGTCTATGATTTGGGGGAGGCCAGACCTTATTCTCTGTGCCAGGTGTGAAAGAGCATGTAAACCAAGGGTCCTTGAGGCTACTGTTAGTGAGGGTTCCATGCCTGAGGGATCCCTGAATCCACCGTCAGCCTCCCGTCTACCAGGCAGGACCACGAGATTTCACGCTCTCCCCCATCACACAATAGATCCTGGAGGTTGGGCTTCCCACACATTCTCCGCAGCTGGATAGCAGCACCTGCAGGAAGACCCCACGCAGAAACAAAAGCCCTGCGACACCCCGGAGCTGAAGCTGCTTTTGGGGAGATCCTCATGATCAGGATTTCAGCAAGGCCCCGAGAGTCAGACGGGGGTCCGGGGGGAGAGAAACCGGATTCAGACGCCTTGCTCAGCAATAGGCACGTGGGTCGCTAGGTGGACTTGGGCCAGCTGCTCTGTCTGCGCCCGACCCTCCTCGCAGGGCTGTTAGGATCAGCGGACGGTTCGTCCCTCTGAGGCTCCCCGGGACTTCTTTGCCGGGGATCTCTTTGTGGGCCCGCAGCTATCCAAGGAAAGCGAGCCCCCGAGCCGCCTTTTGTCCTTGGGAACCCCGCCCCGTCGCCAGAGATCCCGCCCGCCGGGGGTTCCCTTCCTCCACCTCACCGTAGCCGCCCCGGTACCTACCCGGCTGCGCTCCCTCCTCCTCCTCCTCCTCGGCCCGCTTGGTCGGTGCGGCGGAGGAAGCGCGGGAGGGTCTGCGGAGCGGGCGGCGACGGGGGTGGGGAGAGACAGACCGACAGACAAGGGCTCCGAGCATGCTCAGTGGCGCTGCGGAGGGAGGCGCGCCCGCGCAGCCAGACCCCTCCCCGGGCAGGCGGGCTCCAGCGACCCCCGAAGAAGCGGCGGCGCCAGGGCGGCTCCTGTTCCGGACCAGGAGGAGTCCGCCGCCCTTCGGAAGCCGAACCGGGCTGGGGCTGCAGGCGCTGCCCTCTCACCTCCCCTCGAGACTGCGGGAAGCCCTTGGAGGGCCGCCCAGGGCAGCGCTTGGGGGAAAGCCTTGGGTGTGTCGCAAGGGGCGGGTAAGCGCGCTCTGCCCCCTCCCCGGGGACCCGAAAGGCCTCTCCAATTGCGCGCATCACCTGATGGCATCGATGCGCCTTTGACTCCCAGCAGCTGCCGGCCCGTGGGGTGGGTGGGTGGGGTGGGGTGGAGTGTCCCGGGTCCCCGTCCGTCTTCCTCCCACTCCAACGCCTCGTTTCGCTTCTTTCCTTTTTGGGAGCGTTTCATGGCTGGGTATTTTTTAAAAAATAAAATGTGTTCAGGGGTGATGCGCCAACTTTAAACATTTTAAATGAATAGATAAATAGGCCGTTTAATCCACTGACCCATTGAAACCCAGGCGCTTAATCAACTCGGCTTTCTTCAAGCGGGCGCGGAGGGCACAAAGGCTTTCTTCTTCTGTCTGCCTGGGACAGGGCAGGTAATGGTCCAGATCTCTTCTGCATTGCCTCAGTGCGCCTGCGCTCTCTGGTGCCTTCCTTGCCAAGGCTGGAAGGGTCGGCTGGCGGGGATTAGACCCAGGCACTGCTCAGCGGATCTGCGGGAGGGCGGCGGCGGCATTAAGCTGCCGCAATAAATAGCAACAACAAGCTGCTTTCACTTCTGCCATTGCAGGTCATTCCACCGTTTAATTTTAAACTGTCATGGTTTTGGATCAGGTTTTGCCCTAAAGCACAGCCATAAGCTGTTTTTTTCTGTCTGCGTTGAAGTGCAATTTCAACAGCAAATCTAAATACAGAAAGAACTAATTCCCTCACACCCTTTCAGAATTAGTCCCTGCAAAGGCCTAACCCCAGGTGCAAAACAGGGGCTGCCCCAACTGACTGGGAATTTAACATATCACAAATGTTTGGCAGTGTGTTCTCTTAAAAATTAGCTTTTACAGCTAATTTTAACAAACGTTTGCCATTTTATTATGTATTTATGTTATGTATTTTTGTGTTTTTATATTGTACACTGTCCTGAGATCCTCAGAGGAAGAATGGCATAGAAATTCAATAAATAAATAAATAGGGTAAAACAGCAGACTTGCCTGTAGAGTCAGCTCCCAAAGCATTTGCTGTCAGAGGCCAGTCCCCCCCCCCCAATTTCCATGTATAGGAGCTGAGTGGCCTGGGGCTGACTGTGGAAAGGCCCCCTCCTCCACGCCACCTGAGGAGGGGTAGAGAAGGCTGTGTTGCCTGCAGGCAGCAGCTCAGACCTCTGGCAGAGATGCACAGTTGGGAGACTCAGGAGTGAGGCTGGTATGCTGCTAGTGTTCCATCAGCCTCCTTCCCACAGGCAGTAGGTGAAGTGGCCAAGTTGGGCTTAGGCAGGTGGCAGCTAATGTGAAGGAATGCTCCTCAATATGCAAGGCCCTGCCAGGGAGGAACTAAGATAGACTGAAATCAAGATACACTACGTCCACAGCATTCCCCTGATCCACCAAGCTTGTAACTCTGTCAAAAAAACAAACAAGATTTGTCTGGCATGACTTGTCTTTGAGAAACCCATCCTGGGTCTTAGTAATCACAGCATCCTTTTCTAAGGGCTCACAGACAGACTGGGGTGGTGCTGCCCCACTCTTGGGATAAGAAAGGTTTGGAAGGGTTGGGTGGGGTGGCCACTTCTCCTGCAGAAAGGGTGGGAGCTGCCCCCTATCTTGGGTTGGAGGGAGTGGGAGCAGGCTGCTCCCTTATCTTGGTTTGAGGAAGGTTTGGGGGCTGCCCTTTCTATTGAGTTGATATGAGAGCTGCTCTTGTGGGGGTGCTCCTGGTGGAAGCTGCCCTCTTCTCCCCTGGGGGGCTTTGGTGTTAGCTGCCACCTTCCCTTGTGGGGGGACCTGGGAAGGAGAGGGTGTTGGGAGGAGCTGCTTGCCCTCAGGGTCTTCCAGGCACCCTGTGGGCTGAAAGGGAGAGAAAAAGAGGGACACTTCATTCATAAAATTATTTTAATACTGCATTGTCTCATACATATGCGTGCGTGTACACACACACACACACACACACACATTCATTGAAACTGTTTACAGCAATCCAAGCCATAGAATGATTAAGGCAGGCATTCATTAACCCTGTGTCATGAATATAACACATGTGGATAAGTGCATGTTTACAAACATACAGAAGCACAAACAGTCCCATACTATGAAAGAAAGCGCTACTGATAAAATGCCAGTTGTCCTTTAAATTTTAAATCCCTGTAGGAAACAGCAGCCTCTATAGGAAAAACGGTGTAAGTAGCAGGCTCAGCTCTGCAGAACAGCTTGCCGATATCTCATCCATCAAATAGCATGGGGAAAAGCAGAGACACGCACCGTGTGGAAGTTAGTATTATTAAATGTATTTCTTAAAGGTGTATACTACCCTTAATCCACAGATCTCAGGGCACTGACTACATAAAAATGCAATATAAAACCACAAAATGAATGACAACAGGAACAAAATATAAACCAATAACCCATCCCAGTAACCCCCACATAATTAATAATGTTATTAATTAAGGCCTATAAACTCTCTTTTTGGAATGAGAAACACTGTAAATGTTTGAATAAAATGGTTTGATTGTAAATGAAAGCCAAAACAAGGATCCCAGGGACATATACAAAGTAGTCCTGAGTGGCTGTGGTGGTCAGATAAGGGGCAGCCACAATCCCCTGAGTGTGACAGCACATACTTGACCTTTCCAGCAAACTGCCAATGGGCAATACTAGACCTAACAAAAGACCTAAAGAGGGCTTTCTACTCATAAATATGTGAACAGACACTAATTGTAATAGCAAAGAGATACACTCATGTTGGCCCCAGAGGTGAAAGAGACACTTTGACAGGTCAGGGGCTCAAATTTCCTCTTTTTGTGATATACGTAATATGACCTTTGTATTACGCCTTTGGGGAATGGATTTCTTTGGGAAATAGAACTCTTTTTTTCCAAATGTTTTTTTTTATTAATTTTCCAAATTTTTTACAAATCAGTACCTAATTACATCAGATTTAAAACATTTTTTCCATTAAGTTGACCTCCCACTCTCCATCGTCAATGTGCTCCTACTGCTTTAATATTACATTATTTATTTTGATATGGAAGGGGGCATGTCTTCTTCACCTTCTTTGCTACAATATATCCATTTATTTTCGAGTCCAATTGTCAATGTCAAAAGGGACTAAAATCTATAAAATTCATAGAAAATCAACCGTAACACCGATTTTCTTGCTTTTGGTGCCAATCGGCTCAGTTTCTCTAGGACTCCATGACACCTCCCCTGTCCTCCATAATCCCTCAAGCGAGGTGTCACGTACTCTCAGGAAGACCCTAATCCTGTCAAATCACTCTGCCAAGCCTTTCCTCCGGGCAATGCCAGGTGGCAGACTATGCATACTTGGACCATTGTCTTCTCATCACTGGTACTCAAGATGTACTTATCTGCGCATATCTCCAGCTCTGCATATTCCCCCTCCCTCCTCCTCATGTTAATCCTGTGTAACCCAACCTATTCCTAATGTATTCATGATGTAACCGTGATGTATTTTGCACTGTATTCTGGGACATGGAGGGAAGTTTTAAAAGTTCATGTCACCCCTTCCTCGCTGTTCAATCTCGCCTTGAACCTGTTGCGCAATAAACTTGGATCTTCTGCAGCTTGCTCCTGTTTCCGGCTGAGCTCATTTTCCTCTGCAGGGACCCGCGGACTTAGTCCGACGAGCTGGGTGGCAGAGCAGCCTCGCACCCAGATTTTACCATAACAATTTTCAATTCACATTCCATTTCTGATGGAATCTAATCTTAAATCCAAAATTATTTTTAATTTACATTTTTGTCCTCCCTTACCCCATCTCCCTCAGCTGTCTATTTGTCAATTCCCTTAAAAAAACCCAAACAGAATAAAACAAAACAAATGAGGTTACTCTGCCCCTTGCCACTCTACCTTAAATCATTACTTGTTGTCTCAGTATTCTTTCTTTCTTTTCATCTTGCTTGTATGTAAATCTGGATGCATCATTTCCATCATTGTTCTCCTTTCGCCATTTCTTCTCCAGAACTATGTTGTTGTCGAAATCCATATTTTTACCACAGCATTTGCACTTCACCATCCATTATTTCCAAGGACAACCATCTGGCAGAATGAACAGAAAGCATTCTCCTCCTGCAAACAGTGTCAATGAAACCAGCCCGCATGGGGGAGTTGGGGGGGGGGTAAACCAAACTTCCTTCAAAACACTGAGTTAGTCTCCCCCCCCCCATCTACATTGCTCTGCTGATTTTCAGTTTTCCCTTTCAAACCAAGTCCAAGACTTTCTTGTTTTCAAGAACGCTATCACCTCTACCTGCTCAAACCTGTGGCCTTTATTTTGAATTCTTTATTGTTCTGGGAGGGGGTGAGTAAATCCCTTGTTGAAACAGAAAAGCATAAACACAGCCCCTTCCCCTCCTCCTCCTTCACCCAGACAGTTTCTTTCCAATGCAGTTCCAGAATTACGTATTCCTTCTGACATAATGCCATCAGTTCTAACACCCTGTGCTTAAATTTATTTCCTCTCTCTAGTGGCAGGTGAGTTGTGGTCCTTTAGTAAAGCATAAGAGAAAAAAGAAACAAAGTCTCTTCCTCCCTGCCATTTTTTCACCAGCTGCACGCCCGTAATTTCTTTAGCAGCAATGTTCATCAAGGCAAGGGTAATTTAACCTCCAGGGTCCTCCTTTGTCATCTTTTATTCCTTTCCTATTGGAACTTTTAAAAGGAGTTGGAGCCCTCCATTCAGCTTTTATTTTATTTTTCGAGTTTCACTGTAGAAAAGATTTCATGTTGGCTCCTCTTTTTCTCTGCCAATATTCACTTTCTATCTATGCAACTGGATATTCCTCTTTTGCAAGAATTCACAGCAGGAGGGCAGCCACCGCAAAAGGGGGGGTGTCTGTCCCATTCACCCACCTGAGGAGCTGTATTACAGCTTTCATGACCTCAGCCAGCAGTGGATATTGTAGATGTGGGAAGAGAAAGAGTAACGAAATAAGAAGAAGCCCTCCAAATGCAAGCCAGGACCTCTTCCTTCTCCATCCTCCTTGCAGATTAGATGCCCATCAGCCACACATTTCAAGGAGCCTGGCCAAGGACTGGACCCAGTGGGCTCCGGGCTCCAGGCATGCTCTCTCTGCCAGGCCCATGTCACCACTTGGCAACTTCAGGCGGCTGCCAAGCCCCTGACCCACCCCTGCATTTACCCTCAAGCAGGAGGCTTAGGCAGCTGCATCTAGGCTCCCCTTAGAGTTCCCCCAAATCCTCCCAACTTTGCACCCCTTTGGAGAAATGAAGGAAATAAGGCAGGACATGACTCTGGTCCAGTTTCTGGCACCTCCTAAAACTCACCTGTTTGCCCAGGTGTTGAATGGCTAGTGGTCCATCGTTTGGTCATTGTATTTTATCAGTTCCAGTGGTTTGGATGTTATTTTAAATGTTGGAGTTTGTGGGCTTCATTGTATTCTGGAACTACCTCCTTTCTCTGCCTGGGTGCTCACCCACATTCGCCACCTCAAGGCATCTTTTTAAAAACATGCTTGTGCTCCTAGAGGCATTTCTTGGTGTTTTACTGTATTATCACATGAAACCTCAACCTTTTCTCTGAGGAACACAAAGTGGTGTACAAGGTGCAATTCCCCTCTCTAAATTATCCTCACAAGAACTAAATTATCCTCACAAGAGGTAGCCTAGGCTGAGAGCTCAAAACCTGGTCCAAGGTCACCCATTGAGCTTTATAGCCAAGAGGGGGTTTGAACCCTGGACACCTGTGCCCTAGTCTGGTCTGGACACCGCAGTATATTAACTATTTGTATGGCTTTAAAAGATTATCAGACAACGAAGGAGAAGGCTATTAATGGCTACTAGCAATGGTTGCTATACTTTAACTTCACAATCGGAAGCAGTAATGCTTTGGAACAGTGCTGGCCCAAGACATTTTGGCACCTGAGGTGAACGTTGAATTGGCATCCCATCCCTACACCCACAAAGGTGATGGTGTGGAAGAAATTTGGTTTTATCTGGAAAAAAGTACAAAACCAGACTTTCATACCCTCCAACATTTCTCCAATGAAAATAGGGATGCCCCATTCCATAATGATAATTTTACTATTTATAGCTCACACGTCTTACTGGATTGCCCCAGCCACTCTGGGCAGCTTTAAACATATATAAAAACATAATAAAATATTAAACTTTTAAAAAATACTTCCCTATACAGGATTGTCTTCAGACGGCTTGGGGGTTGGATAACTCCATACCCTCCAACATTTATCCAATGAAAACAGGAACATCCTAAGGAAAAGTGGGGCATTCCAGGATCAAATCAGAAACCGGAACGGCTTCTCTAAATCAGGGACGTCCCTGGAAAATAGGGACACTTGGAGGCTCTGGACTTTTAAACACAACTCTGTAGTCCACACACAATGAAGTCCACAAAAATCAAGTTGTAGTGTTTTGTTCCCGCTGGAACTTGAGTTTACCTGCTTTTAGCATTCCAGTTCAAACATCAAGGAACATTGTGCAAACTCAGCATTTCCCCCTCCCTGCCTACCCATTGCACACAGCAACACACTCAGGTATCAGGTTCAAATTCCAGCTTCTTTGTAAAGTTCACAAGGTCACTTTGAGCCACTTGCAACCTCTCAACCTAACCCACGTCACCAGATTGTTGTGAGGAAAAAATGTGCAAGGGAAGGGATAATGTACAATACCTTTATCTCAAACAGATAAATGAAATGAAATAAAATTTGTAATAGCTATAGTCGGAAAAAACATTTGTCTTACAATATATGGTTCAAAACCAGCCATTGTAGCTTAGTATGCAAAATGACCACCTTTGCATTGCTGATGCTTTGCAGTGTACACACATTAACATATGTACAGACAGAGATAAGGTACATCCAATACTCAATCTTGAGATTACCGAGACCCTGGGAATGCAGCTAAGTCTGCAATCCTATGCACACTTACCTGTGAGTAAGACCAACTGAACATAGTGAAATGGACTTCTGAGTAAGTATGCATAGGTTTCTGCTGTGAATCCTAAAGACTGACTGACATGAAGCAACCAAGCAGAGCAAGCACAGAAAGGAAAAGATAAAAATCAGCACCAAGCAACACAAAACAATTTTTTTTAAAATAAAATCAAAATGCCTGTGACATGATCATTCCAAAATCATTTCTCCTCTTTAAATTAAAGACAAATAATTGTGCCATCCCCAAATCCCCAGTGTCAGGCATGAGACAGGAAAAAACAAAATACATTCATAGAGCTTTCACATACATTATCTCAGAAATCCTTTCAACAGCCCTGCTGAAATATACTCAGAGTCGCAAAGTGATTTCATGCTCTTTATTCAGCTCATAGTGGTGAGGAGGAATGAATGAAAGTCCCCTCAAAGTATCTGCTTTATATACATTATTTACACAATGGGCTGCACATGATTGGCTAATTCTGGAATTCTACTGTAAGCCAATCAGGTTGTGGATTCACTTATATCTGGAGCATGATTGGGTGGTTCCTGCCAACCAATCATACTGCTGCATTGTTCTAGGACCAATCAGACTGCTGCAGTTTGGATCCTATTCAACTCAGTACATAACACCTGCATAGGTCAGTACAGCATTTATTATTCCCATACAGAATTGGCGGAACAGAGGACTAAAATTATTCAGGGGTGTTACCAAAGAGAGAACCAAGAGTGTGGGAAAATATTTCAAGTGAGAGGGCTTTATATTTGGGAGCACTTTGGGGGGACTATTCTCTGTGTGTGTGAAAGTTGTCTTAAAACTTTTAGCGTCCATGGGGGTTTTCTTCCTTCCCCAACAGCACCCTCCTGGAAGCAGTGTTGGCTTGGGAGATGGAGAGTAGAAGGACCCGGCCCCTAGCCCCCGCATTCACCACACATCAGATAAATCCAACTGGGCAAGTTCAGCTTTAGCTTGTCTCCTTTCCCATTTCAATGAGTCCTAGGCTAGAACCTGTTTACTGCAGCAGAACTTAGCTGTGCAACTTGCCAAGTAATAAAGGAGAGATATTTTCCACTCGTGGGCAGTGTGCTGTTCTACCCTATCTCACTAATGTGATTGGGCTCTCTCTTGGAAATTATCAGGATTACAGAGTTAGTTAAAATGAATCCTGCCTTCTCTTTATAACAATTATCCCTGCCTTCATATAACCTCCCACACCCCTTTTCCTCACCTGGTGATCTACCTTACCTGGACAGGTGAGCCTAGGGTCACTCCAGGATTAACCCTGCATAACTACAGGCCATAAATTGGGAGGCCGGCTGGGCAGCTTGGCCGGGGGGCTTGGGATACCTAGACACAGCCTTCCCTTCCTTTTAGGAAGGGCAGACCAGTGAGAAAACTGCAGGCAGAAGTGGCTGTGGCCATGGGTGTGTTAAGCATGTTGCTGATGGCATGCAGCTTGTCTATGGGATCAGGGTGCTGAGGCTGCCCAGGGCAGGGGCCTTGAAGCCGGCCAAGTTCTGCAGAGCATAGGGACATCCTCTAAGAAGAGGGATGTCCTCATCACCACCATGTTGGGCAGTGCAGCGAGAGGTGAGGGCACCTGGGCAGTTGCCCTCCATCTGCCCCACAGCCAACATTGGGGAGCCAAGGCCAGAAAGGGGTGGCAACCAGAGAATGAGAGAAGCCCAAAGCTGATATAAAGACTGTGTAAAACTGCGGCTTCCGGCTTTGTCTTTAGTCTTCTGGAGGGGGGGCAGTTGGAGGAGATGGGGAGGATTTTTCTCCTCTCCTCCTGCTGCCACCCCTTTCTGGAAGATGCAGTCAAAGTCAGAAGCCACTGTTGGGCACAGCCTTTACATGTTGGCATCAGCTCATCATCCTCTTCTTCTGGCTGCCACCCTTCTCGTGTGCCCTGTTAAGTTTTAATACAATTGATACAGCCTATACTTCTTGTGTTTAATATGTGTCTGACGATGTGTTTGGATATACCCACAACTCCATGCATACGATGAAGGGGCTGCAGCCCAGGAAGGCATATGCCATAATAAAATGTGTTGGTCTTCAAGGTGCCCCAGGACTCCTTGATCTTTTTGCATTGAGTAAATAAAGCTCTGGGCTAGTTCACCTGCCTACCTAACTGAAAGCATGCTGGGGGAACATGAACTCTCAGCAGCCCCAACAATCACACCAGCGATGGAAATTTGCCAGGCAGCTGTTGGCAGGAGCAATTTGGAGGAGTCTTTCCCTCTCAGAGCAAGCGGGGAGGCAGGATCCTGCAAGGCACCTCTGCATGCAGCTGTGTTGCACATAACACTGTAGACTTTGGGGGGTGGGGGGCACTCATGAGTCATCCTGCTTCCTGTCTATGCAGGAGGCATAAACTGGCCCCAATCTCCTCAGCGCAGGGCCTTCATTTCTCCTGTTTGTGTTGGGTCTCTGAGAAGCCTCTTCCTCCTTTCCCTGCTTCTTCATCTTCTGCTGCTGTGGCTTTCTCAAAGTTTCCCAGCAGGATTTCGTTGATGTAGTTGAGGGTGCGGTTGTCAAAGATCATGTTGAGATGCTCCACGCCAGGCATCTCCACCACGTGCACCTTCTGTTCCTGCTGGCCATGCCATCGCTTGCAGAGCTCTAGGCTGCGGCGGTTAACGCTGTTATCCCCATCCCCATACACAAAGTCAATGGGGTCCTCGTAGGGGAAGCGGTCGTTGTAAATGTAGGTTTCCGCAGTGGGGAAACCCGTGCCATAGATGCAATACACCTCGACCCCTGGGGCAGGCAGCCCCTTCAGCAGGTCCTTGGTGTCGTTCCACATGTACCAGCCATCCTCAAAGTTAATGTCAGTGAAGAGGCGTTGGTAGTCCCGGTAGGTGTAGTTGTAGGAGGGGGTAGAGACGAAGGCATGGGTCTCGGGCCAAGCTATTGTGTCTGGGAACATCCAGGGGCTGGCTGTGGTCATGCGCTTCTCCTCACGCAATTTGATGCTGGACATAATGGGGATGCCCTGCTCATCACCTGAAATGCAGACCAGCTTGGTATCAACTGCAGTACTGGCACAGACCTCCAACCAATCTCCCAGAAAGCTCAGGAAATGGACTTGAATGCACATTCAAATCATGTTTCCCACTTCAAAGAATTCTGGGCATTGTAGTTTGTTAAAGTTGCTGAGGATTGTACCTCTGTGAGGGGCAAACTACAGAGCCCAGGATTCTCTGAGGGAAAGAAGGAGCTTAAAATGTGCTTTAAAGTTATAGTGCGTACATAGCTTTAGTCTTTTTATGTTTCATACCACACAATAAACAAAGTATATTGGAGTTGAACAGCACACATCTGGAAAACAGCAGGAAAAAGAGACTACGGCTGTGTACATTCTGCATCTTTAAAGCTCAACTGAGTTTTATGGAAAACACTGAGAAATCCCAACACAATCCAAAGAGAACCATCTCCATTTTTTTAGCAGCAATAATAGAAAGAGTGGGAGATGCACCCCGCCCCCCGAGATACTCATGTCTAGATTAGTTTAGCAGGAGGCAATAAAAGACAGTAAATCTGTGCTAGAGGCCTGAGAGGATTTTTGTTTTTTAAAAGTGCATTTAAGCTCCACCCCCATTTTGATAGCCCCACCCCCCATCCCTGAGCCTCAAGGGGCCTGACAGCAACCCCAGACAGTGGAAGAGGAGGGGAGGTCACCCAAGTAAGAGGTGCACGCAGCCTTTTTTTTTAGTCTGGAGGGACCAGATATTCCAGCCCACCTCACCTGCTGGCAAGCAACTCACCTGAGGCCAGGACCCTTATGGGCTTCACTGCTCCCCCCCAAGGAGCCCCCAGAGAGATGAAGCCCCGGATGTTTTGGCTTTTCCAGGCCTGGGACTGCTGGAGGAGGAAATAGAGGATGTTGAGGTTTCCCAGGCTGTGTCCAATGAGGAAGACAGGCTTCTGGTAGGCCTTACGCATTTCCTCCACAAGGCTGCGCAGGTCGCAGAAGTATTCCTCTTGCTGATCTGTGGAGACATAGTTGGGGTTGCTGGATCCGGCCAGCCACATGGCCTTGCTGGCCACCCCAGTGGCCATCCAGGCTGCCCCACGGTGTTGCAGCAGATGGGGCTGGGATGCATCTTTTCCCAGCCCTATTTGGAAACACTGCCATGGGGGACTGAACCCGAGCTATTCTGCATGCACAGAAGGTCAGAGGTGGAGATTTGCGCAAGGCCTCCTCGCGAGTCCTTGCCAGTTGTGTGACTTGAACAGTGTGTTTTTAAAATGAGGTGCTGCAGAGGCTCAGGTCCTCCAGAAGCCATGCTCTCCTGTCTGCAAACTCTGACCACTAGTCAGGGAAGCCTAGTGCTTCAGAAGCACCAGATATTGATATTCTGGAGAAGCTGCAAGAGGAGATCAATACTAAAGCAGTTTTGATTTTTGTGGATGCAGAGAAAGCCTTTGACAATATTTCTTGGAGTTTTATGAAGAAAAATCTTCAGGGGATGGGGGTAGGCCAAGAGTTTGAAAATGGTATAAATGCAATTTATTCAGAACAAAAAGCTAAATTAATAGTTAATAATGTGATAACAGAGGAAATTAAGATAGAGAAAGGGACACGACAAGGCTGCCCAATTTCCCCATTACTTTTTATTTCTGTTCTGGAGGTTTTGTTAAATATGATAAGAAGGGACCATTTGATTAAGGGTATAACGGTCGGAGCGAAACAATATAAACTGAAAGCATTTGCAGATGACCTTGTACTGACATTACAGGAGCCAGAATCTAGTACGAAAAGAGCATTAGAACTGATTCAAGAGTTTGGTCAGGTGGCAGGTTTTAAGCTGAATAAGTTTAAAACTAAAGTACTTGAGAAGAATTTAACACCGATCGAAAAAGAGAGGTTTCAGAATGAGACAGGTTTAACAGTGGTAAAAAAAGTGAAATACTTGGGGATTCACATGACAGCTAAAAATGGGAATTTATTTAAAGACAATTATGAAAAGTGTTGGTCGGACATTAAAAAGGATTTAGAAATATGGACAAATTTGAAGCTTTCCTTGTTAGGTCGAATTGCTGTCATCAAGATGAATGTATTGCCAAGAATGCTGTTTTTGTTTCAATCGATACAAATAATAGACAAAATGGACTGTTTTAAGAAGTGGCAGAGAGATATTTCTAAGTTTGTCTGGCAGGGCAAGAGGCCCAGGATAAAATTTAAAATATTGACTGATGCTAAAGAGGGGGATTTGCCCTGCCAGACTTTAAACTTTATTATGAATCAGCAGCTTTCTGCTGGTTGAAGGATTGGTTACTTCTGGAAAATACTGATGTTTTGGACTTAGAAGGTTTCAATAATGTGTTTGGGTGGCATGCATATTTGTGGTATGACAAGGTTAAAGCTCACAAAATATTTAAAAACCATATTGTCAGGAAAGCATTGTTCAATGTCTGGATAAGATATAAAGACTTATTGGAGAATAAAACCCCAAGGTGGCTATCACCAATGGAGGCAAAGGCCCTAAAAGTCCAATATGGAGGCCAAGTGGCCAAAATATTGGGAGATCTTGGAACAAGAAGGAGATAAATTCAAATTGCAGAGTTTTGAAAAATTAAAAGATAGAGTGCGAGACTGGTTGCATTACTACCAAATAAGAGAGGTCTATAATTTGGATAGAAAAATTGGCTTCCAGGTGGAAAAATCAAAGTTGGAAACAGAACTGCTAGATCCCAAAACTAAAACACTTTCAAGAATGTATAACTTGCTGCTAAAATGGAATACTCAGGATGAAACGGTAAAATCTGCTATGATTAAATGGGCACAGGATGTTGGACATAACATTATGTTTGCTGACTGGGAACGGTTATGGACCACAGGTACGAAGTTTACAGCATGTAATGCTTTAAAAGAGAATATAATGAAAATGGTGTACAGGTGGTACATGACCCCAGTCAAGCTTGCAAAAATCTACCACTTGCCCGATAATAAATGTTGGAAATGTAAGGAAACTGAAGGTACATTCTTTCACCTTTGGTGGACGTGCCCAAAGATCAAGGCCTTCTGGGAAAGGATATATAATGAGTTGAAAAAGGTATTTAAGTATACCTTTCTAAAGAAACCAGAGGCCTTTCTCTTGGGCATTGTTGGCCAATTGGTGCTAAAGAAAGACAGAACTTTCTTTATGTATGCAACAGCAGCAGCAAGGATACTCATCGCAAAGTATTGGAAGACACAAGATTTACCCACTCTGGAAGAATGGCAGATGAAGGTAATCGAATATATGGAACTGGCGGAGATGACTGGCAGAATCCGTGACCAGGGAGAAGAGTCGGTGGAAGAAGATTGGAAGAAATTTAAAGACTATCTACAGAAATACTATAAAATTAATGAATGTTAAATTGAGGTCTGATTGAAAATAACTGGTATTGGCAAAAGCCTTGTGATTAAGAGCATGGAATATTTGATCGATAAAGTTGTAATATTTATATATAAATAGATTAACTTTTTGAGTTAAGATAAAGAAAGGAGGGTAAGGATTTGCTGAAAGGAGTTCTTAAATGGAAATACAAGCGGGGAGATGTGGGGAAGTCAAAGAATTAGGTAATGATAAGAAGGTTAAATGAAAGTATAATACTTTTTAAATTTTTCTGTTTCTTTTTCTTTTTTTCTTTTTTCTTTTTTTGTTATGGATATTGTTATCTTTGTTTGTTTTTTGTTATTGTTATTGTTGTTTTCTGTTTGTCGAATTTTTGTATTTTTGCATCTTTTGGAATTTTTTTTTGTAAAACCAATAAATATTATAAAAAAAAAAACAGAAGCACCAGATATTGTTTTCTTGTATGTTCCAAGCAGATTGCGGAGACTCCGACACTCAAACCTGAGGCAGCCTCCGCTCTGCTGAGCGGCCAGAGGATGTACAACCAGACCTCATTACATACTTCCAGTCGGTAGAGCATGGGACTCTTCATCTCAGGGTTGTGGGTTCAAGCCCCACGTTGGGCAAAAAGATTCCTACATTGGACTGGATGACCTTTGTGGTCCCTTCCAACTCTACAATTCTAAGATTCTGTTTTAAAAAAAAATCAGCCATGGGAGGTGGGATTTGCACCAGGGCTGTTATGATGGCGAAGGAAGGTAATAGTTGCGCTTTCCTTCCGTACTGTTTCCCCAAAAGCTGCCTTAGCCACACAGCAACAGGTGTGTGTGTTGGGGGGGCATTTAAACTCCCCCCACTCAAGAGGGCTGCTTTCACCCCTCTCTCCTTGCCTTGACCTCATCGTCATTCCACGGTTGCTAATAATAACAATAACAATAATACTAATTTATTTATACCCCGCCCATCTGGCTGGGTTTCCCCAGCCACTCTGGACGGCTTCCAACAAAATATTAAAATTCAATAGTCTGTCAAACATTATGCTTCAGGGGAAAGCATTCCTGCTTCCCACCCCTTGGCACACCCGCTGAGTCCTCCTCACAGCCCCCTCCCTGGTTATCCATTTGTACTTACCGGGCCCAATCCTCCAGTCATAGGGGGCGGCGCGCACGGTTTGGTCTCGCACATAGCCATTGTTGACCAGGTGCTGCACCAGTGTGTGCATGTACCCTGGAGGTAGGAGGAGAGAGGAAGAGGTTAACAGGAGGGGGGGCAAGGGGAGGAAGGCTGGGTAGGTGACCTGTTGGAGGGGACCACTTCCTGCTCTGATGGCTCTCTGGGTTGCTCCAAGCCTCATTGGGTCCAGCACATTAGGAGGCAGGAGTAAGGATGCCAACTCCTCAATATATAGCTCCCCCCCACCCCGCCGACTGAAAAAACCCTCTGGTACCTCAGGTATGGGCACAATATCCACTTCCCAAGGTGTGGAGTGAGCAGCTTTTTATTGTTGTTGAAGCAGGAAAAGGCAGAAATTGCACCCTTTTAAAAAAATATTTTCAAGAAAGTAGGGAAACCATAATAAAACACTAAACATACATGTTTTTTTCCTAGCTAAAGATTCTTGTATTCTGGTAAACGCCTACCAAAAGGAAATTCTGGACAGTGGGAAATGGTTGGGCAGAGTGGGTGGTGCATCAAAAATTTCTGGAAGGTCCTCTTTCCTGCATGCCTACATTCAGTGCTTTTTTTCTAGAAACATAGGTGCCGGTATTCACTGTGAAGTTGTTACAGTAAGTGGCACACTTTTTAACAAAAGAAGAAGAGGTGCTGGTACTGTGTATGCTTGAATACCCCCTGGGAGAAAAACACTGCCTACATTACAAACTGAAAGTGGCACACACAGAATACCTTTTTCTAAAGAAGAGGAATGAGGGAAAGCCACAAAAGATCATGAGCAAGGAGGAAGAGAAGCCTTTCCCAGCTATCAGATGCCCCCTAAAAACCCACAACAAACCTACCATAAGTCAGCCCCTGCACTCTAGCTCAGAAACAACTTCCCAATGTCACTTCCGAAGTAGATTTGAGTCAGAAGTGGGCACGTTTCATTCACTCAGTAATAAGTCTGTTCCCAGTCATCGCTGGGGGTGGTATTTACTGATTTTCACTAATTGTTTGCTATGCATTTTACTTTAAAAAGTAAAAAGAAAGTAAAAAGAAAGTGAGGAAGTGGCGTGAAGTGCCCGCCACTCCAAGGGGGAAGAGGAGCAAGATCTGTTTGCTACTAATCCCGGAACAAAACTGGACAAGAATCAACCAGGGGAGGATATTGCAAGGAAGATGACCCTAACCAAAGTTTGGGGGGTGGGGAGGAAAAACCACCTTTGCTTCCCAAGGCTCCCTGTTTACTAGCGAGCACTGCAGAAGCATCTTGGAAATGGGTCTTGCTGCTAGATAAGGCAGCTCTCTATGACATGCCACGTAGGGCCCTCATTTTAATCCCATTGTGGAAAAGTCTCTCTTTAGCAATGCTCAAGGCATGGGTATAGCCAGGATTTTTGTTTGGGGGGGGCAAGCCTTTCATTAGGGGTGCAGAACCTCAGTTTGCTATGTATTTTTATTGATTTTTATTGATGGGGGCAGCGGCCCCTCCTTCCACCCCTTGGCTATGCCCATGGCTCAAGACGACTCCAAGCAGACTGAAGCAGCAAACTTCCTTCCTTCACCAGAGAGATGACTGATTTGCAGGTAGCAATGCCTCCTACCAGCCAGTTTGCTCCTGTCCAGGTATTCCACTGTGTGGGTTTTGCCAAACCCAGGGACTCTGATTTGGACTCCAGGGGCATTGGACACCCTCCGAGTTGTCCTGTTGTAGATCACTCTGTGGGCAGAAAGCAGATTCAGGTGCAAAGCAAAACACAACCACCATGCTGGGATTTTCATTCCTGGCTATTAAAATGTCATAGAAAATACTTTAAAATAAATAAATTGTAATGATCACTATGTCCTGCCAACCTAGCTCACCTTGGAAGGGACGAGAGGATCAAACCTTTGTTCCTTTCAGTCTACCTGAGAAGTTCAACATGTGAGGAGGTCTGAGCTGGTTGCTCCGAGCTCAGATGGCATGGCTCTCACAAGCAACTCTTGAGTTCCTATACAAATAACTTTTACCACTTTGTAACAGCCAAGTTTTACTGCCTGCGCAACTTTTCTGACTGATGTATAGAAAAGCACATGAACCTGACCTTTGAAGAGTTTGAAAGTAAACCAGTTTTTAACTTACCAAAGATGTGGTCTTTCCTATGCTAGGACAAGAGGGAACTCACAAGGGCCCATATTTTAAAGGTCTAACAGTGTATATTTTTACACTTTACTTGGTGTTGTGATTTTAAATCTTGACTGTGGTTTTCTCATTGATGAGTATTTGCCCCAGGCTGGGATCTTGGCATCCAGGAATACTCTTTTTATACCTATTTTTTCCCTTGCAACCAACAGACTACAGTCTCCATCATTGGCCATGCTGGCTGCTGGGATGGAAGAGAGTTGGAGCCCAGTGACAGCACACCAGGTCCCCGTCCCCTTCCTGTGCTACTTTGTACTTCTACATACTTCTGGCTTCCACCATGGATGAAGCGTCCCTCACCCTGTTTTGGCTCAGTTTTCGCAGACCCTCCTCACGTGAGGGAGTCACAGAATAACAAGCTATAAAGTGGCTTCAGCCAGTGACGTACTTGGTATTGTCAATCCAACAGTCAACCCCAAGAGGCAGGAACATGTTGAGGTTCAGCCAGATGGTGAAGAAGTCATCTGTCTGGCGGTAGCACATCCAGTTCACCACATCCGGCTTGTCCAGCTTGGCCTCTAGTTGGTTTCCCAGGCAACCAGGCACTGAAAGGGACCAGAGAAAGAGGAGTGGTAGCCTGCCTTAGTGGTGCATCTAAAGCCACCTGTGAAATGGACTAAAAGTCCTGGAGAGATTGCAGTTCTTTTGTAGCAACGAAAGAATGTGAGCGGGGTGAGATGGGAGGTTGCTATATTTTCTAGAGGCCCTGCTCTTGGAGCATGGGAATTTAGAACTGATGAAGCTTTCCCCATCATGGATATAAATGGTGGGCAAAGCTTCACCTGTCTATACCTTGGGAACAGGAGCTAGGCCACCAAAACAAGGTGGCAACCATTTTCCTAGCAAAAATGTACAGCCATTTGCCTGTATGGTGAGGAGAGTTTCTTGCTAGGCGCTCCTGTCCTTGTTAGCCAATTATGCGCCTTCTAGATGTTGTGGACTACAACACTCTTCAACCCCAGCTAGCGCAGCCAAGGCTCAGGGGCTATGCAAGTTGCAGCTCACAGCTTCTGGGGGTATAATGGTTTGGCCACCTTCTGCTGTAAAGCACCCAACAAAAGCAAGACACCGTTGAGAGTCTTTTTGTTAGGATCTTGCGGTAGGTGCGATGCCTATAGGATACTCATGCCACTCAGGTATCTTGGAAATGCCACAAGGAAAGAGGATGGTGGTGGTTCCCAGCCCCTCCCAGCCTTTGCTTTATTCCTTCTGAATCTCAGCCTCTGGCCTGTGCCTTTGACTGGGACAGGGGGATTCTCGAGTTTGCCTCCATGCTGGGTCCTGGAAGCACAAAGCAGGCCTGAAGCCAGTTGCTTTGAGGTCTGAGGACGTTTCTGTCACCTCCTGTGGCCAGCCTGCGCCTTGAGATCAGCTTGTTTACTGATTTTAATTGTTTTTATTTATTTTCAAAACTTTTTTTTTGCTATGGCAAAAAATATGTTTTTAAGTAGGTTAAACAAAGCAATACAACAAAAATAATAGTGCAACTACAAAAAAGCTCAGCATATCTGGAAGAGACTTAAATCGTTGAGTACTTAAGACTATTAGGGAAGCCAAATTTTGTGCTGTACCTTGTCCTGTGTGTATGTATTTGTTGTATATATGATAAAATCCCACCAAATTTCTTTTCAAAACTTAACACATAAGGATATTCCCAGCAGCTGCAGCCCTGCCAAGTGGTCTTGAAGGACCGTACAACCTGGAGTAAGTAGCAAATACAGGTGAAGAAGAGCCTGCCTGAGCATTAGTTGAATGCTTTAGTCTGGTAAGTCTTTCCACAGGTTACCCTGTGAGACGACGTGCTTATTGCAAAAAGCAAGGCATAAGGAATCACTCCTGTTTGTGTGCTTGGGGGTCCTGTGCCCCCTTTATGTAAAAAAGATACCTGTTGATCCCACATGGCCAGAATGCCTGTCTTCCTCCAAGAGTGGCTTTCACAGAGTCTCCTAGTGGATTCTGCCAAAGGGCAGAGTGAGATTTCAGTCCAAGGGAGCTGCTTTGTGTTTTAGACTCCTGGCAAGGTCTTCCCACAGATGCTCTGAAACAGGTGCTCTGGTGGGATCTGGAGTCCCTTACCTCTGGGGGTTGCAATAATGTGATTTTGCCCATGCTTGTCCTTAATGAACCTGCCATCCAGTTGGAGTCTCAGAACCTGCTGTCCACATGTCAGACGGAAGAAGATGGTCATATTCCATACTGTACCACTTTAAGGGCATATGGGGGTGGTGTCATATTTTTGAAAGCTCCCACACATATATGTGAAAAGCCTGCACACAATGAAACTCTCAAGCCACAAAGGATGGGGGCAGCATTGTCATGGCCCACACCATGGGACGGATGTTGCTGCCTTTGGCCTTTGGCCTAGCAAACACTCCTACCTGAAGCTAGAAGTAATGCAGTCCAGGCTTCTGCCACTTTGAGTAATGTTCTCCACCAACACGTGCAACAGAGAAGACTGTACCACTTTGAGCTGTAGGTGTGGAGTGCTATTTTTACTGTCCCCAAATGTAACAAAGCTCTCTGTAAGTTAAGAGCATCAGATCTGGGAGGAAGATTCTGTCAGGGCCCTGGGGTTAGGTTCAGAATGGAGGGGGGAATTGCCCTCAGAGGGGGAAAGTAGAAAGTAATGCAACAAAATACAGAATACAAGTTAAAATGATAAAAGTTGCATTAAATTTGTATGTAAGGCTATATAGGAAAGGCTGGGTTGAATCCCACAGCCCTGGCCCTGTCAAAACCTCTTTATGGCAGGACGCTGGTGATGAGACTGGGGGTGGGGAATGCTTTAAAGACACCTCCTGGTGCTTGTCCTTTTTTCTCATCCTTTCCTAGGAAAACAGGAACCAACTTAGATCACTTTTGCTCTCTGGCCAAAAAGACCATTTTTTCAGAGCGCCAGGCAAACAAAACAAAGTCCGGTCAAGGCCATTCAGTGGGACAAAATACTGTGCAAGATTATTCCAGGCAGGATCAAAAGGGACGGAGACGGGAGGAGATTCCCAGGGTGTGGGTGGGTGGGTGTGCACATACATGGGATGGAGAGGCCACTTTTGGGGCAGGAGTCAAAGGTAGCTCACCAGATTCAACACAGGACAGAGGAGGTCCTCTGCCTTTAACTCTTGCATTATGGAAGTGCTGATTTTTCTGCAGCAGGGGAGAGGGAGAGAGCCACCAGCAAAAATAAAATAAGAATTCCCTTCCTAGGTCCCACCCTCTACCCAAGATGAAGCACTGCAATCCGCTCTACAGTCTCCCACCCCAACCTATGGACAGAAAGGAACTTGCCATCCCAGGATGTCCTTCTGCTCAGCTCTCCCTGGTCTATCTAAGCATGACAATGCTGCACCTCTCAGAAAGGGGAATCAGACACATTTAGGAGTTTGTGCTTGATTAACTTGGAGGCCAAGAAGGAGGAGATGCCAGGCAAGACACACTGCCTCCCTCTAAGCAAGACCCAGCAGCCACACTTCAGCTCAGTTAGGGGGCTCAGGCAGCTGGATGAACCAACAGAGTTTATTCCCAGTTTGACCATCACCCTGCTAAGCATGCATGTCAATGGGTTGCTACAAGGTGACCTTGTAGCTTCCATGTTAGATGCAAACGGGATGGATCGGCTTCCAGGCACAATCAGATGAGATGGACCATCTCATCCAGCCCCACGCGCTCTTGCCAAGGCCTCCTTCATGTGGGGCAATGAGGGAGAAGCAGGGCAATGCAGGACTCATGGAGAGGTTACTGGCCTGTGTGGTGTAGTGGTTAAGAGCGGTAGACTCGTAATCTGGTGAACCGGGTTCGCGTCTCCGTTCCTCCACATGCAGCTGCTGGGTGACCTTGGGCTAGTCACTCTTCTTTGAAGTCTCTCAGCCCCACTCACCTCACAGAGTGTTTGTTGTGGGGGAGGAAGGGAAAGGAGAATGTTAGCCGCTTTGATGCTCCTTCGGGTAGTGATAAAGTGGGATATCAAATCCAAACTCCTCCTTCTCCTCCCCTTCTTCTTCTTCTTCTTCTTCTTCTTCTTCTTCTTCTTCAAGCATCTTACAGGAGTGTCAGGCAAGGTGGGGAGGACAGAGGAGAGCTTGCAGCCTTTCCTCTGGGAAAGTGTCCCCCACATGCCCTTTCCTCCAAGGTACTCCTCCAAGGGAAAGAATAGCATGGCTCTCCTCTAGTCCTGGGAATCCCACCAGTGGTTCTGTGACATCACTTTGATCACCGTTCCACCAATCTTCACCTTTATCTCAGACCTATTTGCATACCAATGCGTACCACAGAAAAGGCCAGCAGCCCAGCACTGCCCACATCCGCTTCTAGGTATCCCAGCTGAGCATGTCAGGCCCTGAACTATCCTAGCTGTGAGCTTAATCAGACCCTACAGATCCATCTGATTTGACTAGCATCTTTTCAGCCATCCACGTCTCAGGGGAAGGGGCACTACTGCAGCCAAGCAGCCAAAGCAACCCAACACAGACTCTTCTCAAACCTCACACCTGCCTGCCCAACACTGATCAGCCGGCTGTTCACAAATGACCACCCTCAACTATCCCACTGACGCCTCCCACCATGCCAACACTTTGCCTGCAGTGGGGAGCTGGCCTCCCCAGCCTCAGGACTGCCACTGCCCCCCTTGTCATGTGCCCCATGCCAACTTACCAAGCACCACAGGGGGAGTGTTGTTGGAGAGAGCTGCTTCTGGGGTGGTACTGGGTGGGAAGAGCACGTTGAAAAGCCAGAAGGCATCTGCTGGTTGCCAGAGGACAAGAAAAAGGACAACTGCAGCCCCAGCTGAGCTCCCCATTCTGGACTCTGCTCTGTCCCTCCAGCCACTGCCTCTGGTCTAGAAAGCAGCAGCCTTTCTGCTGGAGCACAGTATTTGTAGGAGGGAGGGTGAGAGGGCGGGATGTGGGGAAATCATTAGCAGATTCTGTGCATAGAGCAGCCCCATTGGGCTGCCTGGGCCTCTTTTCCCCAACCGTTCCAGGAATGGGTGGGAGAGGAGACGTGACTTGTCCTCCCAGTATTGAAGGCCTTGTTCTCAATCAAAGGGCACCCAAAGGGGTTTGGTTGGCGCTGGAATTTGAAAAAGCTACCCTCAAGTAAGGAGGAAATCTTACTGACTGATTGACATTTCCGGAGTAATCAAAACCATCTGATGCCAGAGATTCCTGTCCATATGACTACAGCTTGGAGCCACAAATGCAGCTTTCAGCAAGACCCCTTCTAAAAGCTTTGCATTCCTCACTGTTTGTCTGCAGGCTAAAAGCCAACCAAAAATGGGACTTCTGTTTGCAGGAAGCTTATGCATACTGTGGCAGTTCAGGGCAATCAGCTGCAAGTATCTGCTCCACACCAATGTATAACCACTTTCTGGCTCAGAAAACAAAGAAAGATATAAAGGTTAAGGTAAAGGGACGCCTGACCATTAGGTCCAGCTGTCAACTCTGGGGTTGCGGCGCTCATTTCACTTTATTGGCCGAGGGAGCCTGCGTACAGCTTCTGGGTCATATGGCCAGCATGACTAAGCCGCTTCTGGCGAACCAGAGCAGCGCACGGAAACACCGTTTACCTCCCCTCCTGAGTGTTACCTATTTATCTACTTGCACTTTGACGTGCTTTCGAACTGCTAGGTTGGCAGGAGCAGGGACCGAGCAATGGGAGCTCACCCCGTCATGGGGATTCGAACCACCGACCTTCTGATCGGCAAGTCCTAGGCTCTGTGGTTTAACCCACAGCGCCACCTGCGTCCCAAAAGAAAGATATACCACATCAAAAAATCAGTGGCACTTTTTGTATCAGTGGAAATTCAGTGGAACATAATAGCAGAGCCCAGTGCATGCTAGGTAGCACCAACTGGTGTGAGCATGAAGCAGGAACTGTTGGTATTATCAGCAAATGGCTTCAAAGCGTCATAAAAATTAAGTGGTGTATGTGCCCTTGAGTGAAGTGTATGTGCCCTTGATGGGGCCGCTTCTCAAAGCAAGCACACATCTCCCTCCCCCACCCCCCACTTGCCCCCCTACACAGTCTGTAAGTCAACTTACTGACTGCCCTTACCATGGCTGTTTAACATGCTGCGAAATACAAAGAGAGAAACTGACCTCTGAGCAAAGTACACAACTGGATGCAAAGCAGCCAAAGTTGTGTCCCACTCTGGGCTCTCTCTGTACAGGGAATGTAGTGACCTTACCACTTTATTCTGCAGGTTACAGAATCTCAGATAATTGTATTAACTTTGGCTATATGTCAGCTTGTGCAGATGCCTCATACAGAGTCGAAGCACTGAACCCAGCATGGTACTCTCTGACAAGGAGGCCTTAGGCAAAGTACCTTCCCCAGCCTGACTGCATAGGAGACCCCTTGCAGCCTGGCTGCAAAGGATTGCTCAGCTTGCAAAATTTGTACATGCACCAAATGTATTTGGCAACTTTGCGATGGCTTTTGGCACACCTCTCTTAGACTGCATGTGCTTCACTGCCTCCCCTCCAGCAACTGTGTGGGTCAGGGGCACTGGTGAGACCTGGCCAGCCCTTGTGAAACTTAGGCTGGCCAAGACTGGCAAGAGTTTATATAATAGGCAAATGTGGTGCCTCCTGACATTTGTTCTTTCCCATTGTTGCCTTTGGCCAGCCATTTGCAGATTCTTCTCTACCGATATGGAGTGGAGAGTGGCTGTTTTCATTATTTTTACATTGTTATTGCAAGCTGCTTTGATTCCTTTTAACAGAAAAACAGGACCTGAATAGAAACTAAACTAGCATCATTACTTCATGCCCAGAAGCAGCAAAGCTCTAAATATCAGATACTGGAGGGCATTTATCACCTTTGTTGTTTCTTGGAAGGTTATGAAGGTGAACCAGGGATGGGGAATTTCTGTGCCCTTCCTAGGTCCCTACTCAGAGCACCCACCACCCATGAACCCCTGCAGGTCTCTCTGCTCTGATCCATCTGTTTCCAAGAGCAGATTAGTTGGAGGGGCACCATTTCAGCAAAACGGGTTAAGTCCCAGCAGGGTTGTGACTTCCAGGATGTGCCGTCTTGGAGCAGGTGAAGATGCCTGGATGTTGCAGGACTTAAGCCTTACATAAAACAGGTGTTGGGATGAGAAGGCTCAGCCTGGCCTGACTAAAAGCAGCCCCTGCAGACCAACAGCTGCCAGTGTGGTCTCTGTGCCAGAGGAGAGGAGCTGCTTGGCCTCTAAGGCTGGAAGGAGTTAGCCAGGCAGGCACTTAGAACCACCGGGGAAGCCAAATCAACTCCTGAGCCTGAAAGTGCTCAGCACCTGGAGACACCCCCCCAGCCAGCATAAGCTGGAGAAATGTGGCAGTCAAGAGAAGGGCTCTGAATCTGACGAGAGAAAAGCTTGGCCAGGGTCTCTGCCAAGGCTACCACCCTCACCCCACCACCCCAGGGTTCTAGCATGGAGAGGGGGGACTCTGATAAGCTGACACCAGCCTTTACCTTCAGTTTTGTAACCCCAGGTTAACGCAGCTTTCCTATTTATCTGTCCTCCGGTAAAAAATAAAACAGAGTTCTGTCTCATGGCATCTCAGACTTAAAAGAGTAAATATGGCTGAGGCAGGGGAGGATGAGAGAGAGAATGGTAAAGTGTGAGGCCAAATGGCTATGAATTCACAAGCCTCTCGCCTTTCATGGCCTCCTGCCCCCACTATTTTCATGCTTTCCCTTTCTAGAACAATGTGCGTATTTGTACAGCCAGTAACTGAGAACAGCACTTTGTGGGTCTGATGAAGGGGACTCTTGTCCACAAAAGTTCAGGCCGTGAGGAACCACCTCTCAGGCTTCAAAGGCGCCACTAGGCCTCTTTGCTTCCAAGAGGCTCTGCCAGGGCTGCTTTATTCTGTCCCACCTTTAGAAAGGGTCGCCATTTAGTCCAAACTTCCCAATGCCAGCTGCCCTCCAGATGTTTGGGCAGCTGTGCAGGCTGGGAATTGTAACCCAAAACATATGGAAGGCACCATGTTGGAGAAGGGCAGTTTCAGGTGTTCGTAGGAGGCAAGGTGTGGAATTGCCGCCTACATCACTGTCCCTTGTCCTATTCAGAGACACAAACTCCCCTGTGGCAGCAGCAATGTTGAAGGTGGAAAACAGCCACAGGGGCCCCTCTGCAAGGCAGGATTAAAGTGGGATCCTCCTCCTGCTGCTCACACCCATCCCCACCCAATGTTCCCCTGAGGGAGGAAACACACAGGCGGCTCCAGAGTCCAGCACAGCCATTTTATTGGACTCCACTTGCTGCCTTAGATCCAGTCAGTGCACTTGATACAGAACCCAGCGGGAGCTCAGCAATCAAATCCCCAATTCATTTCTTGCCAGCAAGAAAGAAGGACGATGATAATAATAATAATAATAATAACAATAATATCATAATAATAATAATACACAGAAAGCTTATTTTCCTGGAAGAGTTTCAGAGAGAAGATGGAGGTTTCGGTGTAGGGCATAAATGGGGAGGCGGATGAGGATTGGCAGCACTTCAAGGGGGGAAGGAGGGAGGAACGCAATGGGGAGGGGGGTGTATGTGATGCACACACGCGCGCACACACACAGACACACACACAGAAGTCCCTCCCAGCATGGCCAGGAGCCATCATCTGTGGTGGCACCCTCCTCCTTTGGCCCTCCTTCATCCAGCCCACCCAAACTGGCAAAGTCCTTCAGGAGGACGGAAGAAAAAGAAGGGAAGGGAAGTAGGGGCAACATTGCTGGCAAACGGGGGCAGGGGGGGCAGGAACAGACAGGGAGAAGAGCATGGCTAGTTGACTCCTAAAAAGTGCATTTGCTGCCCAGGGAAATCCCTGGGCTTGCAGGGGAAAGGGATACAGAGCCTTCTCTATGTTACATTAAAATAGACTATTCTTAAAAAATATTTCAATTGCTATAAAAACCTCACCTCTTCAGGCTTGGCAGAGCTGGGATGCTTTGGAAGAGAAATGCATGCGGCTCCTCGGAAAGCGGTCCAGGGGGACTGGCCAGAAAGAGGCAGGCAGCTCACAGCCAGATGCAGGGGGTCCTTCCAATGCACAGGCCAGCAGGGACTCAAACCAAGCAGCTAGTCCATAAGGGGCAGGGCGAAAACAACATGGATAGTGCTAAAGGAGAGGGATGCCTTCATAAAGGCAAAGCAAGAGCCCCATCAGCACCCCTTCTGGACCCACACCCAGCAGTTAGGAAAGACCAAGAGGGGGGCGCTCTCAGCCCTGCCATGGGTGCAGTGCCACAACCTCAGTCACCTGGCCCATAGGAGAGGTGGTGACATTAGTAGCCGCTTTTGGCATTGATGCTCAGGAGTTGTCCTACCCCACAGGGGGGGTGTGTCTAATTTTGACCCCAGATTGGTGCTTGATCTGCACCTCCCCGCAGCCTGGCTCTGATTCCAGCTGGACTGGGAGGTGATGGGGTAGGAAGAGGCGGCCTCGGCCAGCCAACACTGTTGGACTCCTAGCCCAGGGAGGAGAAGAGGCAGCCAGGGGCCTTTCCAGGGCACCTGAAGAGGAGCTTGAGTCCAGGCCTGGGTCTGCTGCCCCTTTGCAACTACAAAGCTTGCCATGTCAGCTTAAAGCAAAGGCAGCCACTAGCAAATGCAGGCCAGAGTTGGCTTTTTGGTCCCTCCCTGGCAGGAAAGGGGAAACAGCATCCGGGAGCTCAGCTCAAACAGTCACAATCTGGGATGCCTCGACAGGCACAGCCAAGCAGCAGTTAGTGGCCGGGGCTTGGAAGCAGAGCGAAGGTGGCCGGGAGCAACGTGGCTTCCATCTGAGTTGGCCTTAGGGGCAAGAAGCTGACCTGTTTAGGACAAGTAAACCTGCAGGGACCCACGTGGCAAGACTCACATGGGGAGCCTTGCTGGGGTGGTGGGAGAGAAAGGTTGCCCTTTGGCCACTGTAAAGGAGGTTGAAAGAATCTCCACCCACAACGCCTCTGTCAGCTTTAGGACCAGGGACATCCGTTTTGCCTCTGCGACAGGCACCCTTGGCCTCTAGCAGGGGGACATAGGAGGAAACAGGCCTCCATAGACCCATTGGCCTCTCTCCAGCTGAGCTGCCCCAGAGCTCCCAGCGGAATCGGAACTGCCGATTTGCTGTTGAGAAGCTCTGGGCACACAAACACCCACACCCTGGTCTTGGGTGGAGATTTAGGTTCAGCATGCTGTGAACTAAGGGGGTGGGTGGGGGCTGTGGCCTTTGGGCAGCATCAGCTGGGACAAGGGGGGGAGAGGGAGAGGAGCAGCCATTTGGTTCACCCGATTCAAGCAGATATACAGAGCGAGAGTCAAAATGCAATTCTCAGGCAGGCAGGCAGGCGGGTGGGCAGGATGGTGGCAGCCGTTCACTGGGAGCAGAGGATGATGGGAATGGAGCGACCCGAGGCCCTCTGGCTGGGGGCCTTGCCCTTTCCACCAACGCCGCCATCCCCCTCCTCGGCCCACATCCCTCTCTTGCAGATGCAGACGCACGGCTCAGATGACGTGGCAACAGTTGAACTGTCCCAGAGAGAGGAGGCTCTCCTTGGAGGCAGGCCGCATCCGGAACGCGAGGGCCTTCTCGCAGAGCGGGAACTGCAGGATCCGGTCCTTCAGGTTGGCGTTCTTGCCCTTGGCAGGGTCCAGCTTGATCACGTCTGCCAGGCCCTCACTGCCACTGCCGTTCCGGTGGCCGTCCTGCTTCGGCCTCTGGGCTGGTCCCATCTCAGGGCTTTTTCGGAACTGGCCTTCCGGGTCTGAGGCTGGGCTCATCTCAGCAGCTCTCTGGCCACAGCTGCCCCGAGCCAGAGTCTCATCGTCATTCCGTGGCCCGTGCTCTTTCTTCAAGAGTCTTTCTTCCTCCCCCGCCCTGGTGCCTCCTTTCCCTGGGGGGGTGTTGTTGTTGGCCTCTTCCTCCTTCCCTGGGGGCTGCTCCCTTCTGCCCACTGCCTCCAAGATGGCACTGCCCTTCCTCCTCTCCTCGCCGCCCATCCAAGAACTGCCTCTTGGGCCTCCTTCTGCTGGCATTTCTGGGCCCACCTCCTGTGGCAGGCAGAGGCTGCTGCCCACCTGAGTGCCCGTGCCTTCCTCCCGTTCGCCTTGCGGGCATGGAGGCCTCTGTGGCGCTGCCAGGGAGAGGCCACCCTCAGGCCCTTGAGGCTCCGGGCCGCTGCGGGCCTTGGGGAATCCTGGGCCGAGAGCCTTCCCTGTTTTGTTGTGGGACGCAAGACTCCGGCAGAAGAGCAAGGAAGCCTTGGCACTCTGGAAGTCGCTCATCTGCTCCTGGTTCAGGGAAGACGTCCTCCTGCGGAACAGGCCAGGCTTCCCCTCTTCTTCTTCCTCCTCCTCCTCTTCCTCCTCCGAAATCTGCTGCAGGGCGGGGGTGCTCTTGGCAATGGGGGTCTCGATCAGTGAGGGCCGGATCAGGGCTCTGATGGGCTGCCCGCACCCGTGGAAGCTGGAAGGTGACTCATCCTCCCCCAGTGCAGAGAAGGACAGAAGGGACTTCCCAGAATGCTCTGCAAAGGCCTCCAGGGCGCTCTTGGTTGTGGGCAGTGGCTGAGGGCTTTTGCCTGCGGTTGGCAGCGGTTGGCCGGGGTCCCCCATGGCGCTGAAGGAGCTCCTGAGAGAAAGAGGCGAAAGGGAAGATGCTCAGAAAGCTGCAGTAATGGTCAAAGCAAACCCCAGCCTCAAGGAGCCCAAGACTTGCCTGCTCTGGACGTGCTGTGCCAGGTTGTAGGCCAGGCTGGCTCCAGGACTCTGCTTCTCCTGCTTCTCCCGCAGGATCCTCTCAGCCAGCAGGAAGTAGGTGGCCGTCACGTGGTTGTAGTGGTTGGCTTCCAGGGCTCTGTGCAGAAGGGGATGCAAGGGACAGAAGTCAAGGGGACCCTCGGAGGACCCTGCAAGGGGCATGTGGAGGTGATACAAGGGCAAAGGAGGTGGGGAGGGGAAAGCAGCCTCAACTCCAGGAAGGACGAAAGAGGCAAGATGCCCAAAGCCTCTCCTGGCAGAAAACCCCCAATGCTGAGAGGGCACTCACTGCCAACAGGCTCGTCTCAACCAATGAGATGCTTTTGGTCAAAGAGGACCAGCCTATCCCAGCCTGAGGCCCTCCAAGGTTTTAGACTACAACTCCCATCGGCCCCAGCCAGCACAGCGGTGCTGGAAGTGACAAGCACTGGCTGGGTCTCATGGGAACTGTAGTCCAAATAATCTGAAAGGCCTCAGGTTAGCCAAAGCTGACCCAGCCCAGGAGCGAAAGCAGGTGGCTCCAGGGCAGAAGTCCTCCACATGAGGAGTAGCCGCAGCAGCCTTCCTTATGACTCTTGAGGAGAGCAGCCCACAGCATCTGGTGAGGGGTTAGGAAGGAGGGCAGGGCTAGCCTGAGGGGGCAGCCCCCAAAGCACTTACTTCTGAGTAAGTCCTCTCTTCCTGCTCCCCACTACCACCACTTTCCTCCCAGCCAACCAGAGCCCTGTCGGATGGAAATTCAGATTCCTCCTCCCACCCTTGGGAGACTCACTCCTGGATGGTCTCTCGGTCCGCAATGTTGCCGCACATCATGGCTTGGATGATGATGCCGTGCTCTTCCTCCGAGACCCGCCTGTGCGACGTCAAAGGCAGGAGGGAGCGGCTGGCAGGGGAGGGGTCCACACCTTGCAGCCACGGGTGGCTCTCAATCTGCTCCAAGGAGGCCCTCTTCTGGGGGTCCCGCTGCAGCATCTGGGCGATCAGGCTGTCCAACAGAAGGGGTGTATGGGGGGGGCAGAGTCACGCGGAGGCCCTCAGATATCACATCTTTCCCGCTCCCCTCCTGTGAAGCCCCACCCCACACAGATAGGCAGCAGCAGGCTGAACTCCCCACCCCAACCCATGGCAAGATCTCTTCCCACCCTATGTGTTCATGTGACTCTTGTCATTGCTGGTCTCTAAGTGGGGGCAGCCGGGTCCTACAGGGCCTGCTGCTGCCTGGAGCTCAGTCAGCCTTAGCCCCCCCCCCTTCCTTCCCCACGGACAGAGGGAGCCTGGGACAAAGGGGGGAGCATGTGAAAGGGCACTGTGTCCCATCTCAGGCATGCCTGCCTGACCTCTCACACCATTCCCCACAGGGAGCAGGCCCAGCCCCGGGGGAGGGGGCAAGGACGGAAGGATCCAGAACCCTCATTCTTTCCCAACCTTATGCCCACTAGGGTCTACTCTACAACAACCATGCTGCTTTGGGCAGAGCCTGGAGGGCACAGGGTCAGCAAAGGGGCAGGGCTACAATTTGGGCAGGTAACCCAGGTGCCTTCTGTCTGGAGGGAGGAAGGAGGTGCAAGACCCGGTTGCCACACCTGGTGAGGGCAAGTGGGGTGGTGGAGGGACACCCTGCCTGCATGACAGGTGTGGGGGGAGTGAGTTGGGAGGGGGGGGTCTGGTCGTACTCTGCACACTCGGAGGAGACATGAGGGGGGGTCTCATAGCGACAGTCCAGGATCATGGTCAGCGTCTCACTGTCGTTGGCTTCCTGGAAAGGCGGGTGCCCACAGACCAGCATGTACAGGATGACTCCCAGGCTCCAGACATCTGGAGAAAGACAGAAAGCAGGAGAGGAACAGTGATCATTGGCCTGAAATAGAGAGACCCCCACACAAGCACTCCAACAAGTTATTGGCTTTCCACCACAGCACCACTTTGTAAAACTAAGGCTGCTGCGGAAAAGGAAGGTAGCCTTAATGCCACAGAACCGTGAGAGGGATCAGAACCTCTCCCCAGCCTCAGTGTCCTATGGAGATCCTGTGAGTGTCAGACTAGGACCTGGGAGTTCCAGGCTCAAACCCCCACTCAGCCATGAAGCTCCCTTGGTGACCTTGGGCCACTCACTCACTCTCAGCCTAAACTACCTCAGAGGGTTGTTGTGATGACAGAATTCGGAAAAGGAAAATCAAGTACACCGCCATGAGCTCCCTGGAGGGAAGAAGGTGGGGGATAAATGGCGTAAATGCAGGTGAGCACTCCCAAAGTTCACCAGCCCACCTCAGTTCCACAGCCCTGAACCAAAACGTTGTAACTTTTCATTGATCAAGCTCAAACAACAAGTGGCATTAATTGCAAGCATTTGATGAGCTGCATGGGGCCTTACAGGGCAGGACCAGCACTTTGAACTTGGCCTTGCAAACAGTGCAAATTCCACAAGCAAGGCATTTTATGCTAGAGGGTCATTTGCCCCCACAAGCCCCCTGGCTGCCAATGTCTGCACCAACTGCAGCCTCCAGATCAGTCCCAAGGGTAGTCCTACTTACACCTCATCCTGTATAATGTATGCCTTCCAACTCAGGACTAAGATGAAAAAAGGACCGGCACACCCTAAGCAAAAAAGCCTGTTATTTGCAAACCCCCCAAAAATGGGGGAAAGGAGAGAGGGGTGCCCAAGGACCTTGGCTGTCCTGGATTTGGGAGGGAGGTGCAGGGCCGAGTAAGTTGAGAGAAGGAAGCAGCAGTGAAAGGTGTGGAGGAGGACAGGAAAAGGCTCCTTCCATCTCCCTCTTGGCCTGAGAGCCAGAGCCCACCTTCCTGACTGGATTCCAACTCCTCACCATTCGGCTGAATGGCTGGGATGCTGGCTGGAGGGAGGGGGAGCCCAACAATGTCTGGAGGTCCACGGATGATGTTGTCTCTTGCCCCCTGCCCCCAACTCAAGAACCACCAAGATGAGCCCTGGGTTTGGATTCTCTGCAGATGAAAACAAGTTGGACTCTCCCAGCAGGACTGGACAAGGCAGGGAAAGAAGGCAGCCTGGAGAGGGGGGTGGGCAAAGCTCTTGGAGGCAGAGGAAAGGAGGGGACAGAGCACAGATGGCCCAAGAGATAAGCAGTGCGGTGGGGGCCTCAAATCCTTTGGAGCATAATCGGCTCAGGCAAGCTCTTGGCAAGAGCTGTTTCTTCCGCCTCCTGCTAGGCGCTTCTGCCCAAGTGGGTCAAAGGACCCCAAGGCCACCCAGGGGACCTTTCCAATTTTACCCTTGCATGCCCACCCGATATGCCTAAAGCTGTTCCCCATCCCACCCAGAAAGACTGCAACTGCAGCAACCCTCTCTGTTGTTCTGGCTTTTAGGGGGCACTGCGAAGCATTTAAATGACTCGGGGCACAGTTCATAGCACGCATTTGCATCAAATTTCCAAATGCTACTTTATCAACACCTCCAGGAAACTATGATATGTGCCTGGGTCTCCCTAGCTCTGCACCCAGGTTTAAAAACTAGGGAAGGGGTAGTGGAAGGAACAGGAAATGTCGGGTCCTGCTGTAATAACTGAAACTCAGTCCCCCTCACAACACCCTTGACAGCACACTGCCATTAGGTGGATCCTACAGAAAGTGGGGGTGATTGTCTACTGACAGTTGCAGGCAGGTCCGAGATCTGCAAGGGATGTGTGCAGAGGTAGGAGTGTTGTTGAGAAACTCCCTGGTTTCAACAGAACAGGTTGCAGCAGTAGCACTGCCATGCTTGTTGAAAGAGTCTTCTTACCTCCCTTTCCCAAATCAACAAGGAGGGAGACAGTAATGGGCAGCAGTCACAGAGTCTCTCTCTCTCTCTCTCTCTCTCTCGTGTGTGTGTGTGTGTGTGTGTGTGTGTGTGTGTGTGTGTGTAGCCAATGCCTGCTGAAATCTCAGGGTGGAGAGGTGGCTGTAATATTAAAAAACCCCACCCTCACTGTACAGCCTTCAGCTGTGGGGTGAGCCATCTCTCCTCCTACCAGCAGCATCTGAAGGGCACATGAAGGTCCTTGGAAAACAAAGGCTTCTCCTCCTCAGGTTTTTATTATTGTATGGGTTTTTTGTTTTTTTTAATGGTGAATGAATATTCACACAACTATCTGTGCATTCATTGCAACTATCATCATCATTCATCATTATCATCAACAAAACTGCTCCAAAACATGGGGTCCCACTGGTGTCATCAGAGGTGCTGATTGCCAGCACTGGGACTTGCTTTCTTTTGCATAGCTGGGCCCTGGGGAGGAAAGGGCCCCTGAAATCAACAGAGCCAGAGGCCCCCCTTCAAAGCAGATGCCTGAGAAGCTGCACATGGACACACCCACCCAGACTTCAGGGCCCTACAGCATAGCTATGATCTTTCCCATCCAGACCAGTCTGAAGGCTGGCTATCTGGCTAATTATTCCAGGAGCAGAATGTTGGCACATGCAAGGGAGATGCAGGCAGGGAGAGGGCTGCCCCTGCCACCCCATGGTGCCCCAGGAGTAGTTCAGGAATAGGGAAGCCCCCCCCCTGCAGTGAGGAAGGCAGCAGTGCCTGAGGCAGAAGGGTGCTCTGGAATGCTGATGCAAGACTAAAACCAAATGCTTAACAAAGAATGCGGCCTGCAAAAGCTGCCCCCGGGTGAGAGATAGAAAAATATTGTGTGTGGCATGTTCCTCATGCCGCTTAGGGCATATACACACTTCCCCCTTTTCCTGTGGCTTTCCACACAGAAAAACCACTCTTTAGTGCTCAGTTGAAGGAAACAACAATTCAGGTTTGCTCCAGGTTTACATTTGCTTTGATGCAGACTTAAAGAATGGGTTTCCCCTTGGAAAGGAGTGGGACAAGGGGAAAACCGCTTGGACCCATGCTTTCTAGGCATGGGAGAAGTGGAAGTGTGGACGAGCCCATAAAGAGAGGGGCTTTGGGTGTGAGGGGCATGCAACTCCAGTGGCCTCCCCAACTCTACCACATCCTGTTCTTAACTGGCTAGGCTGCTTACAGCAAGTGGGTTCTCGCAGTTATTCTCAACTCTCCGTCAGTGTGTTGCCACATGGTGGGAATGAGGTGGACCTTGGACAGCCGACAGGCTGTGTGTGTCCACCACTTGTTACTGCAAGCAAGACTTGTTTGCCCACAAACCAATGACCCCATCAGTCAACCCAACTCCAGCCCACACACCCCACCCTCCAGCAACGGGCTGGGGCCCCAGGACCAGCTGCAAGTCCCTTCAATACAGGAAGCGAGGAAGCCACTTCTAAAAGGGGATACTGACAAGGGGCAAGGTGTCAATCTGTCTCACTTTCACACACATACACTGAGCTAGGACACAGGGACTCCAGGAAAAAAGCCCTTGCCCCCTCCAGTTGCTGAGAACTGTGGAGCCAGGCCTTGCTTCGCCCACATATTTGCCTCAGTTTGACGGCTTGGCTGTGAAGAAAAACGAGAGGTTATCTCAGGCTCCTACACAGCTGGCTTTAAGAGGAGACAGGAAGCAGGAAGCAGACTGCCAGCACAGAAGAGTAGCCGCTGCTCCAAGCGTGCTTATAAATAGCAGCCGAAGGGGTGCTGCTATGCAGTCAAGGCCCTCGTTGCTGCAGGTGGCCAGGAGGGGGAGCAGCAGGGAGGAGAAATCAGCCACTGGGGGACTTGAGGGTGGGGTGATGCATGCACAGGGGGCGGGGGCAGAGGAGAACACCAGCTGTTCTGAAACAGAACATTTTCCTTCTAAGAAACAGAGTAGCAAGTTGCTGTTCACAGGTAGCTGGGCTCCCAGCAGTCAGGGGCGTAAAGAATGGTCTCAGCTGCCAGGAGGGCTTGCAGCTGTCTGTAACATAGTCAGGGCCCTCAACTAAAGGGTGGAAGAAGGAGGAAGTGGATGCAAATCTGCAACGTTCTCAGAACAGGCACATGGCCTCAAAGGTGCAGGATGCTGCGATTTCAGCTTTTGGTTCCTCTTGGAACTTTGCATTAAGATTTGTATATGGTTGAAGAGGCAACAGGTGCTGCTCACACAGACATCAACCCCACTGCCCTCATGTTGTCATATCTGGTATCTTTATGTGCACTGTGGCCAGCAAAACCAACACACACACACACACACACACACACACACACACACACATACAGACACTTCACAAACACCCCCTACAAAGCCCAGGGGCTAGCAAGGCCATGAGCTCCCCTGGAGGCAGCAGGGTGAAACCTAGAGCATATTGCAGTGGCTCAGCTCCAAATAGCACAATAGGCTCAATGAGAGAAGCAGCTCCATTCAGTTCCAGTCCTGTTCTCACTGGGCCAGTCTTCCCATTAGGCAGAGCGAGTGGGGCTCCAGCTGCAGCAGCAGCTCCCTGGCTCTTCCACCTGAGGCCTCCGTTTTTGCCAATCCCCTTTGGGTGGCATCCAGACAGAGCTCTCTGTGCACCCTTGTAAGCTAGCTCTGCTGCCCTCCTGCGCAGTGGAGAACAGGTGGAAGGAAGAGTCGGCTGCCGCCGCTCTGAACAGCTCCTGTGTGTGGCGTGGGAGGGTGTCAGAGGCAGCAGGGTGCCTTGGGCTGCCAACCCTGTGGTTCTTGATGTCCTCTTTCAAACCCAAACCAAGTGTAGCTCAATGGCTCAGTTGCCCCATTTGAGGAGCCGAGCACAGCAGGAACCCACCATGGCATCCTTCTCAAGCCTTTTAGGGATCCCACTGGCCTCAAGCTGCTGGATGAACTCTCTTGCAGGCTAGGAAGCCGTCATCTTTCACAGTTTAGGGTCTGCCTAGGCAGAGGTCTCCCTTTGTACACTGCAGGATGGGGATGTGCACTGCTCAACAAGCATCTTTTTGTTTCACACATGGTAGAAATGTTAGGGTGGGGACGGGAAAATAAGCTTCCCAAAGCTGCAGAAACCTTTCTAATTTTCCAGCCCATTCTCAAGGCTTCTGGCCTCCTGGTCAATGGACCAGTTTGGCAAGCTGCAGAAATGGCTGGCTCTCATACGCACACAGTTCATTATTCCCAGAGCCTGAAAGAGCCATCCCCGGCTGTCTGAAGTAGTGGCCATTCTCCTCCTCATGGCTCCGGGACCATTGAAGAAAAAAACAACACTCTGCTGGGCAGGCAGGAAATCCCACCCATTTCCCTCTGACCTCACCTCTTCCTTCCCAGAGCACCATTTCTCACTTCCCAGGTCAAGCAGCTGCCTTGGCAAAGGAAAAGAGGAGGGGGGCAGGAAGGATGGAGCAAAGGAAGCAGGCGAGGGTGCTCAGGCCCTCTGGCAACAACTGTCTATGAAAGGCTGCAAAATGCCAACAATCCAGCCCTGTTCAAGGAGTGGGAGAGGCAGTCAGAACAGCAGTCTCTCTCACCCCCCCCTCTCTTTCTAGAAGCAGCTAATCCAACCCCCCCTCCCCTCTGCAATTTACTGAACAGCACCGCAGGAATGGTAAGAGAAAACCAAGCAAATGCCACAGGTGACTCACAGGGCTCCCTACAAACTCTCTCTCTCTCTTTGTTCTGCTCCAGGCTACCAGGGTGCCCTGCATGCCAAGGAGCAGCATGGCATGAAAAGGGCGGCGGCTAATGGGGCAAGGCCACTGGCAGACCAAGGGTCAGCTGAGCAACAGGGTGTGAGGCCCAACAGGCCTGAGTGCCCTGTCCTGTGCAGCCCATGCTCCGGGTCACAGGAGGGTGCTGCAATGGGGATGCCAGCCGGGAGAAGCCACAGTCTGGAGGCAGGCTCTGCACCTGTCAACAAGCTCTGCTCTTTCCTGCTAGCAGCCGCAACCAAAAGTTCTAAGCAGGCAAGCAAAGAGACATATACGCACACACACAAACCTCCCTCGCACACACCACATCCTGCCCTGCCCAGGCCTCTTCTCTAGCTCAGGCAGTCTTTGGAGGTGGGGAGGGGGACTGGCCAGGCACACAACTCACACTAGACATTTATTCCTGGCTGGGCCCTCACTCGCCTCCTCTCTTGCAATCCTACGGAAGCAGTCACCAAGAATGGCCAGATACTGGGGAACCCAAGTCAAGATACCTGTTGCCAACATGAGACTCAAGCTAAGTTGGAGGGCTCAGAAAAGAACAGGGCGGGTGAGTGATTACTTCCTTCAGCAGCTTCCCCACCATGCCTGCCCCCACCCTTTAAGGGAAAAGGTCACAACACCCAACCATCCTGGGCCTACGTTGTAGACTGTCATCATTTTGCTTCCTTTGGCTCTGGGGGTTGTTTGTTCATTAACATTGGAGATTTTTGAGAATCAGAAAATGACCTGAATTTTTGCAAGACTGATCATTATTCAGTATTCATAGATTCATTCTGGATGGTATTGCATCATGCATCATAGTGAAAATCCTTTTTTTAAAATGGGGAAGAGGGTTCTGTTTGTTCTCTGTTTTGAAATAATCCATACCTTCTCCTCTAAATGTATTTACAGAGATTGAATTAACCACCAAAATGGTGACAACATGGCAGAAACTTCTATCCTCCTAACCTTTATCTGTTGCCCATATTTTGAAGGCTGACTGCCCTTTTCAAAATCTGGGGAGGGCAACACAAGTTCTCCTATTACAACTTGCAGATATACTACAAATGTTGCTGCGTTGTTGTCCCACTGTGGAATCTGTGTGGGCAATGCCACATTTAGAGAATATATTTATGTCCTACACAAACACAACTACTGACATTGGATTAAACTCCACCCTAATATGTCAAAGGCTCATGATAATCCAAGGCTGAAATATGAGCCCTGCTGGATCACAGCAAAGGGCCATTTCATGAGCTTGGCCTCTTGCTTTCTCTGTCAAATCCACAAGGAGCACATGAAGGTCTCCCACTGTTGTGGCATAGCTCCAGCCTCTGGCATCAGGTGTTTTGGACTACAACTCCCATCAACCCCAGCCAGCATGGCCAATGACCAGGCATGATGGAAACTTTAGCCCAAAACATACCAGAGGGCAGGTTGGCAAGCCAGAGAAGGCTGGATTAGAGCGTGGTGCTGGTAACACCAAGGCTGCAGGTTCAATTTCCGTATGGGAGAGCTGCATATTCCTGCATTGCAGGGGGTTGGACTACATGATCCTCAGAGTCCCTTCCAACTCTACAATTCTTCTAGGCCTTTTATGATGTTATCTGGTCTCCACGAAGGACCAAGGCTTTTGTGTGGCAGGCCCTGTCCTGCGAAACTCCACACCTGGGGAAGCGTGGCAGAAACTGTCCCTGCTTTCTCTCCGACGTCTTTTGATTGCTGGGGCAGGCCTTCAGAATACACATTTTTCTTTTAACCAACCAGCATTCACCAATGCTTTTAATTATGTTTTATACATGTTTATAGACTGTTTTGTGTATTTTACATGCCGTAAGCAGCCTTGCTATATTTTTTGAAAGAGCAGGTTATCCAGTTTTAAATAAAATAATAAATAAGGTGCAGTAGGTCTCAGGATGTCCCTCTCCGTCTCTTGCCAAATCTTCCCCCTTCGAAAGGCCACCAGAGCCCCCCCCCCCAGCTCTTACCGACAGCAGGAGCATCGTACTCGTCCCCCAGCAGGATCTCTGGGGCAGAGTAGGCCAAGGAGCCGCAGCTGGTGGTTAGCATTGTGCCTGGCTGGAAGCAGTTGCTGAAGCCAAAGTCCGTGAGCTTGACCACACCCTGCTCTTGGAAGAAGACCACATTCTCGGGCTTGAGGTCCCGGTGGACCACGTGGAGGCGGTGGCAGTAGGAGATGGCGTGGACAATCTGGGCAAAGTAGTGCTTGGCCTTCTCCTCCCCCAGGCCTCCCTCATGCTGCATGATGTGGTCGAACATATCCCCGCCATCGCCCAGCTCCAGGATGAGGTAGAGCTTGGCGTGGGTGTCGATGACCTCATACAGGCGGACCACATTGGGGTGCTGCACCAGCTTCATGCAGCGGACCTCTTGCAGGAGGTGAGCGGCCGCCCCGCCATCCAGCTTGCTCTTGTCGATCACCTTGACGGCCACCCGCTCCCCCGTGAAGACATGCCGGGCCAGCTTCACCACCGCAAAGTGGCCCTTGCCCAAAGTGCGCTCCAGGTCATAGAGGCCAGCAATCTTCCCTTCCGAGAATGCCCGGGCGCCGGCAGCCATGTCCACAACAGCCTCCGCCTCACAGGGGTCTCGGCATGGAGGTGGGGGCTGCAAAGAGAAGACGCAGAGTGAATGGAGGGAGGGGTAGCTTTCTCTATGGCCCTCTTCAAGCCCCCGACATGGGAGGGAAAGGCTCCCAGCTCCACTTTCAGGAATTTTGGGGCTGCAAAGCGTACCCTAAAGGAGCCCTGGCCCAGAGGACTCATGCAAGCAAGCCAAACCTTACAGGTTCCTTACGAATCTGCACATTTCTGCTTGAATTGGCATTGGCACCTTTCAGCTGAAAAGCCTAGTGGCAGCGAGAGGGACAGCAAAAGCCATGCGCTGGCCTTCATCTGAGGGGCTGATACAGCTTCCTCAGACAGTTTCGGTGATGCCACTGCCCCACCTTGATACATTCTGGAACCAATCCTTTTTTTGATGACAGCCCTGCCACACAGAAAGGCCAATGCTCACCACAGTTAAAAAAGGAATACGTATTTCAGTAAGAAAAAGGACCAATTTTAAGATGTTTCCCACGGATACTTTACATACATTTCCTAAACAATGAGGCTAATCCAGCTGCTAACTCATATTAAGGGGGCTGCCAGATGGTCAGTATTTTGCAGGAGACACCCAAGCACAAACCAGAAAGCTAAGTTTGCGCAAGGAAAGAGAATTCAAGAGCTCTGTCGCCTGAGCACAACAAACGCTTTAAGAAAGGATCTTGACTTTCTGTGGTTTGGAAAGTGACAGTGGGGGGGATGCACTGGAAAGCTGGGGGAGGACAAATGATCAGTGGGAAGTTGTTTTTAAACTCCTCAAGCAAACCAGGGTAAGGGGATGATGAACTGACTGGAGACAAACCCACTGTGTAAAATTTGTGCAGGAAATCACAAAGAAAGCCTACTAAATGGGTCACCTAAAAGGGCCCCAATTGACGGCTAAAGGGTGTTCCTCACTGTCTCAACCAGGCCTTGCAACACTTGGTTGATCTCATTTAGTGTTCCTGGCTCCCCACCACCACTAAAGCAATAGCCTTATTAAAAAAATATAAAAATAAAATATTTATATACCACTGTATCATAAGAAAAATCAAAGCAGTTTACAATAATACCTCTACAGAACTGAAACAAAATTTAGAATCGGAGACCAGGTATTTATTATGGAAAGAGGTGCTCTTAATAGCCTGCAAATGCAACCTGGCATCACAGGAAACTTTTCAGCAGGCATTTAAAAGCTGAAGCCAAAGGGGCACCAGCGGAATCTCTCCTGGCAGAGCCTGGCACTCCAGGCTCTATTTCACTTGCTGTCAGATAAGCCTCACCAACTCAGGAGACGCCAACAACACGCCTGCACATGATGCCAGGGAGCTGGGATCAGAGGGCTCAGGACGTCCCTAGGGTACCCTGGCCCTACGTTGTGCAGGACTTCCAAAGTTAACACAAGGGCCTGAACCCAGCTGTGCAGGAACTGGGCAGCCATCACAGGGTCCTTCTTGCAACCAACAGCCATGTCAGGATGGGAGAGAGAGAGCAAAGCCTGGGGAGTCGTTCGGGGACGATTGGGGTTTCTCTTCTCCTTTTTCCAGGCTGGCTTCCCTCGGCCTTGGCACAGCCTCCCCGTCTCTAAAGAAGATAGGAATTAAATCCACCCCCACCCCCACCCCCCACCCCCCACCCCGCCGCCCGCAAGGAGGCCTAAGAGCAGCTGGCTTTTAATCAGGCGGGGACGGACCCATTCCAAGCTCGGAAAGGGGAGTCCAGGCGCTACTGCTTGTCCCCGGCCAAGGTCTAACCCGCCGGCGACACCAGGCTCCTGCATCCTAACCAAGTGATTTTGGCAAGGGGCTGTTTGAATAAGAAGATTGCGGGGGGCGGACACTAGTATTTCTCTTGCAAGTGGATTTTTATTTTTATCTCTCCTGATTGGGGGAGGGAGGGGGGTTGATCGGCTTGCGAAAGGTCCGCAGCATATCCAGGTCGCCTGGGGGAGCCGCTGCCCAGCACCCGGAGCCAGGGGGACCCCGATGGCCCGGCTCGCCTCCGGGCGCCCTAAATCTGCCTGTGCCTGCTGCAGGACGATCATGCGGCGGGAGAAAAGCCGTGCGTGCGGGCGGGGGAAAGCTCTGGTGGGGGCCGTCCCAGGACTTGCTGTGCAGGGCTGTAGCGGGGATGGCGAGGGGGGGCGCCTGCCCAGCGACAAGGAGCGGGACGGAGTTGCTGCCCACCCCCAGCTGCCAGGATGGGCCGTGCGCAGAGTGCCCCTGAGCGCCTGCAGAGTGCCCCTCTTCCCGAGGCGTCGCCCGGGGCTGAGTCGCTCTCGGAGCCCCCGTTTAGAAGTCCATGCCGCCTCGGGGTAGTCGGTGCAAGGCGAGGGGCAGGCGGAGCCCGGCAAACAGAGGGGGCGCTGCTGCCACCGCTGCAGCTTCGGCCTGTTCCTGCTCCTGGTCGTGCTGAGGATCGGGGGGGGGGTCATCGGGGGGATCCGCAAGGGGCCGGAGCGATGGACGTGGGGGGAGGGGGGTCTACCCGGAGAGGCTTTGCTCTACAGGCCCTCGAAGCCACTCACCGGGCGGGCGGGCGACGCGGCTCTTCTTCCTCCTGCTGCTGCTACTGCAGCTGGTGCTCCTCGGGGCGGGCGGGAGTTCCGCGGGCGGCGGGTGACGTCAAGGAGCTCCGCGGCGGCTTCTTAAAGGGGCTCGAGACGCGAGGGGAGCCGAGCCAGAGCAGCCGCGGAGCAAGAAAGCGGAAGGAAGAGGGAGGAGAGCAACAGCGGCCGCAGCGCCCCCGCTCCCGCGCGCGCATCTCTTCTCCGGGCTCCGCTCAGCTCGCCTGCCAGCTTGCAAACAGGCCCCGGGGGCGGGGGCTGAGGATCAACATCATCCCTCGTAGGAGGGCTCGCAGATGGTTACAGGCGCTCAGGGCACCGCAAAGAAGCAAAGCCCTCCATCCCCAGTCCAGATGGGTTCGAGTTTCTAATGCGAATCGGCACATGCTCAGAGGCTTGGAAAACCCTATTTTGTCGATCTGTTGCGCCAACGTCTCAGAAACGTAGTAGAAGCCATTGGAGAGCGCTTGGTGGCCCAAGCAACACTTTTGGGGAGGGTCTCGCAGGGGGTCTTGCTTGTGGGCCTTCCCAGGCTTCCCACGGGCCAATCGTGGGATGGGAAGGGGCTGATTTAGAGCGGCCTGCGGGGGGCCTCTAGGGCCTTGGCGTTGGGGCTAGACACAGGACCCCCTTGCTTAGATCCTGAGCGGGCAAAGCGCCAGTTCCGAAAGTCCAGCCGAACCGAGAGCACCTCGGGCTTCCCTTATATTTGGGTTGCCTCCGTCCACCTTCCCCCATTCTGTAGTCCCAGGGAAAGGGAGGAAGGAGGGAGTCCCTGCAGCTACTGCTCCCCCCCCCAACACACATATTGTGGCCCTAATTTGAACTGCAGATCCCAGGAGCTGCAGTTTACCCTTCAGCAAAGTTGTCATCGGCGCATGTGCCGCCGCTGCTTGACATGTACACACCTCCGCTTCACTGCCTCTTGTGTTTTCAAATCAGATGGCAGCTGGTTTGAGAGAAGGAGCACTTTATATCCCAAGAAGCTACATGATACTGATGGATTGTGGCCAACAACCTCGTGTGAGATTGCATGGATTCTACAAGTCCTCTTCCTCCCCAGTGCAGTATTATGTATGATTATTCTAAAGACTTGGGTGGTATGGGAATGCACTCAGCACAAGGGCAAAATAAAATCTATATTTTTTTGATGTGGTTCATTATAAGAACTGGAGTCTGTGTTTACATGGTGGAAACTGTTACGAATGCAGAGAGGGAGGTGGGCAGGATCCATCCACTTCATTAAATTAAACTAGGAAACCTTCTAGGTTTGGAGAGGGTTGGGCTGCCTCAGAGCTTCTCTGCCTGCAGCAGGCAAAATATGTGACAAATGTGCTATGAATTCACAATCATATGAAAACTGGGATATGAATATGACATAATATAAACTGAGGTCATATAAAGACAAATAAAGATGGTTTGGTTAGCTTCTAAGACCTGGAATAAGCTAGACCACCTCTTGGTGATATGTGGTATGCCCTGGAGGAGCAGAAATATAGCACCTGCCTTTCTATAGATAATCAATTACGCCTGACTTGATATACCCTGGAGCATGAGGACCTCACAAGTATCCTGGCTGCAGGCCTTGGTGTTGAAAAAAGCACCCACCTCTTCCCATCAAGCCCCAAGATCCTCAACAGTGCCTCCTCCAAGTGCACCTCAATCTGAAGTGCAGAGGAGAGGGGCTGGGAGGGAGGGAGGAGGCCCTTCTCAGGATTAGCCCCCACCCCTGTAATGGAACGTTTTCCCTAGGGAGACTTTTGGTGCTTCTGCTGGTGGCTTTCCTGGCACCTGGCAAGACTTTTCTGTCCACCCAGGGAATTCTTTCACCTTTTCAGTAAGCTTTGTGCAAAGCTGATAGTGGCGTTTTGCTTCTGCTTTTATCATGCCTCTGTCTTGTGGTTTTAGCTTTTATGATACCATTTTAGCTCTCCATAGAGATCAGATGAATTTGTGTGGAGTTAGTTGTTAGACTTTTTAATACGTGTTTTGGATTCCATTGGAGCATTTTCCAGCTGTATTATTTGCAAATTTTGGTGGTTATGATTGGTTTTCAACTTTTCTGGGGCAATTAACAAATGCAACTCAACAAAGAAACATCACCCTCACCCACAGTTTTGTGACTTTGCTTGATTGACTGCTGCAATATTCTTGGGGTGGGACTGCCTTCCAAGGCAGTTCAAAAATCACAGGTGCTAAATATGTGCAAAATGCAGGAGCAAGCAGAGGAGACAGGAGCCTGACAGATGGAGATGGTGCACACAGAAAAGTCACTTCCCCAGTGGTAAGTGCTGGTTGTGGTTATCACATGCCCTGAACCCAACAGCTGAGCTTTCCCTGGCCCCTGTCCTCTCTCAAGGCCCTCAGTCTTCTTCAAAGGCCAGCCTATGTGGGTCAGCAATAAAAAAAAAATTGTGGCAGTGAAGTTAACTCTTTATTCAAAGAAACCAAAGCAGTGCTGCCCTTGTGATCCCAGCAACTCTTCCCAGTAGATCTTGCTCCAATGAGGCAGTTGTGAGGACTGAAGGTCCCCGCTTTCCCACAGCTGCCAAAGTCCCCTCCTCTCCAGGGTATTTTCTAAGCATTTGGAAGCTGCGTCTGCATGCAACCAATTTCTCTGCCCTCTTCATTTCTCTGCGTGTTCTGGGATACCCGGCGAGAAGGGAGCCGGCAGCAGGAGGGGGAGATTCCCTGGACTCTTCAGCAGCCTGCCTCATCTCCGTCTTCTGGCCCTCCTCCTCTCTAGCCTCTGAATCAGGACTGCTCTCTGCCCCAGCTTCTTCCTCCTGCTCACTAAACCCTGTTGCCTCTTCAGCTTCTGACACCTGTTCCCCGTCTGCTCCTCCCTCTGGTCATGAATCATCAACCTGCCACTAATCCCCTGGCTCTGGCCTTCTTCCCCTAGGGCAAGGGTAGGCAACCTAAGGCCCGTGGGCTGGATGCGGCCCAATCGCCTTCTCAATCCGGCCCATGGATGGTCTGGGAATCAGCATGGTTTTTATATGAGTAGAATGTGTCCTTTTATTTAAAATGCATCTCTGGGTTATTTGTGGGGCATAGGAATTTGTTCATTTCCCCCAAAAAAATATAGTCCGGCCCACCACATGGTCTGAGGGATGGTGGACTGGCCCACGGCTGAAAAAGGTTGCTGACCCCTGCTCTAGGGGTTCCCTTGGGGGCTCCCCAGCTGGTGCCTCCTACCACTCATCTGCATCCAGCCAGTCCACGACAGCCTAGCACCTTGCAACCCTGGCGCTTCTTTGCCTGGGCAGCACAACTCAGCACTGCCAAAGGTACAAGGGGGTGCAGGGAAGGGATTGTGATGTCTGGCACAGAGAGCTGACCAACTCATATTGGCTCCTCAGGTTAACTTTGCCACATCTTCCGCCCAGTTAGAGTGAATAAAATAAATGTTCATTAGAAAAAGCAGTTGCAACTTGTTCTGCAAGGAAGAATTGTCTGAGTTGTGCAGGAGAACTAAGCAAAATGTGGTTCCTGCTACTGCTCTAGACTGAACCCCTGGCAAAACTTCTTCCCGGCAGGGGTGGGTGAGAGGAACGAAAGGGGATGGAGAGGATCTTCTGCAGCTTGTATCAACTGCTGAGCCCCTCTTCTTCCTCCTGCATATAGTTTTATTTGTCATCTCTCTCTCTCTCATACATTTCTGCCTGTATTTCCTGCCTTGTGGGTCATTTCCTGAGCGAGTCAATCTATTGAGGTAGCTTCATTCGCCCCAATGTTCCCAAGGCAGAAAAAGCCAAGTGCTCCTGAAATATACTTGGAGTCCTGTAGTGATTTCATGCTCTTTATTGCAGCTTGTTAAACAGTGATTGAATTGCTCCCCAAACCCCAAAAGGCTTTTATATACATTATTTACACAATGAGTCCCGTCTGATTGGCTGATTCTGCTTCCCTCCTGGAGCCTGATTGGTCTTTTCCTGCAAGCCAATCAGTTGTTGCATTCTAGGATCCTACTTGCCTATTGTTCTAGGATCCAAGCTTAGTACATAGCAGCTCCCCACCCCACTGAAGGGCCCTTCCTTCCAGTTTTCTCCCTCTAAATAAGGGTAAGCAACTTTTGGGGGGCCTGAGGGACTACAATGGTCTGCTGCCCCTCAGAGAGCCACATCATGTCGGGTGGTCATGGCAAATGGATACCTGCCGACACACACTTGCCACACATACAGCACCCTCCTTCACAAAGATTGCTCTCTGGGTGCCCAGGCAGAGCACCATCTGCTCTGAGCCGCAACAGGTAACTTTTTTTTTTTTTAAAGAATATTTATTCCAGTTTTAAAGTTACAAAAAATATAGAAAAAACAAACCACACACATCTTACAAAAAACAGACAATAAGAAAGAAATAAGAAGAAACAAAAAATCACAGTAAAAAATAGCAAAAATCAAATTAGACCTTTACAGCCTTTTTCCCTTTTACTTATTTCCATGACTTCCTCTCACCTCCCTGCTTTGTATTCTAGTTTAAATCGTATCTCCAGCAAATCCTTCTAACCTTCTTTTCTTTTACTTATTTTAACATTCGAAAGTATTTAATTCTCCTCTATCCTCATTTTACACTTCATATTTACTTATTCCATTATACCATGTCTGCCAATACGGTCTAATATTCTTTTCCAACCTTTTTCTAACATTCTTTTATATTACAATGTTTCTGAAGATATATTTTAAAAATTTTCCAGTCTTCTTCCATCAACCCTTCTTCCTGATCTCGGATTCTGCCGGTCATCTCAGCCAGTTCCATATAGTCCATCACTTTCATCTGCCATTCTTCTCGGGTAGGCAATTCTTGTGTCTTCCAGTATTTCCCAATAAGTATTCTTGCCGCTGCTGTCGCATACATAAAAAAATTCCTATCTTCCCTTCGCACCAATTGGCCGACCATGCCCAAGAGGAAGGCCTCTGGTTTCTTCACGAAAGTGTATTTCAATACCTTTTTAGTTCATTATATATCATTTCCCAGAAGGCCTTGATCTTTGGGCACGTCCACCAAAGGTGGAAAAAGGTTCCTTCATTTTCTTTACATTTCCAACATTTATTATCGGGCAAATGATAAATTTTGGCTAGCTTGACTGGGGTTAAGTACCACCTATAAATCATTTTCATTATATTTTCTCTTAATACATTGCAAGCCGTAAACTTCATACCTGTGGTCCATAACCGTTCCCAGTCAGCAAACATAATATTATGCCCAACATCTTGTGCCCATTTAATCATAGCAGACTTAACCATTTCATCCTGTGTATTCCATTTCAACAGCAGGTTATACATTCTTGACCACAACAGGTAACTTGGAGCTGCTGCCTCAAGCCAGAGTGTGCCTCATGGAGCTGCTCCAGGAGTAAAGCCTGACTCTTAGGGAAGTATTACAACCGACACATCCATCTCCAGCACTCCAAGCACTCTGCCAGGAGAAATAAGGCTGGTTTTGCTGAGTTGCTATTTTATTATAGGTATTGATTTTTGGTGTGTGTGTGTGTGTGGTGAAGGCCTCAAACACACTCATAAATAAATTTCCCCCTGATCAGAGTTGATGTGGAATTTCTGCAGGTGTGGTGATAGTTTCTTCTGTTCCAGGTGCCCAGGCTGCCATTCTGCCAGGCCCACTGAGTCCTGCAGGACAGACACCCTCAGGGCAGTTGCAAGAGAAGCCACCTGCGACCTTTGCCCACTTATAGATTTAAGCTTCCAGGCATGGATCCAGGCTCTGAAAGACACTCTGTCTGGCAGTTCGTGCTAATATCATTTTCATGAAGCATGACCCAAAATGGGTCGGAGGAGCCCTGGTCAGAGAGACCCCCAAACTAGGGCTCTCCTTCGCAACAGGAACCACTGGGATGAATGGAGCAAAGGCCGAGGCAGGAAGGCCAGGCACAAGTGCTTCCTTCTGCATTGCGGAAAAACTTTGATTGGCGCCTTTCCCCTCCCCATGGAAAGAGGGAGTTTGTGTTTGTTCCCTGACTCCCCCTTCCTCTCTCCTGTTTTCAGAAAAACATGCTTTGTTGACCACTTTGTCAGTCACTTTTGTTGCTATTTGGGGCTCATCCTTTCCTGGAATTGGCTGTACAGAACAGAGGAGATTTCATTTAGCCCCTTCACATCATGGGCAAAACATACGCCTGAGGTTTCCCCTGCAGATTAAAAAGCTTTCAAAGCAATTGGGGTGGGGGCCGTAAAGGAAGCTGCTGCCTGCACTATGATGCTAATAACTTCCCAGAATCCTCTTTGCCCTTTGGCTGGTTACTGGCTGAAAACAGTGGCTCGCAAACAGAACTGGCCCAGAGATATTTTGGTTCCTGATATAAAAATCTAAGGGTCGGTCCTCCCCAGACACACACCTCATGAGGCATGTTATTGGCCTCCCCTTCATTGCCAGTTTGACTTTTGTGTGCAGGAGATGTTCGCAGGGCTGGATAGAGCTGCCTCCTATCTGAGCAACTCTGCCTCCCTTACAGTAAGGCTGCCTCTCACCTTCACACAAAAGCCCTGAATGCAGAATAGTCTGTTGTTTGCTGGGCTGTGCATAAACCTCAGTGGTTGCAGCTGTATTCAGAGGATGCTGAGGAACTCAGGCTGTTTCCCTGGACACCACAGCACCTCTGAACACTGATCTGGAAGGAGAACCTCCTTCAGCCCCTTGTATTGGGGGGGGGGGGAGAGCAGGCTCTGTTGACCGTGTGTTCTTCCTACTGTGGGCCCCTCGCTTCCTGGAAATGGTTGTGTTGTTATCCCTTTATTGAATGTTGGGGGACACACATCAGCCAGGCATTTCTTCTGCAGATTGAAAAGCTTTCAAGGCAGTTTGGGGCTGCCTCCTTCATTAGGGCATTAATCTCTTCCCAGAATCCTCTTCTTCCTGTCAGACAAACAATCATTAATACAGAGGAGCTATAAGTGTTATGCAGCAGTGCCTATGTTCCTGCCTTTATTTGTCATTATGGGACATGGGCATAGCCATGATTTATTTTAAGGGGCGCACTCTTTATGCTGAGGGAGGGGCAGAACTGAGTTATCTGTAATGTAATTGGTCAGTTAGTTACTTTTATTTCTTTTTTTAATGTTTTTATTAAAGATTTTAGTGGGTTACAAAAGTACACACAACATCTCTGCTTTCAGTACAACATCTCTGCTTTCAGTTAATTGGAAGTGCAGTTTTGATTCTCCTTTCTGCACAAACAATCATTAATGAGCTTTAGAAAACAGGGGGGCCCTCAGGGGACATTGGGCATGGGGGGGACACAAAGCAGGGCTATAGTTGTTGCTGGGGTGGGGGCGGGGGGGGGGTGAGGAGAGGTTTTTTTCAAGGCTTTGGCAGTTTCCTGGAATATGAAGAGGGGATGATCAGGTATAATAGTAGTTTCCAAAGTTTTAAGCAAAGAAGCAATGCTATTTTTGCAGCCTGCGGTAACCAAAAATAGGGTTTGGGGCTGTGTGAAAGCCTAAATTTCCCTCCTGTCCGCATTGTGCTTTAGACTTGCTTTATTTGTATAATTTTATTTCCTTAAAGCTCTGCAGCGCTGGTCTTCAACTGGTAGGTCAGGACCCACAAGTGGGTTGTGACCTGATCCAAGGTGGGTTGCAACAGGAGCAGACATATGGTAAAATAATTGATCCCTAAATGTATGTTTGGGTTAAAAGTGGGCCTTGGGTCTGAAGAGGTTTAAGATATCTGCTGCACAGACCTTGTGAGGAGGTGACCTCTGCTCCCTCATGGATGGCCCCCAATATTTCAAATATTTAATATGGGCACCCCAATCAGATACACAAAGCTGGTCTGGGCTCTCAAAGATCAACTTGGTTGTATGTGCCACTCAGAGGGGAACGGTGCTGGATCCCTAAGGAAGGCGAAAGTTCCTCTTATGGATCAGGAATTGGTAAAGTGCCACGATGCAGAGAGTAGAAATAAAAGAACAGTACTCTGAATGAAGAGATGTAGGAAATGGAGTCCTCCAAAGATTGATATTGTGACCTGTGTTTTTTCACTTGTTTATAAACAATCTAGAATTAGGGGTTAGCAGTGAGGTGGCCAAATTTGCTGATGATACTAAATTGTTCAGTGTCGTTAAAAGAAAAAGAAATTGTGAAGAGTTCCAAAAAGATTTCTCCAAACGGAGTGAATAGGCAGTAAAATGGCAAATGCAATTAAATGTAAACAAGTTAAAACCATGCATGTTGGGATCATAATAATGTCATATGAACTCTCATGGGATCTGAACTGGCAGTGACTGGCCAGGAACAAGACATTGGCATCATATTAGATATCTTGATAAATATGCTGAGCCAGTGTGCAGCAGCTGTGGAAAAAGACTAATTCTATGCTAGGGATCATTAGGAAAGGAATTGAAAATAAAACCGCCAATATCATAATCAAGGGTGTAATCTACATTTGAAATACTGTGTGTAGTTCTGGTCACCTCACCTCAAAAAGGATACTGTTGAGCTGGAACAGGTTCAGAAAAGGCAGCCAAAATGTTCAACAGGATAGAGCAACAGACTTATGAAAAAATGTTGTAGCATTTGAGACTTTTGGGTTTAGAGAAATGGCAAGTAAAAGGAGACATGACAGAAATGTGTAAAATTATGCCTGGCGTGGAGAAATTAGCTAGAGAAATCATCATCAACAACAACAACAGAACTCATAACCATCCAATGAAGCTGAATGTTGGAAGATTAAGAATAGATAAAAGAAAGCGGTTCACCCGTGGAACTCACTCCCACAGGATGTAATGATGCCCACCAACTTGGATGGTTTTAGAAGAGAAGTCGACAAATTCAATGGCTATCAATGGCTACTAGCCATGATGGTTTTGCCTGCCTCCACGGGCAGAGGCAGTAATGCTTTCAGTTGCTACAAACCGCATGAGCCGCTTGGCCTGATCCAGCTTTGAGGCTCTTATCTTCTTATGAAGCAACAAAATTCAGTCGTGCAGGAAGATGCACAAAGTGATGCTTCCACAGAAGCCCACCCACCCATTAGTTTGCAGTCATGTGGTCCAGTCAATTAATTACGTGTGTGATTAATAAAAGCCCTTAGCCAACTTGCAGCTCCGCAGAGCCACAGCACTCGATCAGGATAACGGACGGACGGACAGCAAGAGTCAGGTACAGTAACTTTCTGCCTCTCCCACTCACTGAGTGTGAAATGTGCTGAGCAGCACATTCCACAGGATAGGGCCCAGAGAATGTGTGTGTGTGTGTGTGTGTGTGTGTGTGTGTGTGTGCACTTGTTGCTTTGCACAAAGAAAGTGGTATGTTCATCTCCCATTAAGCAGAGCAGCCCTTTGGTGGGGGCAGTGGGAGGGAGCCATGGAAGAGGGGCAGCTGCTGCACACCTTCTCCTTTGGGGTCTGCAGGGGGCTTGGATATTTCCACAGGGCTTTGTCCACTGTGTACCCATTTCAAGAAGACATCTCTGTACTGAGCTGCTCCAAAGGTTTGCGGGTGCCTGAATGCTGCCCTTGATAGAGGAAACCAAGCTTCTCTTACATCCCCACTTAGCCACGGAACTTGCCAAGCTGTCCGCCCTCTCAGCCTAACCTACTTCACAGGATTGTTATGAGGGTTAATTGGGGAGATTTCTCTGAGCAAAGAAGGAAGAGGAGAAGATGATGGGCAGGCAGCTGGCTTGATTGCTTTGAGGGAAGGGAAGCGGAATGCAGCAGGGGCTTCAAGCCTCGAGATGACTGTCCTGGGGTGCTCTCAGGCTGGAGAGACAAACTCCTTGCAAGGTCTCTCTTTGGTCTCTTTCAGAAAAGCCTGTGAGGGAGCCCAGCTCTACAAGCTGGGGAGCGGGGGGAAGGGGATACAGTGTGCATGGTGTGGTTTGTGTGATATGGAACGCCCCCCCAGAAAGGTTGGTGGTCTTTGCCGTCACCTGTGTTATTCCCAATTTAGGCCACCTCTCAGCCCAGCATCTCAGCCCTCTCCCTTCCCACCACCACTTGTTTCTTGCTTGGTTATCCAGGGAGACCATGTTGAGGATCCTGCTGCTGTCCTTAGGACTCCTGCAAGAAATCCCCACCACCCTGGCCTCTAACCCCAACCACAGCCGCAGTCTGGCCGAGCGGGGGCCCTCCATGCTGGACAAAGAAGGCCGCTCCAGCTACCCAGGGCTTCTGCAGGTGATCAAAGAGGGACCCCCAGGTCAGTTTCTCTCCTTTCCCCTCTGCCTGTCTCTGCAGCCTTTGTACATGCAACACAGCTCTAATGTAGTTGAGGGGCCCTGGGCTAGAAAACCCTCTTGTCTTCCGAGTGTGGAAAACTCAGAGTGCTTTCCCCTTCGCTGGGTGGTTTCCTTTGGCCTGACACTTTTTGAGTTCCTGGATTAAGGCAGCGTGTATTGCAAGCCCTCTGCTTGTGAGTAACACTGTGTTCATGTTACGTACCAGCTTCAAACCCAGTAAGGTCATTCCACCCTCAACCCCACCCCCTGCATTTCAAATAGCATCTGTGCATCATTATACAAGTTGCCGGCTGTCTGTCCACACAGGTGGGAAGACAGGGGTGCAGATGTCTTCATATGGATCAAAGCTGTTTTGGAGGTAAACACAGTATTTCTCAGGAAACTACAGGACAGTGTCAATTCTAGCTAATGGTAGCTTCCCAAGCCAGCAGCGGGAGAGTACAGTATAGGGAAGGAGGCTGTGCCCAGCCACAGATGCTAAGAGCTCTCGTGGACAGGCTCTTTACCCATCAAGCAAACCCAGATTCACAACTGAGCTCATGCACCTAGTCAGTGGCGTAGTGTGGGGGGTGCAGGGGGGGCCGGCCGCACCAGGCACAACATCTGGGGGGGGGGACGCTCGCACTCGCAGCTCTCTGCCCCTACCTGGCTCACTCTCTCTCTCTCACTGCAGTGCTGGCTGTGCGAATCCGATCCGAGCTGCTGGGTCGCCGCCCACTGTGGAGGGGGTGGGTGCCAGGCGTGTGGTGCGGAGAGAGAGCGAGGGACTATCTGGGGGGAGGGACAGTGCAGCGGCCGCCCAGTGCAGCGCTGAGCGCGGGAGAGAACCACACCAGACCAGACCAGGCAGCAGCAAGAAGAAGCTGGCAGCGGCGGCAGGTTAGGGGGCGCAAATTACTTGCCTTGCCCCGGGTGCTGACAACCCACGCTACGCCGCTGCACGTAGTTAATTATTTTATAAATCACCCTCTAACAAAAAGTTATCTGGGCAGCTCACGGAATAACAATACACCACAGCAATAACAATGACATTAAATGAAGTATTAAGACAAGGCCAGATAAGAGCAAAAGAGGCAAAGGGTGGTGGTAGTCAGCTAAGTTTTACTCAAGAGTAGATGTACTGAAATCAGTGGACCTAATTTAGTCATGTTCACTAGTTTTACAGAGGAAAATTTAGTTGAATAGCACTCAAAGAACACAAAATTTAACAAATCACCAAAGGCAAAACAATCTTATTAGCTAAATTATTATTTAAAAGGCTTGGGTTTTTGGTCACGGCTGAAAAGACATTTACATGGGCTCCAATTAGACACCTCTGGGGAGAATAGATCAGAAGTTGTGAACAGCAGCTTCGGGAAGGCAGTGAAGGAGCTTCCACACCTTTGTTTTTCTTTCACAGATTTTGAACACCTGGCTGCTCTGGAGATGCCAATTGCCCAAGATGACCTTGTGCTAGAAGCAAACGCAATGGAGCCACAGCAGGTAACTGAAACCCTCCCATAAGCTCCCTGACTGTGCTTGCATATCAGAAGTGTCCCTACACTGAGTCAGGCATTGCTCCATCTTGGCCAGGATCATGCAGTCACATTAGCAGTCATTCTGCAAGAGAGAAGCATCCCAGATCCCAAATGATTGAATCTGGGACCTTACCTGTGCAAGGTGTGTGTGATGGAGCTATGGGTCCTCCACCAACGCCATAGGACGAAGAGTTTATTTATTATTAAAAGTATCCTCTGCCCTTCCTCCAAAAGGAACATTTGGTACAATTGCATCCTGCAGCTCTGATCCACCCCTCTTCCATACACTGGTCAACCTTCCCAATTTGTGCTAGATCAATGTCATGATCAGAAAACATCCCATAATGATACCAGTAGAACAAACAACTCCAGGTGGACCAAGCCAATGAGGTGGCATTTCCCCATCCTCCTGAAATGTATGGATCCAGAAGCTCCTTCCAAGTAGGAGCAGGCCGAGGTTGTCATAACTTGTTTTATAGTCATACATGTATTCTAAGTCAAACCCTGGAGGGGTTCCCTGGAGGAAGAGCAATCAGTCAGAGTCAGGTAGGCTGTTGACCAATATATGGGAAAGCAAGGTTTGGATTCATATACTGTGGCCAACGGGATGCTGCCAGGTTGCTTTCTGTGCAGCCTAGACCCAAGCCATAAATAGATGGATGTGTGTGTTTTTCTTTTCAAATGTGTATCTTCAGGGCAGCAGAAGTGGTTCTTGCCAAGCACCTCTGATCTCTTCATTCCTTCTTGTTGCTCTCTTTGCAGATGTTGCTGACAGCCCTGCAGACCCAGGGAAGGGAAGAGCGTTCCCCTCGAAGATGTGTCCGCTTGCAGGAATCTTGCCTTGGGCACAAGCTCCCCTGCTGTGATCCATGTGCCACCTGCTACTGCCGCTTCTTCAATGCCAATTGCTTTTGCAAGAAATTTAGCAACACTTTCCCCTGTGGCAAGAACTAGCCTTCATCAGGGTGCCACTCCCTTATCTTATGTTAAAATGGGGGCCTGTTCTTTTTACCCATTTTAATAAAAAGGAGCGACGAAAAACGAGCTTCTCTTTCCTTACAAAAGAAAAACAGACAAGCAAAAGCCTTGATCACCTCAGCAGATGACAGTTCTCCAGCATTCTCCTAAAACCCAAAGCTTTAGCCAGCCATTCTTGGCATATTTGGGTACTTGAGATTGGGAAAGGGATGGCTTATTGGGCTGTACAGACCTGGGTTCCCCATCTCAGGGTCTCTGAGTAGGTTACTGTACAGTAGCACTTAGAAACCTATTTTTGTCATGAAGTGTTATATTAATAAATACTACTACTGCTAATAATAATAATGTATACATATATTATGCCTGGGTGGTAAGGTTTCCAGGGCATGGAGCCCACTCCATGGTGGGATAGAATTTTGTGGCATGGTTATACTTCTGAAGTAGCCTCAGAACATGAACAGGGCACTTTCAGCAGCAGGTGAAACTCAGCAGCTGGGTCTACCAGCGGACACTTTCAATGAAAGGAAGGAAGTGGGGAGGGAGGGAGGAACTAGTCCTATATCAATGGATAAAAACCATCTCAGGAAGGGGCAAAGTTTAGAGCAGTGTTCAACAAACAGTGAGCCAGGAGCCAGCAGTCTGGCCAGCTCCCTTAGCTGTGCCATTGCCTTTTGGTTGGGCCAGTGCCAACCCTTGCGAAGATGGCTGAGAGACAAAGAGGTTTGAGGTGTGTGGGGAGATCTCCCTCCTGATGGGTTTAGGAAGGGCACTCATTGGATGAAGAAACTCTGCAACAAGACAGCCCCAACCCTGGGAAGCAGCAGCAGGAATGTGAACTTCAGTAGTTGTATTTATTAACCAATAACAGCTCAAAATTTTAGCATAACAGCTGGAATTTGTAACAGGGGTAAGATTAAGGTACCAGCTTGTCCCCACTGAACTTTGGAGGGAGCCACACAGGGTTGGGGAGAATACAGCAGTGACAGATCAGGCATCTCTCTTGACAAGCCTGCAAAACACTGCAACACTTTGACAGATCAGGGGCCACAGAAATAGAAAGGGGGGGGGGGAGAAAAGAATGAAAGAAACTGGAAGGGTCTTTTTGGAGGGAGGATGGCAAACAAGTCTAGTGTGAAAGGAGAATGGAAGAAGACAGGAGATGGGTGTAAATACTTTAAGAAACGTGGGGGTGGGGAGGGAAACCATTCTCCACCTGGGAATTTTGCGTAAAACGGGGAGGTGGCTAAATTTCCAAAGCAAGTGCCTGGACTTGGGTTGGGGAACGCTGAGCTCTGGGACTTCTCACCACAAAGAAAGCGCAGTTTATTTAGCAATTTCCAAAGATGACTCGGATTATCTCTTGAGGAAACGTCGATGCCAGGCATTGCTAGCTGATGGCAACGAGCTCCGGCTGCTTCTGCGCCTGGCCCGCTATTTTGGACCGAGGCTGAGTCATATTCCGCGTCCTCAAGTGGGCTGGGGGCATTTGACAGTCCTGGCAGGGAGAGTCCCTTTCCCGCTTTCTCAGCAAACAACCCGCTGATCTGCGGGGCCGCAGAGAAGCCGGACCTGCCCAGGGACCTCCGAGGGAGGAGGGGCGTACGATGTGGCCGCCAGGGGGCAGCCGCGCCATTCTAGGCATCAAGCCATAGACGTGCGACTTCCTAGAGGAGCCATCCTTGCCTCAGCCTCAGCGGGCCTTTCTCCGCCACTCCGGCCTGCTCTCTAGAAACGGCCCCGCGAGGCTCTCCTCACGCCGAAGTCGTCGGAAGTGCGGGGTCGGCCAGGGGTCGCCAACCGCAGCCGCGCTTGCGCACTCCTCACGGGCCCCCACTAAGTCCTCCTGAAAGTAACGGACCCAAGACAGTCGTGTCCATCAACCTCAGAGGGTCTACTCTGAGGAGAACCATAGCTGACTAACGCCCTGGATACACAAATGAGGGCCTGGAAGCACCGAAATTGCCCCGGCGGCTGCCGAGGTCTTCTGTTGCCCAATGGCAGCGCTCCATTGGTTTCTATGGGCAACCCTCATTTCCAACCCGGGAGGGGGCGCTTAAGAGAGTCTGACAGGAAACAGGAAACCACCCCGGGGGGCCTTTCTAGGAGTCGTGGAAGCAGCAGAGTTTTCGTCAGGATCACGTGAGAGACGAGACTTTTGCTCCCACTTCCGGCGGCCCCTCAGCCTCCTCCGAGCCCGGCCGGTTCCCTTGTCCGCCGCCGCCGCCGCCGCGATGTTGCTCTCGTGCTTCCCGGAGCTGTACTTCAACGTAGACAGCGGCTACCTGGAAGGCCTGGTGCGAGGCTTCAAGGCCGGCGTCCTCAGCCAGGCCGACTATGTCAACCTCGTCCAGTGCGAGAGCCTCGAAGGTCAGCTGGGGAGGGGGAGGTGTTCCTGAGCATGTGCAGAGGGCGAGGCGCCTAGCGCGACTTTTCCTCGGGGATCCGCTCCGGGCCCTTCTTAGCTAGCCGCCCACACCACGGGCCGCTACCTGCTCCTTGCCCCGCCGCCATTCCTGGTAGGTTTCGGTTGGCCTGGTCGCGCTTCATCCTCAGGGCGGCCGCTTCTTCAGTCAGGAGACTGGCCGAGCCTGGAGCAGAAGCGGGGGCGAGCGGGGGCGGGGGCGGGGGCGCGTTGGAGGTGACTTGCTTCAGCTGCAAGTTGTTTTGCTTGATTTCCTTGTGGTGGCGTTGTATGAGGAAGTTCTTTGATTCACCAGATTTAAAAAATAGCTCTATCCTTGCTGAGGTTCCTGCCATGAAGGACTTTAAAGGTAAACGCACACACTTTGAGTGGAACCTGGAAGCAGGTGAAGGTGCTGGGGTATTGGTGAAAGAGGTTTGTAACACCCATCTTAATACTGATGATGCGGCAGTCCCAAGTCCCCAGGTGACTTCATTCAGTCATGTCACCTAATTAAGCAATGTGGGGTAAGGAGAGAGAACCCTCCTGGACCCCAAAGCATAGATGCTATGAAATGACTGCCTAGGTCCAAGTGGAAAGACAGGAAAACAGTGCTGCCAACTCCAAACTTATATATGGTCACATGGTCATTGCTTTCAAAAGCCACAGAAAACTGCCGGAACGAACAGAGTCATGCTTCCCCTGAAAACACACACAACTTGTGATGCTTTAAAGGCTGACATGTTTATTGCAGCAGAAAGTTTCTGTAGAATTAGAGCCTCATAAGTTCAAAGGTAGCATCAAGCACAGTCACCAGCTTCTGCTCTTGTGAATAGTAACTGCACTTGCATTAAGATTCTGCATCCCCCCTCCTTTTCCCCCACTTAAAGATTTTTGGGCCGCACATCTTTGGATAGCACACTATAGAAATACTTTGGGGGGGGGGGTCTTTATGATATCAGCACGCACTCTTGTGTTTGTAATGTAACATGTCTGTCTCTCTGGAATTTGTCATCAGTGAGTGTTTTTGCAAGATAATCAAGAACAAGCTTTGTCAAATTTTTAAATGAAGGGAATTCCCAGATTGCAGGGCAGCTGTCAAGAGCCCTGCAAGTGGGAACTGACACCAAAGTGCGTTTCAGACTTTAAGGGCTGGAGCAAGTCTTCTTGGGGCTCTGAGCAAAATCCCAAATTCCTTTATGGAAAGGGAGTCATAGGAAGCCTTGTCACATTTCTAAGGCCAAAGGCTTTGGCTCATTCACTTAAATGTTAGCTCCATTCGGTTCATAATTCCTAATGAATTATGAACCCAATTTCTTTCCAAGTAAGTCTGCTTTAGGACTGAAGTTTTAGAAGTAATGGTAATGTAAGCTGGGGAAATAAGTAGCAAAACATTCAACATTTCTTCACGTGAGTTGAACATCCTTTTATCATATGTTAAATTTCGTGCTGCGTTTTCCAGATTGTCTTGGCAGCTTTTTCAGTTGAGTTCAGAGAATGTTTTGCAGGATGAAACTGTTTCTTCATTAATATTCTTTTATTTTACCATTAATATTATTTTATTTACTGCTCAATTGTGGCTAAAATTCAAAGTGATTTGCCAAAAATACTAAAATTATCAATAAAAACTATTTAAAAAATCAAAATTAACAGTAAAAGAGGTTAAAACACATCAGCATGTCTGGATAAGCTAGTCTAAAGAAAAATGTTTTTAGCAGGCACAGAAAAGAGTACAGCAAATACACCTTCTTGATATCAGTAGGCAGCAAGTTCCAAATTTTAGGTGCTGCTGCACTAAAAAAAGTGATTTTTTACAAATGTGGAATGGATATTATGTGGCACCTGTAATAGTGTCAATTCCACAATTGACATATTGTCAGTTGGGCATATATGAGTAAGGTGATCTGGTAGGTAAGCTAGTTACAAGGCGTTAAGGCAACTCCCAATTTATGTGGGGGTTACGTTCCAAGGCACCGTACGTTTAAGTGAAATCATGTATATTTCCTACAGCATTGAAAAAGCCTGCAAACACCCATCCTGCCCCTGTTCTGTTCCTCCCCGTTTTGTTATCGTTTCTGGGTTCAGCGCAGTTGCGCACCTATCAAACATTCCTAAACTGGTTCCTGCCGGTATCCTAATAGTAACCCCTTGAACTTGGCTCAGTAGCAAATTGGTAACCAGTGTAGATCTCTAAGCTTATCCCACACATAAAGTACTCAACAAATGTAGGCTGCAGGACTAGACACACTTACCTGAGAGTAAGTCTCATTGAACTTGGGAGGGCTTATGTCTGAGTAAACATCCATGTGGTCACACCGCCTGGCACATGGAGAATAATATTGACAGGAGTTCCTTCATTTTCTCTTTTGTGAGGGTAATCGGCTGACACACTGTGGAGATTGCAAGAGGTGGAGATGTAAAAGAGCCCTGGGCTGCTGAATGAACAAGCTACAATAGACTCAATTCATACCAATTGATTAAAAAAGACCACCTCATTTATTAATAATACTTACTTGCTGCTTTTCCAGCAAAAATTCTCTAAGCAGTTTGAGTAGTAAAATTGGGCAGCTGCAGCATCCCCTGTGCTCTTCCTTGAGTCCTTCATAGCTTGGTAGTGCCTGTCTCTCCTGGCTCTTTGAGCTCTCAATGGAAGAGGCTGTTCAAGGTGCTGGGTGTGTGTGTAAAGTCCTCTTGCCACTCCTCTGGATAAGTCCCCCTGCCCTGGAAGTGGGTCATTAAGTATTGGGCCCCAGGTGACACAATCTGTTAGTGTCCAAAGGAGGATGAGTTTCGTCTCATTTGGGCAATGGTATTGATGTCTCCTTGGCTTTACAGGATGAACTGACAGTGCTAGTGATTACATATGTTTTTACTCATTAGTCTAGGTTAAAGGTAAAGGTACCCCTGCCCGTACGGGCCAGTCTTGCCAGACTCTAGGGTTGTGCGCTCATCTCACTCTATAGGCCGGGAGCCAGCGCTGTCCGCAGACACTTCCGGGTCACGTGGACAGCATGACGAAGCTACTCTGGCGAGCCAGAGCCGCACACGGAAACGCCGTTTACCTTCCCGCTGGTAAGCGGTCCCTATTTATCTACTTGCACCCGGGGGTGCTTTTGAACTGCTAGGTTGGCAGGCGCTGGGACCGAGCAGCGGGAGCGCACCCCGCCGCGGGGATTTGAACCGCCGACCATGCGATCGGCAAGTCCTATGCGCTGAGGTTCAACCCACAGCGCCACCCGCGTCCCAAGTCTAGGTTATTACTAACTAATTAAAATAATTTATATATCTCCTTTCCTTTCCAGAAGAAATACTGAGGCGGTTTACAAACTGATAAAAGCCGATGACAAAACAGCAAGAATTTGGTTATAAAACCAGTTATAAAATACAGCTCCCTGTATATATAAACATACACATATATAAACATCCATGGAAACAGAACAAAAAGTTGGGAGATTCAAGTTAGGGAGCTGCTTGTCTAGATGATGTGTCTCAAAGCTTCAGCTCGAAATGTTAAGCAGAGCTCTTCTAATAGCAATCCTGCCTATTTGCTACCAGGCCAATTCAAGATGCTTGAATGGAATGATCCTACAAATTCCTAAAAGGGGTTGCTTGAAGGAGGAAGATCCAATTTCCTGTCTTTTTTCTAGCCATGTCTTTATACAGTGGATGTGAATGGGATCCGTTCTGGAGCCTCGCACGCATCCAGAAGCTAACGCAACCCGCGTCTGCGCGTGCACAGATCCCAATTTGCCGCTTCTGCACATGCGTGTGACATCATTTTGACCGTCTGCGCATGTTCAAGCGGTGAAACCTGGAAGTAATGCACTCTGTTACTTCCGGGTCGCCGCAGCACGCAACCCGAAAATACTTATACCGAAGCTACTTCAGCCTGAGGTATGACTGTAATTGGCAGGGGAAGGAGCCCCGTTTAGCCCATTGGCATGGCTTGTTGCACAATGACAGGGCTTCCTCTTTCATGGCCCACCCAACTATGGAACTTCCACCCTTTGTAAGTTAGGGGGTGTTTCCTTTGGTGTTTACTGAAGACACATCACTTCACACAAGCATTTGAGGAGATGTTTATGTATTCATTTTAGGCATTTTAATTACTCTTACGTTGATTCTTTGTTTTGTTTTGCAGTGCCTTGCTTGAAGGGCAGTCTAGAAATGTAATAAATACATGACACTGAATGACAGTTCTGGCAGTCAGGGGAAGGGTAGGTTGAGACTAGAGGTTTAAAACCATTCCAGAGGTTTCTTCTCTTCCAGTAGTTCTGCACATCTTTGCTTGTGTTCTTAATTTCCCTGCTTGCTGGGATCAGCCTCTTGTAATTCCTCACTACCACCATGAGGTGGTGCCCCAGACCTCTGCCTGGCTTTTCTTTCCTGTCTGACTTTGCAGTGTGTTATAGCAGGCATGGCCAAACTTGGCCCTCCAGCTGTTTTGGGACTACAGTTCCCATCATCCCTGACCACTGGTCCTGTTAGCTAGGGATGATGGGAGTTGTAGTCCCAAAACAGCTGGAGGGCCAAGTTTGGCCATGCCTATGTTATTGGGGGGGAGGGTGTTCCCTGCATTTATGGCCCTGTTGGCCGCCATAAGAGCCATTTCTTTGTCAGAAACTTTCCATTTGAATCTGCCTGCCTTTGAGTATATGGTTCCAGTTTGCCAGAACCAAATATATGAAAACTTGTGTGCTGTTAAGCATGTCTGCTGGTTTGCAGAATCTTCATTGTTTTCCAGGAAGCTGTATGAGAGTGTTTGAGAGTCTGCTTATTGAATGCTCTTGCCCTTTCCCATGGCCTGCTATGCTGTTTTGACCTGGATGTTCCTTGGCATTTGTTGGGACAGCCATGCGCCTTATTCTATCTAGTGCAGCATCATGTTCCCTCTTGCTGCGTGACTCTTAGAAGCTTGTAAGCAGCAACTCTCCCCTCCTGTTTGGCCCCAGCACCTGACCTTTGGGGGCTATAATGCCTTTGAACATGGTGGTTCCATGCTATTTATTTACCATAGGGTTGTGGGCTCATGTCTGCCTGGAAAACATTTGACCCCTAATATGTGGGGGCTCTGTAGTTATTTAGTGGGATGGAGATGGACTGTGGGATCAGTTTGAAGGACTCAGACTCTGTATGGTCCGCAGCTGCTGTTTACTGCGTTTCTGAGCTGTTCTTCCTCCAAAGGACAAAATGCCCCTGCAAACTGCCTGGCCTCCTCCCCTGTGAATTGGATTAAGTTGCAAGACATGAACTAGCCGAAGGCCACCCAGTGAGCCTCATGATTGATTGGAACCTGGATCTCCTAGATGTAATCCAGCACTAGCCTCTGCACCACACCAACACTGAACAGTGGTTCTGGGGCTGAGCCAAGGCAGAAGTGAAGGAGTCGTCAATCTTTGGGGGCCCATTTTGAATGCTGAGAGTATGCCGTGAGCACTAACAGCCACATCTGGTTGGCTCTCTCCCTTCCCCCTCCCACCTCTACCGGCAAAGAACACACAACTTTGCTTTTCCATGTAATCTGGGTAAAAGTCAGATCCAGTAGAATTAAAATGGATCCTCTTGAATTTGTAGCTTTTTCCCCTTCACCCACCCCCATCAAATTAAAGTTTCTTCAGAGGTGGGGAACATATGACAGTGGATTATGCTGCCCTCTTGTGCTCCCCAAAGGAAATGCATGCCTTTGCTCATTTGCTTGACCTAGAGCACTCCCCAGTAAGTCTATGGATTCCTCAGGATTGTGCTATGCTCTTTGACTGTTTGTATGAGTGTGTGTGTGTGTGAGGCAGATTTGATCTTTGCTCTGTGTTTCATGTTCGCCATAAGGTTTCCCCTGGTTCCACTAAATTTGCCCTCTCCTGCTTCATAATTATCCTTAGTGCTCCTGGTCTGCTTGGAGTTTCAGTTAAAACACCAGTCACTTGGTTTTGTTACTAACAGCTTCCTCTCGTAACTCAGTGTGCTTATTTGCTGTGTCTTTGTGCTTAAACAGGGAAAAAGAAGTGTTCAGTTTTTCAGTGCCTGAATCCTTGTGGGTCCTCATGATTTTTAAAGAGAATGACAACAATACCCTCGAGATTGCAGAATACATCTGGATGCAGAGGGTGACCTATGATTTGATTAAGATTTTGAGTGGATACCTTGTAAACATTGAAGATCTATCAGGATCTGTACATCAGTCATGGTTTTGCACCACAGCAGTAATAGAAAGCACCAGATTCATTAGTCAGTGGAGAGAAATGTTTGTGATTTGATAGTGGAAACCTGTGGAAAAATTATGCCGTTTCAAAAGATCATCTTTTCCAAAGTGTGTACATGCCTGTGTGCAGGCACCTTCTATCTGCCCTCTAACACTCTCCCCTCAATTCTCTCTCCTCACTCACTCATACACCACACAACTCTTCCTCCATTATCTCCCTTGATTTCTGTGGCATCTCACTTTCTCCCCCCCCCCCCCGACCCTCTGTTTTCCTGCCATGAATCTCCCTTTCCCTTTTGCTCTTACCATCTTGTTCCTTCTGCTTTTTGTTCACGTGCTGTGCTGTTCTGAGCCTTGAAAAGCACATAGAGCTGAAGGAGGAAGTGGGAAGGAGAATGAGTCTTCCAACTTCCTCCTTCAGCTCTAAGTGCTTTTCAAGGCTCAGAACAGCATGTGAACCAAAAAAGCAGATACTATCACTTCAAGGTATCCACTGTAGCACCCTTAGTGGCTGGCTTGTTTGACAGCTAGGTATAGGGCAGGACACATTTAAAGGGCCGCTTCCTAAAGCAACGGTGTGGCTTTTCGAACATTAGTGTTTGGTTTATGTTTTCTGTGTTTGGGAATGTGTTTAATGCACTTACATACATGCATTTATTTTATGGAACCTCAGTTTTCTTATTTCACAGTCAGATAGAAATGGATGCTCAACTGCCCAGCTCTTGTGCACTTCCAGTGATTTCTTGTTAAAAAGTGCATGCAGACAGGTACAGAAATACCTACCTCCATGGCCCAGATGGAGATTGAGGAATGACTGAAGGGAGGGGCCAGAAAACACAACATAAAATAATTTAGTCATACTTTGACCACTGAAATGGATGGGAAAACTGAGCTATTCCTATGAAAAGCATAAGACTAAAAGCAGAGTATGTAGATGATCAGCTGTCAGTTGTGCACACCAACAAATCAGGTCTAACCAACAACCCCATGTTGGTTTCTCATTTGTCCCCATGTTTCTCATTTGTTTGGTCAAACTGCAGCTGCTGCCCATATTTGGAGACTTTGCTGTGTCCCTTAAAGGCGCCTCTTCTAGAGAGCAAGCTTGAAGATTGCATCCTTGTCTGCCCTCAGGCTTGGCCCATCATTGCTGGGCCTTTCTGTCCTTGGAACAGCCCGAAATCCATTAACCTTTGAAAAAAGTCAGATTAGCATTGCAGATGAATAGAAGCCATGAAGACAGGCAGCCAAAGGGGGAGGATCTTCTTAAAGAGGGATGGCCAGCCACTCTGTGCTCCTTGGGAGAAGGGTTGTCATGCTTGCTGACAGTCTGATTCTGTAATAAAACCAGTGAGGTATAGCGATGTGGGCTTTGTCATTACGGAACGTGGAATTCCCAGGGCATTTGGCATGCAGATGTCACCTTTGCACATGACTACCATCTCATGCAACTATAAAGCAATTTAACTTCTTTATAAGTAGAAATGTGGGCAAACTTTTCACCACATCTTTGTAAAATTTGGTAGACCATTGGAAGCCAGATAAAAATTGCTTTTGGGCTGGATCTGGCCTGGGTGCTCTCTCTCCCTGCCCCCCCCAGTAGTGTCCTGCAGGAGGACCTGCTGGACTGGCTGTGGTCTGAAAGGGGGCCTGTCCTTCAGCTGCATCAAGTCCCTGATGTGCCCTGTTCAGAATTGGAGCCACTGAGGGCACTGAGGTTGTCTCCCCATCTGCCCAAGCTCTCAGTAGCCAAAGCAAAGTGCTTGGGGGATTTGTGCCTTTGAGGAAGCTGTGTTGTGTTTGGGTCTTCCTTAGCAGCTGCAGAGGGAGAGGCTTGTGCTCAAAATAGAGTGAGAGCCCTCTAGGCCAGAGCTGCTAGGTTGGTCACTGGGCAGAATGCTGGATGCTGATCTGTAGATGAGGAAAGGTTGGAAGAATGTGGCATATTTAGCCTGGAGCTTAGAGGGGAGCATAATATAGCCATCTTCCAATACCTGAAGGGCTTCCAGGCAGAGGAGGGTAAAGGAGTTTCCTTTGCTGCCCAAGGGAGCAGGATTTGATTGAGTGTGCTGAGAGCACAAGCAAAAGAGTCCATTTCAGGTGAACATTAGGAGAAATGGATTGGCAGTAGGAGCTGTCCGACCATGGAGCCTATAGAGAGTCTGGGCTCTCCTTTGCTTAGAGGTCTTCAGACAGAGAGGCTGGGTGGCCACTCTGTTATCTGCTGCAGGTAGGGAGGGTGTACTAGCCTCGGTTTCTAGGCCCCTTTATTCTCAAAGATCAAATACGCTAGTTTGGCTTTTTTTTTTTAAATGAAAAACAGGAACTTGAGGAACCTTGAGATTTTACCACAGAAAGGGTGGTTTCCAAGCCTGCAACTTTATTGCCTGAAAAGATGCTGCTGCATCAGTGAGATTGTTCTGCCATCCTGCAGCCTTGCAAGTAAGCTTTGAAATAACTTGGGCAGAGTGGAATAACCCTTTGGCGTCTCACTAGATCTGTTGTCTGTATTGCTAGATCAGACCTGGCAAAAGAGGGTGCCTTGACCGTGCCTTCGGTGCTCTGACCTTTTGTATTTAAGTAACTTATCACAGGTATAAGATGGAGGCTGCTGTCCAGCTGCTGCTATGAGAGGCAGTAGTTGCTCCAAACCAGCCTTTGAGTTGGTTGGTCTTGCATGTAACTGGCCCCCATTTTGCGCCTCACTCAGAGAGAGGCACTGCTCCTTTTGACCTTGGATGCATTCTCTCTCCTTCCCCCTTTACTTGGTTCTTGCTGTAAAGTTGAGCTGTGATTATGCAACTTGCTGTTTCCCTGGAGGCATCGAGAACCTTGAAGTTCTTTAGATTCCAAGAAACTCGGAGCAATTTGGGCGGGTGTTTTCCATCTGGTTCCATTCAGTCTCTCCTCCCCCCCCCCACCCCTTCTGTGCCCCTTTACTGCCCGAGGGAAGGTCTGTTAAGTGAACTCCCAGAAAAAGGAAAGGAAGGAGAATCCTTTGTGCTGGGGCCACAAGTGGCTCTTTAAAGAGCATGTTTAAACTTGTGGGTTTCATGGCTGGTGAGGCTCACAGCCTGTAGGGATGCATAAAGGAATTATGTGGAGCCCAAAAGGTACAGATTTGGGTGGGGTATGACCGAGGCCAGATCACTCTGCATGCTGGAGTCTTTGTCAGAACAGCTGGGATGGGGGTTAGTCAGTGTAAGAGAGCTGCAAGCATAACGTGAAGCTGGAAGGGCAGGTCTTGGGAAGCAAGGCTGAAATAACTGGATGTATTTAGCCTGCCCTGGGTGCTGTCTCATGCCAGATTAGAACATTGGTCCATCTCGCTTTGTTGTTGTGTACACTGGCAGCAAAGGCTTTCCACGGTTTCAGATGGAAGCCTTACCTAGCCCATTCTGGAGATGCTGCCAGGGATTGAACCTGAGACCTTTTGGGACCATGGTGCTAGAGCCCATACCTAAAGAAGCCTGATTATCAGAGCCTGAACCATGAAGCCTTTCCTTGGCAGATAAGAGATGTCTTTCCAGGGCAGGTAGTTGTAAGCCAGTGGGCCACATTGTGACTGGTAGTGGTCCTGCTCTTCGCCTATGCCCTGGTGGGGGAAAGCTTCAGCTGTTTTCCTCAAAACCTGTCTTGAGTGAAAGAGAAAATACGTCTGTGCATGTGGATTTGACACAGGGTTGAACTATTTCTTGCCACCTTCCTCTTCCCGCTACAGCAGCATGTCAACCTGGGCCTCATGTCGCTCCATTCCTGACTGGTCCACTAAGTCCCTCTGCACCTTTACTGAAATTGCTGATCTTCCAACAAAAACATGTAACTTGTCACTAAGATCAGACTCCATATCTGAAGACTGGAAAATGGCTAATATGACAACAATTTTTGGAGAGATCCACGTTGCATTCTGGAAATTACTAGGCCAGTTAGCTTAATGTTTCTTCCGGAAGACTGGTGGAAAGTGTTATTAAAGATAAAATAAGCAGGCATATAGAAGAATAAGCCTTTGCTGAAGCAGAACCAGCATGGCTTCTGCAAGGGTGAGCCCTGCCTCATTAACACATTTGAATTATTTTGAGAGTGCCAATAAGCATATAGATTAAGATGACCCAGTCAAAATAGTATGCATAGACTTTCAAAGTCTCATGAATCAAGTCTCATGAGAAAGCTTAGCGGTCACGAAGTGAGAAGTGAGGTTCTTTTGCGAATCAGAAACCAGCTAAGAAGCAGGAAGCAGAGAGCAGGAATAAATGAACAGTTCTTCCATTGGAGGAATGAACTGATTGTGACTGACCAGGAACAAGAGCTTGGGATCATAGTGGATAGCCCAGTGTGAGGCAGCTGTGAAAATGGCAAATTCCATGCCAAGGATCATTAGGAAAGGAATAAAAATTAAAACTGCTTTTATATCACCATTATACAAATTATTGTGTGGCTGCACTTTGAATACTGTGCACTGTTCTGGTCACCTCACCTCAAAAAGTTGTGGAATTGGAAAAGATTCAGAAAAGGGCAACCAGAATGATCATGGGGATGGAGAAACTTTCATATGAGGAAAGGTCACAGCTGTTAGGACTTTTTAGTTTAGAGAAAATGCAAGTAAAAAGTGACATGCTAGAAGTTTATAAAATGATGCATGGCATCATTTTATAGAAAAAGGTTTTTCTCCCTCTCTATGTCACTAGAATTTATATATCACTTAATCACTAGTGTTTCTAAGCAGTGGAGTAAAAGAGAGAATGAAACAATAAAAATCCATAATAAAACTGATCCGTATACCTTAAAATGACTGCTTGGTTGACCTCTATTTGAAAAGTTGTTTGGCAAAGGTAGTTCTGGTGTTTTGTACTGATGACTCACCATATGAGCAGGTCATCTCTCATCTGGTCCACTTATGGTCTCATCACCACCGGTTGGTAAATAGTCATGGTCTTCTAGGAAACGGACAAATTGATTACTTTCTGCCTCCTCAGGTACTTAAAATAATAATTTCTTTCACGATGTACTAACTAGCTGAAGTTGAATGTGCTGGTTGCTTTGACTGGCTTCTTTGAAAGGCTTGCATCAGGGTGCTTGAGTATTTGCACAGTTCTTTCCCAGGCAGTTGGGTGCGGTGGAATAGCATTGGGAGGCCACTCAGGCTTCCTGGTGGCAGAATGGAATGAATGGGTCAGCTGGCCCAGTGAAGAAGGGATCAGAGAAGCCTGTTTCTTCTCTGTTGCCTCTCCTAGGCCCAAAATGCTGCTTGGCAAGTTTACAGCCTCAACTGCCACTCCCAGCCCCAGCCCGCTGTTCCTTACAGAGACTTCCAAGCTTGTTGCTGTTATCACATGTCTTTGGCAAAGCCACAGCACTGGCCACGGCATAAAATACAAGGCTTGCTATATGGTAACAATGGGGCATGTGGTGTCCTTCGTTTTATTTCTAGGGCAAAATATGGCCTTGTACCTTTTCACATTCCTGGGTCTGTGCTTGGCAGGCTCAGCAGATTAGACAAGTAGAACCACCTCATTCTACCCAGCAGGTGTTGCTGCGGCACCTTTCTAGAAAAACCTCTTCCATCACCGTTGGCCTTGCTTGGTCTGTTCTCTGTAGTGCTTCAGTCAGTCATGACACTTGCCTTCATTTCTCCCCCCAGATTTGAAGCTTCATCTCCAGAGCACAGACTATGGGAATTTCCTTGCAAACGAAGCCTCTCCCCTCACTGTGTCTGTCATTGATGACAAGCTGAAGGAGAAGATGGTGGTGGAGTTCCGCCACATGAGAAATCACGCCTATGAACCTTTGGCCAGCTTCCTGGACTTCATCACGTAAGAGCCAGCAGCGGGCACGTGCAATGGGGCAAAGTGTTGGTTCCCTTGAGAAGCTGTAGTGTCTGTCCCTACATCTGTGTGACTTCTGTGGTCTCTCCTGCCAAGCAATCTGACCCGACCAGCTTGGCTTAAAAAATGTTTTATGAGCAGTGATCCTGGACAGTGTAGTCCATGCTCTGGGAACTGAGGCTAGATTAATCCTGTGTACTCTAACTGGGGCTGCCTTTGAAGATGGCTCAACAGGTCCAGAACACAGCAACCAGATTAATGATTGGAGTTCTATTTGCAATTCACATCACCCCTCATTTAAAACAGCTGCATTGGTTGCTAGTTTATTCCTGGTCCAATTCAGAGTGCCCATGAGAGTATTTAAAGCCCTAAGCAACTAAGGCCCCTAATACCTGAAGGGCTGTCTTTTCCCCTCGTAGCCAATGAAGTTAATCCGAGGTGCAGTTATGGCTAATTGAAACTCTCGGTTGCTATGATTGGCAGATGATGCCTTCTGATAGTTCTCCTGATAGTTCTGGTGCCCTTGGAAGTTCAAGGAGTGGTGACCTCAATGGGGACCTTCTCTGTTTCAGTCCCTAAGCTGTGGAATCCCCCCCCCCCCGGTGTGTGGCACCTTCATTGCTTACCTTTCCTCATATGCTGAAGAAACACCTCCTTACCCTGGCCTTTGACACCTGACATGTTTCTTAGCATCCACCATATTTTTCTGATAGTGAATTATTTTAACTGGTTCTAATACCATATTTTTGTATTGTAACTGCCGCCGGACTTCATGGTGAAGGTCAGGTTAATAATAATAATAATACAGCAACCCTTTAGCTTCACTTTAGATTTTGGTTTCCACATTAAAGTAGGGAAGCTACTTCAAGGTGGAAGAGGGTCTTTCACAGCTGGTTTTCCTTCTGAGGGACTGACTGGATCATTGCTTTCTACTTGCCATTCTATGAGCCTGGTTAGCATATGTGATTAATATCTCACACCTTGTTGGGTTTCTTAATGAGCCATGATCCAAAAGAGATATTTTGACCAATGACAGATGCCTGTGGAGGGAGGGAAAGGGGCCTATAGTGCATCCTCCATAGATGGAGGAGAAAGAAGCTCTTTCATCACCTAGGTGGCTTTGCGGAGGCAGCTTAGCTGCTGAAATATTGAAAAGGGTATTGAAGCACACCAAGAGCCACATGTAGCAGGATCAAAAGAGCCAGCTGGCAAGTGGCCCTGGTGGCTTTGTTTTCTAAGGAGTCCAGTCTGCCTGGGCAAATGCCCAGAAAGAGCTTGCTGAATTGGCCAAAGGCTCTTCAGGGTAGGCAGAGAGAAAGAAGAAGATGGCTGGGTGAAATATACAACTTAGGCGGGGAAAGGGATAGAGAATTTGAGGGAACTTGCCTTTCTTCTGCTCCTCCTTGGATCTTGATTTTGGGAAATTCTTGTTCTGAGCTATTTGCGAACTGTGGTATGTGGCCTACCAGTGAGGTTCACTTGCTGTTGGAGGTTTATGGAATTAAAAGTAGAATACAGCAAAGTACAACATAAGAAGCAATAAAAATACAATTAAAAACCAGGCAGGCAGAAGAATCATAGCATAGTTTGCCAAGACCCACAGCAATTTTCAAGTGGTCCATGGTGGGGAAACATTTGGGAGCCACTGCTTTAAAAAGTTTTACAGGTGGATAGTTCAAGGCTGGAAATGTGAGAAGATCCAGTGTCTGCTCTTAAGGCTAGACCAAAAAAACCCCCCTAAACCTGAGCCTGGTCTCAGCATCTCTGAAGAAAACTGGAGCTCATCTCTGCGGAAGCTTGGAAACATTGCCTGTTCTGTCTAGAACTCTGGTCCTGGTGCTCTCACTCCTGCCTTGGGCGTGGCAAAGAAGCGGAGATCCTTTCCTGGGCCTCTTGGTGTGAGTGATTGTGCACTCTGGCTTCAGAACACGGTCTGCTTGTTGGCTTCCGCTGCAGGATTTGGCTGAGTGCTCTGACTCTTGAGTGCTTCTGGTGCAGTCTTGATCCATCCAGTTTTTTAATTACCAGCGGGGATTATAAGAGCTTGCTCCTAGGAGATGGTGCCTTGTTTGGAATCCTTTTTTATGGTGGCTTTGCCTTGAAAGACCTAGTAAAACAAATGTCACTCAGATAAAAGTTTTTTTATGGCTTCCTGAGGAGATGGAGAACATGCAAGCCTCCCATGCTGAAGTAGTCCCCCTCCCCCCCCCCCCCCCGTCTCTGTTGATCTTGACTAGAGAGAGGCCTGTGTGCCTCTGCCAAAGACCTTGGTCTGTCCTCTGGGTGGGGCTCTTTGGCCCAGCAGGGCATGTCATTTCAGGCGGTCAAACTTAATTTCTTCAAATTTCTTCAGTGAAAAAACATGCTTTGCAGCTTGAGGAATTCCAATCTGGTATTTTTCTGATTGGACAACATTTAGCCTGGTAAGTCTACTTTTGACGAAGAAGCACATTAACTGCTTTTGGAAAACCAAAGTATTTTAATTTTACCTTCAGGTAATGCTAAATAATACAAATATTAATGATAACATTAATATGTAATATAACTGCAAGTACTTGGCAATCATTTTTTGATGATTTCTGTGCAATTGTATACACATTCTGTTTCCCAAACAAAACTAAATTATATTAATTTAGCCAAAATATATTTTGAACTCCCAAGTCATGTTACAACTTTTTAGCACCACTCACTTTTAGAATTTGAAAGTTGAAAAAGTCAACACACCCTATAAAATGGTCCAAGTTTACAGCATTGAGCAGCAGAGCATCTCCTGCACCGCTGTACCAGGAGACATCTAAGCCAGCGGTGTGGCATCTCTGTGCCTGCAACAAAGGCTGCTGTGGGATACTGCCACCTCCTCCTCCTCCCCTTTGGCAGTGGCAGGGGAGTTTTCTGCAGGCAGCAGCACTAGGTATAGGAGTGGAGGCTTTTTACAGCATTGTAGCAGCAGCACCCCTTTTGGGCACATGGTGCTCTGCCTGCCCCTCTTTGCTGCAGCAGACATTTCCAACCATGAGGACTTCACTGCTTAGAAATAAAAAGCAAGGGGAAAAGATTCTCATGGAGCCTAATAGATGGAGGGAAGATTCTGCCCTTCTGCTCCTCCGTCTCTCTTAAATAGGGGATCAGGGACTGCGTTTGGGCTGCACCACTTCAGCTTGCAAGGGGGGTTCATTTTATTGAATTTCCATGCAAGGAATTCATTTTGCATAGGGAAGGACCATATCTATGAACAAGAGCGCTGAAGCTGGATCAGGCCAAAGGGTGGCTATCTAGTTCAGCCTCCTGCTCTCACAGTGGCCAGGCAGAAGTCCCAAGGGAAAGCCTGCAAGTAGGATGTGAGCACATCAGCAACACTTTCTCGCCTTGCAATAGAGCATAGCCACCTTGGCTAGTAACCATTCACAGAGGATGAGGCTCACCCAATTTTAAAGTTGTCCATGTTGGTGGCAAACACACCATATCTTGTGGGAAAAGATGCACGTCCTTCGGCTGGGTTGGCAATCCAAGAGTAACCTGCAAGCTGCTCCATGTTTTGCTCATGGTGCAAAGCTAGTCAGAGCCTCTCTATGGGGCTTTCTGTGTTGGCTGTGGCTGAGCCTTGCCATTCTCTCTTACCAGTGGAAGCACTGCTGGCTCCTGCCACCTGGGCAGCTGGCCATGTTGCACAACACTATGCAAAAGGGAACACCTCCCTGCAACTATTGGTTCTTCTCCTCAATGCAAACTGGCTGCCGGCCACCTCCCAGCACTCCCCAGCTCCTGGCAGTTTTGCTGAAAGGGTTGTTTGAGGCATGTTGCAAGGAAGGAGAAGGAATTAAGTGTACCTGCAGGATGGAAACCACTTCCTGAATCTGGCCGGGGTGTTTTGACTTGTGGGCTGGGACGATTTCCCAGCTTCCCTCTTATCATCCCTTGTTCTCAGTGATCCAAGGGGAAGGAGCAGCTGCCTCAGTTTGCTTTCCTTGCTGCCTTTGATCGTTCTGCTTTGGTCAGCTGACTCCACGCCATCGTTCAGCAGCAGGCCTGCTCCGTTTGTGCTGGAGGCATTTGTAAGGTGATGGACTATGTGCTGCAGTGGCCCTGCTTTGAGAAACACTTTGATGTTCCTGTTTGGGTGTGTTCTGCTCTGTGTGCTGTAGGCAGGCCTCGCTGAGCTTTATTAGTGCCAGACCCGAGGACCACTTAAATCTACTTGAAGAGCTTCAGGCTTGTGTCCTAATGAATTGCGGCCTCTTTGTCTGATTTGCGTTTGTCAGAAGGATCTTGGGGTTTTAGTACACCACAAACCAAGCATGAGCTGGCAGAGCAACACAGCAGAAAGAAAGTGACAAAGGCTATTTACTACAAAAACAACCTGTAAACAGATAAAAACATCAGCAGGATTATTGTAATAACCTGCAGTTTTACAAGGTACAGTGGTACCTTGAGTTACAAATGCCTCAGGTTACAAAGGCTTCAGGTTGTAAACTCCGCTAACCTTAAAGAGTTACCTCAAGTTGAGAACTTTGCCCCAGGATGAGAACAGAAATCGTGTGCTGGCGGTGCAGCAGCAGCAAGAGGCCCCATTAGCGAAAGTACGCCTCTAGTTAAGAACAGTTTCAGGTTAAGAACGGACCTCCAGAACAAATTAAGTTCGTAACTAGAGGTACCACTGTATATATTTAAAGTAGATGAATAAATGAACAAATTAAGATAATTTGGATATGCATAAAATATTAAAAATAAAAATAAATGTAAGGAACCATAGAAAGTGGGGGAAGGGAGTCAACCTGGACCACTTTCTCTCTTGGGTGCTGCCTTTTTAGAAGGAGAGCAACAAACTCGTGAAGGGTGACAAAGATGGAGAGGAAGTCCTATGAGGCTGGCAGATTCTTGTTTAGTCCAGAGAAGACGTGGCACAACAGCCACCTTCAGATATTTTAGAGAGATGCCATATAGATGATAGAGTAGGTTTGACGTCTGTTGCTGCAGCAGCTGGGGCCAAACGGAACAGTGGCATGAAAGAGAATTTTGGCTAAACAGCTGTTTTGGCAGTGGGGGGGGGGAGGCAGCCTGGGACAGAAGGGCACGGGCTCCGTTTCCTTAGAGGCTTTTTGGCAGAGCCTGGATGGCCACCAGTGAAGGGTTCTGATGAAGTAGGTGGCCTCTGAGGTTCCTTTCCAACTCTGATAATAGGATTTGCAATACCTGATTTCATTATTGGACCAATAGTGTATGTGAAATCGCTTGTAAACTGCTCTTGAATTTGCAGATGAAAAGGAATTAAACAGGTGCAGGCAGCTCCCTTTTGCAATACCCGTGTCTTCAGTCTGCCGTTTTGCCCCCCACCCCACCTCTAGCCATGAGGCCTCAGTGAAGTCTACTTCAGTGAAGGCAAAGAGTTCATATTCCCCACTTGGCTGGTCATAGCAGTTGTCTTTTTTACTTCCTTTCAGGTACAGCTACATGATTGACAACGTAATCCTCCTGATCACTGGGACACTGCATCAACGCTCCATTGCTGAGCTGGTGCCCAAATGCCACCCCCTGGGGAGTTTTGAGCAGATGGAGGCGGTGAACATTGCCCAAACCCCTGCCGAACTGTACAACGCCATTTTGGTCGACACACCCCTAGGTGAGGAAGAGTTTGCAGAGTTTCAGGGGCTTTGCTCTTCCGCAGGGGAATGTATTTAAAGGGAGACCCAAAATTATTGGGGGTTCTTGACATGAAGGGTTCCTGTAGTGGTGTTTTAACACACAATATTAGCCATTGTCTACAGTTTGGTAACTGCAGGAAATCCTTCTGGGCTCTTTGACTGACTGACTGACTTGAAAGCTCAATGTGAAAATCACTGACTCCTTACCTTTGAGGGCCAGTGGAAGAGGAGGAGGATCTCCTCCTGATTTGCCTTGACCACACAGAACTTGAAACTCTGCTGGCCAGGGAGTCTGGGTGGGAGGTGGCTCTCCTTCCCTGGCCCTTCAGCTGGGCTCACCCTTCTCCCTTCCTTACAGCTGCCTTTTTCCAAGACTGCATATCTGAGCAGGACCTTGATGAAATGAACATTGAAATTATCCGTAACACACTTTATAAGGTAAGCACTCAGTTGCTACTTTCCTCAAATAAGAACCTTGTAAATTGATGATGATTGTCTGAGGCCATTAAATGCATTTTTGGAGTTTTCTTGCTTCAGATGCTTTCCATGCATGCAATTGAATATTGCTGTTTGGTTTTAATTCTTTTATATCTAAGGTTATTGACAATTATATTCAGGGGGTGACGACTTTGGTTTTAATTCTGTGTGTTTTTGCCATGAGATTTTCAGATGAAGGGCAAATTATGAGCATGGTAATTAATAAATAAATGCCAAGTCGATTGGCTGTTGCTGCTGAGCCAAGAGCCACTTGCAGCTGCCCTTGCTGACAGAAAGGTCTGTTTGTCCCACCCAAGGCCCCTCCCTCTCAGTGCTTCCTTCTGCCTAGCAGGACTTGGTGGGGGTCTCCAAGCCCCCCAAGTTAATGAGTCACTGAGCTTTGGTGCATGCCAAGCTGTTTCTGAATTAGTGATTATCCTTCCTGTAGGATTTTAGTACAGCACTGTCACTGCCCTGACACAATCACTAACACGGTTGGCTGGAGCCAGGTGGGGTGGAGGGGAATGGTTGGCACCTAACCTCAGGGCGTGTCCCTGCTGGGCTGTGAGCAGCCTGCCTGCCACAGCTCTTCCGGCTGGCACCGTCTGGTTTGAGGTGGATCAGTCTGCTCCGCAGTCAGAAGGTTTGCTCTTGGTGTGTAAATGTTTGGGGGGGGCAGTGATGCTGCTGTGGTTGCGTGACTATCGCTCCATCTCACATGCCTGGCAACAGAGGGTGCCTGGATTGCAGCTGCCCTCCTAGATCCCACTGGTCCTAACTAGCTACAGGTAGATCCATGTCTGCAGGGGGAGAGCCAAGGATTACATGAGACACCCAGAGTGTTAAAGGGCAGGTGAGGAAAAGGATGTTTGCAGAGAGCTGCTATCCAAGCAAGCAAAGAGGCTGTGTTAACTGCTGGGCTCCTGCTTGGGACCTTACACACAGCAGAGAGTCCTGGCTGTCATGCATTGACACAAGGATGGGTAGTGAATCCCCCCAAGAGGCTGTCTGAGGTTCGCATTGCCAGCGCACCCAGGGGTGTTGGGAGCTGGATTCTAGCAATGTCTGGGCACCTGTCACTCACCCACAAAGGGTCCCTGTCTCTACACCAAGAGAGTGGAATTTGGGTGCTGGTCAGGCCCCCCTGGAATCCTGTGTCCAATTCAGGGCACCTCAGTTTTAGAAGGACATGACTGACTTTTATTCATATTTCTACTCTGTCCTTCACCATGCTAAATACACAACAAATTAAAACAACATATAATGCAAAGCTTCAGTTAAACAGCTGTTGGAAATAATACCGCTAAAAATGGTGGAACATTCCCTTCTTTATCCTCCACCCTCAAAGAAGGACCTCCTGGGCAACACAAGGCACTTCATATAAATAAATCATAGAACCATGGAATTGCAGAGTTGGAAGGGACCACAAGGGTCATCTAGTTCAACCCTCTGCAGTGCAGGAATGTTTTGTCCATAATCCTGAGGTTGAGTCTTGTGCTCTACCAACTGGACTGGTCCGTGGAAGATGTACAGGAGACAGATTCTGAGTCTCTTCTGAAGAGGGTGGTGTGGATTCAGTGGGGGTGATGGTCTGGGAGAGTCCTGTGAGGGTTAGTTGAAAGAGCTGTTGAGCATGTTGATCCTGGAGAAATGAAGATTACAGGGAGACACAAGGAAGGGAGTCTCCAAAGGGCTCTGAAGTCTGTGAGAAAGTGGAGCAGGCTTCTTTCTTTCTCTTGCTCTACAGCAGGGTGGGGTGGCTAAACCCCAGTCTGAGGCCTGATCCAGCCCATGGCCAATTTTCCTACCCCCCCCCACAGCCCACAATTTGACAGCAGTAGGAAAAAGAAAAAATAGACACACAGTGCTTCAGTGGGGGATGCTGTGCCCTATTTTTTTGTTTTTGTTTTGCTTGCAGGGAGTCATCAGATTGACAAGTAAAGAGAGGGTGATAACTCCCCCTTCTCAGCTGATACTGTGTGTGTGTGTGTGTGTGTGTGTGTGTGTGTAAGTAAATGAGGGTGTTGGGTGGCTATGCCCACCCTGGCACATGCAGACTCCAAAAGGTAGCCAGAGGGTGAATATGGTCCTCTTGTTCATCTCTCTTGCTCTAAATGGCAGGCCTAGAACTAACAGGTGGCAACAGCAAAGAGGTGGATTTCCTTGAAATGTGTTGAGTCACTTGCTGCTGTTTGACTGTGGCGCAGGAGGTAGAGGACTCTCTTCCACTGGTGAAGCACTGTGTATGTTCCATACCCATAAACAACTCCTCCTCCTCCAACGATAGAAGGGAGCCTCAGATGGGCCGTTTCCTGCTTGCTGCATGAAATGGATTTGTGCAAAGGAGTGGCACTTAATTCCTCAGTTTCTCCCTGTGCCATGCAGTGTTGTCAAGTCCAACACAGATGTGGCGGCTGTTTTGGTCCAGTAGCCTCCTACTTGTCCAGTAAAGGGAGAAAGTAAGGGAGGCACTGGGGTAACTTACGTTAGGCAGCTGCTGCTGAGGCTTCTCCATTTTGTCTCTGCACTGGATGGACTCTTGGGTTGGGTGGAAGATGCTCTGGATTCCTGTCCCTACAGCATTTCTCCTTCAAAAACACTGATGAAACAGCAGGGGTAGGGCAGAGGCCAAGGAGCTGCCCCTCTCCTTGGTTGCACCTTCACCATTTGGTACCTCCTGTGTGCAGAGCAGCCCTTGTTCCTCCTTGTTGATGTGACTGTGTTCTTCTTGGGCTCTGACAGGCTCACTGACTCTTCTTGTGTCGCTTTGGTCCCTCCCAGGCTTACCTTGAGTCTTTCTACAAGTTCTGCAAAATCCTGGGCGGCACAACAGCTGATGCCATGTGCCCCATCTTGGAGGTAGGAGCCAGCTGGCAGCCCCCTTGCCTGCTTTTGTGTGGGGCCAGCCAGCAGAGAAACTCCTGCCGCCCCTGGAGTGAGCATTGCCTGTCTCTCTACCTTCTGCCACAGCCCAGCCAAGAATTCCCGCTTCAGTGCTTTCAAAAGGCTGTTCTGTCCCTTTTGGGAGGGGTCTGCCAAAGTTGCAACTGAAGCCTTTTCTGGAAGCTATCAGGGCTCTTAATTTGGCCACAGCAGGGATATATTTGAGTTGAACTCTTCCTCCTTTCACCATCCCTTGCTTCTTTACTTACCGTATTTTGCGCTCCATAGGACGCTCCGGCCCATAGGACGCACCTAGTTTTTTGGGGGGGAAATAAAGAAAAAAAAATTTATTTCCCCCCCAGGTGCGGGGCTGGAAGAACTAGGTCGGGGAACAGCGGGAAGGTGCGCTCTGCCTCCCCGCTGTCCCCCGAGCTTGTGGGGCTGGCGATGGGGAGAAGTGCGCTGATCCTGGGACTGCAGGCAGCTCTGCGCGGCCATCCGGAGCGGGGCGGGACTTCGCGCCCGGCTCCCGGTGGCCACGCAGAGCTGCGCTGATCCCGGGACTGCAGGCAGCTCTGCGCGGCCATCCGGAGCGGGGCGGGACTTCGCGCCCGGCTCCCGGTGGCCACGCAGAGCTGCGCTGATCCCGGGACTGCAGGCAGCTCTGCGCGGCCATCCGGAGCGGTGCGGGACTACGCGCCCGGCCCCCGGTGGCCGCGCAGCGCTGCGCTGATCCGGGGAGTGCAGGCTGCGCGGCGCGGCCATCCGGAGCGGGACTTCGCACCCGGCTCCCGGTGGCCGCGCAGAGCTGCGCTGAGCCCGGGACTGCAGGCATCTCTGCGCAACCCTCGGAGCCGGTCTCCCGAGGGTTGCGCAGAGCTCCTGAAGCCTGGAGAGCGAGAGGGTCAGTGCGCACCGACCCCTCTCGCTCTCCAGGCTTCAGCGAAGCCTGCATTCGCCCCATAGGACGCACACACATTTCCCCTTCATTTTTGGAGGGGAAAAAGTGCGTCCTATAGGGCGAAAAATACGGTAATATATATGACTGCCCCCCCCCAATTTAAGGATACATTAGAAACTTTTAAAGAAGCTGGTCAGATCCCTTGTTTCCTGCAGACAAAAAGTTGGTAGGAGGGGATGCAGCCTTGCTGGGAGCCCTGGAGGTCTTGCTGGCCTCTGCTGCCCGCTTTGGGGGGGGCAGTGCTGGTGCTGGGCCCCTGCTGCCCTTTCTAACACTGCTAACCTGCCCGTCTCTTTCCTTGCAGTTTGAAGCTGACCGAAGAGCCTTCATCATCACCATCAACTCCTTTGGCACAGAGCTGTCCAAGGAAGATCGCGCAAAGCTCTTCCCCCACTGTGGAAAGCTCTATCCAGAGGGCCTGGCTCAGCTGGCCAGGGCAGATGACTACGAGCAAGTCAAGGCAGTGGCTGACTACTACCCTGTAAGCTTCCTGCCTCTGAGCTGGGCCTGGAGCAGGGGAGGAGGAGGACAATGTACAGTGTAGTATTTGGGGGTGGGCAGGCATGTTTTGTTTCTGGGGCGATCACGTGGTTGTTCAGTCCTCACCTAGCTGTCAGCAGCAGGCTGTGGCTTCAGTGATTAGGCTATTAACCCGGAACATTTTGGAGCTTTGAAAATGGGGATAAATCTCCCTCCTTGTGTCACTCTCCACATTTTTGTCACACTCCTCCTTCCTTGTATCCCATAAAAGGGTAGACCAGAGCAGCTTATAGCATGACCTTCCCAGGGGCTGCTCTCTGCCAGGGGTGGTGAGTCTGAAAAGTCCACTTTCTTTTGTCATTAGTACTGCACTTTCCTAGCTTTCAAGCTACAGTATCGTATCTCTCCCCCCGCCCCCAGCAAGCCTAGTGCTTTAACCTTCACTACTGATGGAGGAGCAACACCTCCCCCCATCAAAGCTCCATATTTGTGTCAACTTCTAATGAACTTGACCTTCAAAACTTGCTAATTTTTCAGATGCTTTTCAGTGTAACACCCCCCCCCCCCAGCCCTGGTGTGTCCCTCCCTCCCTCCCTCCCTCTCTATCCCTCCTCCTCTCTTTAGCTGCAGGGCTCTTCTTTCCCTTTTCCTGCAGCCACTTCATGCATGGTGGTGTTGCTGCCTTGCTACTTCTTGTGCTTTTTAAAGTCACACACCCCACCCCAGGATCCACCCTCCCTTCAGCTTTCTTCTCTGGCTCCAGTAGGGAGCAGTGATGGCATTCTGAGCTTGTTTCATTTCATGCTTGTCGAAAGGCTGATCCCTTGCTTGACTCGTCTTGTAGCAGCTTTTCTCCCCCACAGGAATATAAGCTGCTGTTTGAAGGAGCTGGTTTAAAAAAAAAAAAAAAATGTTTATTAAGAGTTTAGAAATTACAGAAAGAAGAAAAAAAGTTAAGCAAAGCAAAACAATACAATACAATACATATAAAACAGAAAATACTACTTATTTTAACAAAACAAAAACAGAAACAATTAAAAACGCATCCAATATTTCCATATCTTATCTTTCATTTACTTGTTTCAACGACCTCCTCACACCTCCCTTTTTTGTATTCTAGTTCAGTTAGCTATTTCAGCAAATCCTTTCCATCTTTCTCAGTTTTTGTCCCATAATTTATCTTAACACAATCTAACCTTATTCCCCCCCCCCCTTTAGCCCATTAACAGTCTATTTTTACTTAATTCTTTATAACATTCCCCCACAGGAATATAAGCTGCTGTTTGAAGGAGCTGGTAGCAACCCAGGGGACAAGACTCTTGAGGACCGATTCTTTGAGCATGAGGTGAGCAGGCTTCCCTTGCTTATCAGGTGCCTTGATTGCACTACAAGCTCAACTAGCCCCGTGAACTAGCGTTTGGAGACTCTTTACCCTGATGATTCACTTCCCCAGCGTGAGGCCAGCAAAGAGTCTCTCTTGAAAGCTTCCCCAACACATCCACTGTTGCATTTATTTCTGCCTTGTATGCATTTGTCCCAAGCCAGCCAGCTACTTTGCAGCTGCTAGCGCTGTCCTTGGCAGCCAAGAGGAAGCTGACAGCAGGGAGCACCTCTCCCCCCACCCCAACTGAGTCAGAGTGTGGAAGGAAACAGCCGCTACCAATACCAACCAGGGCTAGGCCACTCTGAGATCGCTGGGCCTGGTCCCTGCCTTATCTGAATGCCGCAGGTCTGGTGGGTAAGGCACCGTTATGCCAAGGAGGCATTTATTCTGTCTTGACTTGCTGAGATCAGACAAGCATGAATGGCCGTGGGGCTGACAAAGAGCCCAGAAGCCTGAGCACTCTGTGGAGGAGCCACAGCCCTCTGGCTTTGCTGCTGACCTCCTCTGGTCCTCATCCACTGAGAGCTTTTGAGGTCAAAACCAGCCCTTGAAATTGTGCCTGGGAACCAGCAAAGATGATGCATCTCCCAGTCCCAGGATCATAATTTTGCTGCCCTACTTTCACCAACTGCAGTTTCCCAATTGTCCTTTAAAGCAGCCCCAAGCACTGAGGGTTGTACTGGGCAAGGCATGAACCAGCATGCAGCACAGATGACAGTGGCCAAGCACTCATATGTCTAGGAGAGGCTTCTGTTAGCCCATCAGACTAAGCTGGTGTGAATGTGTCCAGGGGTGTTCTGTACTCTGTATTCTTCTCACCAGCTAATTTCCCCTTGCAGAGACACAGAGCAGGTTCCTGGGGCCAGCTTGGATCCTGTCTGTGGGCCCCTTTCTCCACACGAAGCCAGAGGGGAGAGTGGTGTGACTTTCCTCCTAGCTGGCTGGGTGTTGCTGTGAAATGCTTGCACGGAAAGAGCGGCTGGCAGGACTGTGTTTGCTCACCTGGTATCTGCTCTCAATAGGTGAAGCTGAACAAGCTGGCTTTCCTGAACCAGTTCCACTTCGGTGTCTTCTATGCTTTTGTGAAGCTGAAGGAGCAAGAGTGCCGCAACATCGTCTGGATTGCGGAGTGCATCGCCCAGCGCCACCGGGCAAAGATAGACAATTACATCCCCATCTTCTAAACCCTTCTCTCCTGCCCGGCCAAGTCCACAGGTTCCTCGCCACCCTTTCCCCAAGTTCCAGACCTGGATGTAGCTTTCCGAGGGACCACCGGGAGGAGCCTTTGGGGTCTTGCTGGGCTGTGGAGGGCCCTGCCTCCTTGCTCATTAACGTGTCACTGTATGTGCTTTGTGTAGATCAGACTAGATCATTCAGTATTACTAGAAGTTTACTGTCCTCCACAGGAGGAATTCTGGGTGTTTCTGAGGGTCAGCAGGAACGCTGTGCCCTCATGCAACACTTTGGTCGGCCAGCACAATGTCATGCGAGCAGTGAAGAGATGTGTTTGTGTTGTGTTGACTGTGAGCATCTGCTTGTCTTTGCACAACTTGCGGCTTCGTTGTACTGCATCCTTCAGCCGACTCTACTCTCCTGGCTCTTCTCTCTGAAAGTCTTGGGAAGTCCAGCTCTGCAAAGGGCACAGGGCTGGGGGAGTCCTTGGAGCTCTGCCATTCCAGCAGCTCTTCATAGGAAGCCACAACCACTCAGTGGGTTTAAAGCATGTTTGTGGAACTTCCGCTTCCGAGACAGTCCCCTGGATTTGGCACAGCCTCCTTCCCTGTGGTGCTGGCTTTGGAGCATCCTGCCCACTTACTAGGCAAAGCAGCGAGATCTGTGGCTGCACATGCCTCTCTGCGAGTGGCAGAGCAGTTTGCTTGGCCAGCCAGTTCCCTGGAGGTGTTTTGCAAGCAAGGCTCCTCCCCACCCGCACTTGGAAGAATGACCAGGACTCCTAAAGAGCAGCAACCACTTGGCCTCATCAGGGAGCTCCCCTACCCCTGGTTCTGTGGTGGGTCTTCCCCTGCCCCTCTTCAGAGTATGGGCCTTTTGCTGTGAGTTGCACTGGTCTCAGGTCCCAGCCCTTTCACTGCAGAAAAGCTGTCCTTCCTTCACCCAGCCTGCCAGCCCCCGGCCCTTCCCATGCAGCCAGCAGGCTCCAGCCTCTTTGCTTGCAAGCACTTTGGGAAGGTGTTCCTGGGCTGTGCCTCTTTTCATGGGGGGCTGTCTCAGTTCCTTTGTATGTGCAAAGTGAGTGGCTGCTGGGTGGGGAGGCTTTTCTCTGGCTGGTGTGGATGGAAAGAGGCTGTTTCAATTCTCCTTCCAAATGAGTCACCTTGGCTCCATGGTATATGACCCCTCAAGAGTTTTGCTTGCTGTTCATTACCTTTCTGTTAAACTGTGACAATAAATTATTTCCCCAAATGATTGCAGCGCTCCGCTGGTTTGTCTTGGCCCTCTGAGAAGCAGCCCCTTCCCGGACAGGGTCTGAGATGCTTGGCAATTTCTAGCAGGGAGATGTGGTTGTGCTCCCTGCCCCAGGACTTTTCAGATGGATCAGAAGCCTCGAAACATTCACAGAATTGCTGTGAGGAGCAGAGGTCAGACACATGGAAACATGCTGCAAAATCCCCCACAATGCTCAGGGGTTCTTTGATGGGTCAGGGACAGGAGAATAGAACCTCTGCCAGTGGGAAGCAAGGCAGCCACTGCTCTGCACCTCAGGAGGGCCAGCTAACTTTACTTTCTGCCTGCCTCCCACCATACAAATGCAGAATACAGGTGATGCAGGGCCCTGCCTGGCTGTGGTGTTCTTATCTGTGGTGTCTCCACATTAAAGTGGGGCTGAGGAAGCAGCAGCCCTCTAGGTCTTGGGACTGCAAGTGGCATTACCCAAGTCTTCATCACTGGCTAAGGCTAAAGCGAGTGTCAGAACATGCAGAAGGGCTGGGTGGATGCTTCATTCTGCCCTGTGGGTGTTAAGAAGCTGTTTGTTTTGTTACATCTTTATTTATCTCTTCCTGTGTCTTCCCCTTAGGAGATCCAGACAAGTTTCATAGCAGCTGTGTGAAGGATAGGCTGTGTGTGACTAGGGGGTAGGGAGCCCCGGGGTGGTGGTGGATCTGGCTTGGCCACTTGGCTCCAGCCTGCACGAGGCCCCTGCTACTCTGCAGCCCCAGGACCTATGTAAGGTTGCCAGCGGCAGGTCCCCCCTGAGCTGAGACAGGGTTTTCTGCACACTGCCTGGATGTGCACTGTCTGCCTCTGCCACCATCTGGAACGAAGCACTTTCTCTGACATGACCCGACTCACTGAGTTTCCCCCAGGACATCAAGATACACAACCAAAGTATGAAGTAACCATTTTAATTTATTTCCAAGTGACAATCGTGACCTTGTTCTTCGTGACAAGATTTGTAGGCCATCTGCCTGGGAGTCCCTGCCCTCTTCTGGAGGCAAGGAGAGGCCCCCTTTGGGGAGGCCTTTTTTGGCTCAGTTCCTGCATGGCGATGAGGCTTGGAGGACAGAAGAACAGCAGGTTTGCTGCAGCAGCAAGAAAAGAAAACACCCAGCATCCTTGAGGTCAGCTGCAGGAATGAGAGGTACTAACAAGATCCACACAAGCAGCGTTCTATAATGTGTTGCATTCATTTGCACAAATACGCAACATGTTTGTGAAATTGGGTGATTCCCCCTCTTGTCCCCAAACGTTTAAGGTTGATGTTCCAAATGAGCAGACACCAGTGACTACTGATGAATACTTGGATGCTGCTGCAAGCAGTTCCAGCCACAGGCCCCTTCAGCATTCTCACATGGCCCCCAGCTGAGCAGAGGCTCCAAGCCCCTTCAGTTGAACACATGTAGAGAAGCCCCTTTGTACATACATGCTGTTCTACATACTTTGAACCCTTACCAGGCTACAAATTACACCATTTAATCTCCCATTATCTCAAGGGTCCAAATAAGCAGTTATTTTCATCCTTCATAGGTTTTACCTTCACCTTCGATCTGGCTATGGTGCAATTTGGCTACAGCTAATATTAGCAAAATATTTCTTTGGCTCATATGCAGCTATTATTACACTGTAATATTACAACAAAAGTAAGGGCTGGCCATTATGGGATCTTGACACAAGTAAGGTGGCAATCCTAGTCATGTCTACTCAGAAGTAAGGCCTATTGAATTCAGTGGGGCTTACTCTCAGGTAAATGGGGTTCGGCCTGAACCCTTATACAGACACAGTAAAGCAGGGTTTCAAGTTGGCCCAATTTTTGTTTTTATGTAAGCAACATTGTTGCAGGCATGCCACCTCTTTTTTCCTCCCTGCGTTGGTGGAAAGAAAGGTGTTCATCTTGCTCTAGACCAAACAACCTTGAATTACTCTTCTTAAACAAGCTGTGCTTTAATGTTGCTTATATTTGGTTCTTTTTTAGGATGGAGCAGTTAGGCATTAATTGTTCACCTTTAAGATTAGTTTTTGGTCACAGATCCCAGAAATATAAATGGCCCAATCCATAGAGGTATTGACAAAAGTTCTTGGAAATGAGAACTAGCAGCTATTAAAATATAAGTTATTATGACAAATTGTCAGCTCCTAAAATTCTTTGGTTGCAAAGGAGGTCAGCTGGTGGGCCTTCTAAGTGCCTGGAAGTTGCCCTCTGTAGAGACTTATTAGCCCTATCATTCTGTAGGGCTAAAATTCTGTAGAGTAAAATCAGACTTGGAAATCTTGGGATACAGTCGTACCTTGGTTGACAAACACCTTGCGACTTGAACGTTTTGGCTCCCAAACGCCGCAAACCCAGAAGTGAATGTTCTGGTTTGCGAACGTTCTTTGGAACCCGAATGTCCAACACAGCTTCTAATTGGCTGCAGGAGCTTCCTTCAGCCAATCGGAAGCCACACCTTGGTTTTCAAACTTTTTGGAAGTCAAATGGACTTCTGGAATGGACTCCATTTGACTTCCGAGGTACCACTCTGTGTGTGTATGTATGTGAACTGATCTGCTTTATATCTGAGACTGTGGAGCAGAATAAATGAAATCAATGAAAACTGGGGTGGGGTGGGGGTTTTTTGGATGCAGGCAATCTAAAATTACAACTCATTATTTTTTGCCCATTATATGTGGATCCAAGGGAGTAAAACCTTGTTAACATATGCTGCCTCAGTATTTGGATAAAACACAAGCTATTAATTTTGGATAAAATTAAGCTATTAATTGATAATCAGTTTTGTATTATTTACTCTGTGGCTACTGTTTCCAGAGCTGCTAAGAAACTAGGTGTGCATTTTTTTAATATCAAAAAATACTTTATTGATTGAACTGAGTGATTCAAATAGGTACCAATTATGGCTGATATAGATTCTTAATTATAATACTTTGATTTTGATCATGATTGCTGTGGTGACTATTGTTAATGAATATTACCATGCTTGTGCCGAGGGTGGGGTGGGGGTGCTACATACAGACTGAGAAGCTGGAAAGGCCTTTGGCTATTTGCAGTGAAGAAGACACAGTACAGTGAGGAGACATGGCATTGGCTCAGCTGAAGTTTACAGAGAGGTATATCACAAAGCTGAGGTATAGTGAAGCCCTTTCACTATCAGTTAGCAGCAGCAGCCATCTCCTTTGGCACAAAGAGGGAGAGAAAAGCCAGCCAGGAATTGGGGGGGGGGGAGAGGGGTTCACTTGCCACTGGTAGCTCCCCCCTTCCCCAAATGCAACAATCATTGGTCTCAGTAGGGCTTTTCCAGCACTCTGTTCATTGAAGCGAATGGGTCCCAATCCCACCATCTTCCTATAATTTTAATGCTCACTTAGGAAAAAGGCATTAATGGCTGGGTAGCAGCAATGGCCACAGCTTGTCCTCTCCCTGCACTGACACAAATGAGCTGGTGCATTTTCAGTAGAAACACCTTAAGCAGCTACTCTGGGCCCTGAAGTCTTTCCCAGGTGCTTTCTCTGCCAAGCTGCCCATCACTGTTTCCGGGGGCTGTTGCAAGGCTTTGGCTGGCGCCCTCTGGGCAACTTTGGGTTGATGAAGAAGGCTTTGAGGAAGAGGTTGCGGACGGTGTGGGGCAGGTAGTGGTGGATGAAGTACATGGGGCCCAGGCCTCTCCCCGGGTAGTATTTCACCAGAGGCCTGGTAGACAGGAGGCCGTCCACGATGCTCTCCACGACTGAGCTGAGGTCCTCCACAGCAAACTTCATGGAAGCAAGAAACTGCCTGTTGATGTCTTCCAGGTATTCTTCTCCATAGGCTTCCAGGAGTTCAGGGGATAGAGCTGCCAGCAGCTGAGCCTTCCTTTCTTTCCAATAAGCATGATTACAAGAACCATCTGCAAAGAATAGACAGGTTGGGGGGGGGGAGTAAGAGATTTCTTAGAACCTATTTTGTAGGTGGTGAGGAGGCCCATGTAGCTTATACAATTCCTTCATCCTGGAGTTTGGTATCTAGTGCAAAATTTGGCCTCCCCAGAATCTCAGCTTCCACTTAAGGCATGTTTCTAGTCCTTATGACTGAAGTGAAACTTGAAAAAATAAGGGCAGTGTTTGGAACAATTTCCAAAACCACAGCATGAGCCAAGCAACAAGACAGCATTTCCTCATGTTTCCTTGCTCCTCCCATTTGGATCTTGCGAATGAAATGAATAATAGCAGTTAAATTGAGCCAGATTGGAGCAGTTGATGGGACACAAGAAGCAGGAATCATGCATTGAGAGGAGAGAGAGAGTTAACCCCAAGTGATGCCCAGGAGGGGCCTCTCCAAGTTACAGCAACAAGGCAGATGGGACATTTATTTGTTCTTTTACTTTTATTTTAGTTTGCTTATGGACTATTTACTATTATATTAAGTATCTCAAAGTGGTTGTCAGTAAGGGCTTCAGAGAGAGGGGTCAAAGCCAATCCTCCAAGTGCAAATGTATCTGTAAGAGAATGAACTGGCAGCTCCTTGTGATGTGCAAAATTCCCACTGATGGATCCTGCACTCTGGCACCAAACTCGGTACCTCTTCCACCACACTCATGAAGGTGCCGGAGGAGCTGCCTCTCCTGGCTCTGTCTTCCTGTTTCCCTTCCCTAAAGACTCCTTTGGTTCTTTCCCTGGATTTGGTAGCTCTGGGGAAGAAATCTTGGCTGGGTGTATTCTAGAAGCCTCACTGCACACATAAAGAGTAAGGGAAGCCCCACACCCAGGCTGTGCTACGCCTGGACCCCCCCCCCCAAATAATTTCAGTTTCTTTGGAACCTGCAAAACAGAGCAAGTCCTCAGCAGCGGACAAGGAAAAGACACATTATCCCACCCACCCACCCTGTGCACTGCCAGCGGTCCCAGTCATTCTCTTACCAGTTTTGAAATACCCTGGGAGGATGACGCTCACTTGGATCCCCCAGGGTGCAAGTTCATACTGCAGAGTGTCCATGACCAGGCTGAGAGCAGCTTTGGATGCCCCGTAGCCGGATAAACAGGGGAACGGCATGTTACCTGCAGAAGGAGAGGAGGGAGGGGTTACTCTCTACCCCCATCTTGACTGCAGGAGGGTCAAACAGTAGGGAAGGGCTGTAGGTCACTGGTAGAGCACCTGCTTTGCACTCAGAATGTCCCAAGTTCAATCCCCAGTGGTGGAATCTGCCAGTCAGTATACAGGCAGCCCTGAGTTCAATGGATCAATGGGCCTGACTTCCTAGGGAAGGCAGCTTCCTAGGGCAGCCCAACTCCCAAAGGCACACCCCCTCTTTCCCATTGGCGAAACCAGATCCCATGGAAGGTTTTCTCCTTTCCTTTACCTGCTGGACTGCTGATGGTGATGATCCTTCCTTGTGAGGAGCGCAGCAAAGGCAGCAGCCCCTGGGTCAGCTCCAAAGTGCCAAAGAAGTTCACCTCCATGCAGCTGCGGAAGTCATGGAGAGGCGTCAGCTCCGCATCCGCAAGGGTGGTGTTGATGCCGGCGTTGTTCACCAGGCCCCAGAGCCCTGCATGCCAAGAAGGAAACTGGTTTGCTGATGTATGTAATTGTTTTACTTTCCATTTTTACAGTTCTGCTGCATGGTTTTATATTGTTGTAAACCACTGTGACCTATTTTTATGATACAGTGGTATATATAAAAATAAATTAGCAAATGGCTGCTCTTCCCCTGGCTGCTTGTCTTCCATGTGTGTGGACAAACAAAGACATTTTGCTGCTGCTGGATTAAGCAAAAACCCACCATCCGACATCTTTTCTCAAAATGTTTTTGCACGTGCAAAACATATAGGTAAATACCCTATATGACTGTACCCTAGAACTGCTGGTGTGGAGATTGTTTGTTTGATTGTTACATTTTAATATGAGACAGCCTACAAACTGAAGATTTTTTCAGAAATTCTAATCTGATTCTGAGATTTATGCTTACCACCCGCTTTCATGTTCCAGCCTTGAAACCCAGAATGTTTTGTTTCAAATCCCAAAGGTGAGACTCTGAGAATCCTACACCTACCTTGCTTCTGTTTTGATTGCCAACACTCTCAAGTTACCTGTCCTCCCTGTCTGAGCCTTGATGAACTGCAAGACTCTCTGGATGTCCTCAGCTTTGGTCAGGTCCATTTCCAGCAGGGTCAGGCGCGACGAGCAGCTCTGCCGAAGCTCCTCTGCGCCAGGACTCTTCAGATCCAGGACACTAGCATAGACGGTCAGTCCCAAGGTGTCTAAGTGATGAGCAGCCACCTTTCCAAAGCCAGTGTCACATCCTGGAAAATGACAAAAGAAAGAGTGGGCAAGGGTGGACAACAGACCACCTCCTAGCCTCAGTTCTCCAGTGGCTGCACGTAAATAATAAAGATGATCTACCTCCAAGCATTGTTATGACAAGAAGATTAAATAGGCACAATCCAGACACACTTCTGCACTGTTTTTTTACTACTACCACCAGTATTACTATTATTAATATTATTGGAGTGGTTGGCGCTGTGATCTAAACCACTGAGCCTCTTGGGCTTGCCGATCGGAAGGTCAGCAGTTTGAGTCTGCACGATGGAGTGAGCTCCTGTTGCTCTGTCCCACCTAGCAGTTCGAAAGCATACCAGTGCAAGGAGGTACCGGTGCAGCGGGAAGGTAAACAGTGTTTCCATGTGCTCTGGCTTCCGTCACGGTGTTCCATTGCACCAGAAGCATTTAGTCATGCTGGCCACATGACCCAGAAAGCTGTTTGTGGACAAACCCCAGCTCCCTTGGCCTGAAAAGCGAGATGAGCACCACAACCCCATACTTGCCTTTGACTGGACCTAACCGTCCAGAGGTCCTTTACCTTTTTACCTAATAATAATAATAATAATAATAATTAATAATAATAATAATAATAATTTATTGCTGCTGCTTGTTTTTATGTTGCCTTTCTGTTCCTAAGCCATAGGGTGAACAGCATGGAAAACTCGCTGACATTCCAAAAAATCACCATTACCAAGGAAAGGTCATGCAGTGGATGGAAAACTGGAGGCAAACAAAGATTCCCAAAATTAGCACTGCGGTTCATACTGGGTCAAGTTCTGCTGAACTATCAGGGAAGAATAAACTGAGTGACGCTAAAAGACATGAAATGGACTTGTCTCCTGTCAATGAATAATGAAATGTGCAAACACAGAAAGTGCTTACAGTAGACTGGCAGCCACTTTGTAGCCCCTGGAGGATCAGATCAGAGCTGCTTTATCCCAATTAGCAGATATTGCCAAGATGGCTAATGTTGCCATGAACTTGGGCCATGAACTAAGTGTTTAAAGGTGGTGGTGAGGGATGCTGGGCTCTGGTTGGCGGAGCAGGAAAACTCGTTATCAAAGTAAAATGCCTCCCGAGACAGATTCCAAGGAAAGAGAGAGGGACAAATCTGCCCTTGTTACTGACAGGCTGGATTAAAGGGTGTACCTCAGTCGCAGCCCCACTCAGCAGAGCTTTCACAGCACATTGGTGCGTACTTTGAGGGCTTTTGCACTAAAGGGAAGGTCTCCAAGGCTCTTTGTAATTTGAGGGAGTTCAAATGTAAAGATGCTCCAGTGGAGGTGCATCAGGATCTTTGCCCTCAGATGCTTGGAAAGGCACAACTAAATTCTATAAATCTGCACTGAGGGAGGCAGGAATTCGCGACTGAAAGGTTATGTCAGCAAGCCATGAAGATGCTGCCTGAAAACTCAAAAGGCTGCAACCGCACCATACGTTTAAAGCACCTGGTTTCCCAAAAGAGTCCTGGGAACTGTAGTTCACCCTTCACAGAGCTACCATTCCCAGCACCCTTAAACTACAGTTCCCAGGATTCTATGAGGGAAACCATGTGCTTTTAAATGCATAGGGTAGATGTGACCTCTGCTACAGCAGAGGCGGCAGTGGGGACAGAGCAACCATAGGATCAGAAAAAAGGCGGGGAGGAGGAAGGTAGCTGGGAGATGCTAGAACAAGCACAGAGACACAAAACACTGCCAGGGATTGAATTGCCTTGCATGAGGCATTTTCAGCAGCAGCACATCCACCCTTTTACTCCACAGTCCATATGGGTCATTCGGCACAGCAGCTTTTAATTTTTTTTCTTTTATAATTTGCACACACGGTTGTCCTTGAGAAAGACACAGGATGTCCGGTCTTGTGCAATGGCAATGGCAAGCATGACAGGAAGGGGGGCAGAAATTACCCCTTTCTTGTCACCCCCTGTGTCAATCTGCCACAACGGCAGGGGTCAGCGTTCCCAGGATGCGGTAGCTTGGTCTGCAGTCCATCACAATCTGGAATTCTCCCAGTACAGGATGCAGACAAATGAAGGGCAGTTGCTGCAGTTGGGGTGGGGGCGAGAGAAGGGGCTAGCGGTGGTGGAGCTTTGGCACTTCTCCAGCCCTTTCTGCTGCCACCGCTCAGGTGTTGGCAAGTGACTCCACCCACAACCTGGGGATGTGACCTTGGCTCTACAACTCATTCAGTCATGGATCTGCTGTTTATATACCTTGCGCACACACAGAAAAGGGAACAAAATGCCTGTTTATCTTGTGATTTGTTGCACAAAAAGGCAGCTCTAAAAATAGCTTCCTCCACTTCCCTGCTCTGGATTGCCGCTCCATTAACTTTGCCAGTTAATAAAAAGTTGGGCCCAGAAACCACAACCCCAAACACACCTCTCACCATCACAATCAGATGTTGCTGGGGTCCCAGCAAAAGCCCAGACCTACCCAAGGGCCAATCAGCACAGCTCCCTATTTTAGGGGAAGTGCTCTGGGCCTTCATCACTTCTCCCCTTGACACTGCTGCGCACAGGAGCCCAGTCATGACGTCCAGGCATAAACCGCAGGAGGATGGACACACACACACACACACACACACACACACACTGGCCTAGCTGGCTGTTGGGTGGCCTCCATAAGCTATTACTGCAGGGCAGAAGTCCACACTGTCAGGATTTCCAAAGGCATTTGTATGTTGTTTGGGCTCATTAATTCAGAATTGAAGCAGGGCAAACTGCATTTCCCCACAAACAAATCAAGAATTAAAAGTACTAGTGTGGCAAAATCATGCAAGTGTGTTTTGCTGTTAGAATTCCAAATCCTGAAACTGCAATGTGTGAGAAACAGCCAAATGTGGACACACTACTCTGCTCCTCCTCTCCTTGATCTAAGCAAAACCTAAGCTTCTAATAAAGTACAGTGGTACCTCAGGTTACATACGCTTCAGGTTACAGACTCCGCTAACCCAGAAATAATGCTTCAGGTTAAGAACTTTGCTTCAGGATGAGAACAGAAATCGTGCTCCGGCAGCGCAGCGGCAGCAGGAGGCCCCCATTAGCTAAAGTGGTGCTTCAGGTTAAGAACAGTTTCAGGTTAAGAACGGACCTCCGGAACGAATTAAGTACTTAACCTGAGGTACCACTGTAGTTCAATAAACTACAAAATTGCTAGAATGCAGGCAGAAAGCCAGCTTGAGGGTTTGCCAGTGTTTTACGCTAACCGTCCTATGTTTACTATGGTACTAATCTGCCTAGTGGGCAGAAGCCACAGGTGTGTGAGGTGCAATGACCTCCTGGCTTTCTGAGAACAACTTTGCGTGGGGAAATCCTGACTCACTAACCTATTAAAAGTTCTTTGTGGGTGTTAACAGGCATATAGACAAGAAATCCATTTGACGCAGAGTTGGACATTCGGAAAGCTTTTGACAAAGTCAAAGCAGTTGTGGAATAAAAAGGAGAGGTACTCCTGTGACAGAAAGCAGAGAGCAGGAATAAATGAACAGTTCTCTGAATGGAGGGGTGTAGCGTTAGGAGTGAGTAGCAAGGTAGCCAAATTTGCTAATGATACTAAATTGTTCAGGGTTTGGGGTTTTTTGTTCGTTTTTTAAAGGATTGCAAAGAGTTCCAAAAAGTGAGTGAATGGGAGGTAAAATGACAAATGCAATTTAGTGCAAGCAAGTGTAAAGTAAGGCACATTGGGGCAAAAAAATCCTAATTTCATATCTACATATACAGGTTTAGGATTAGGGAAGCAGAGGGTAGGAATACATGAACAGTTCTCCCAACTGAGGGATGCATAATGGTTACCTTGGTGAAGATCTCAACCCAGTGTGTGGCAGCTGTGAAAAGGGTAGATTCCATGCTGGGGAACATTAAGAAAGGGACTGAAAATAAAACTGCCAATATCATTATGCTGTTATACAAATTTATGGTGCAACCACATTTGAAATATTGTGTGCATGATCTGGTCACCTCCTCAAAAAGGATTTCATACAGCGGGAAAAAGTTTGGAAAAGGGCAACCAAAATCATGGCGATGAAGAGACTCCCCTATGAAGAAAGGTTGTAGCTTTTGGGACTTTTTCATTTAGAGAAGAGGCAAGTAAGAGGAGACATGACAGAAATTTATAAAATGATGCACAGCATGGAGAAAGTGGATAGAGAAAAGTTTTCCTCCCTCTCTTGCAATGCTGAAGATTCACGATGGACAAAAGGAAGTAGTTTTTCACGCAGCACATAGTTAAATGATGTCATTTTATCCCACGGGAAGCAGTGACGACCACTAACTTGGATGCCTTTTAAAGCAGATTAGAGAAATTCATAGAGGAGAAAACTATCAATGGAAACTATCCCTCATAGCTATGTTTTACCTCCACTGTTGGAGGCAGTGCATCTCTGAATCCCAGGTGCTTGGAACCACGATTGGGGAGGGGGCTGCTGACTCAGCTTCCGCTTCTGGGCTTCCCTTTAGGGCCCCGGGCCAGCCACCACGAGAACAGCTATACTTAGGGTTCACTGCAGTTATCCTTCTTATTCTTACTACCTCTGCCACCATGGGCAACAAAGCAGATCTCTGTTTGGAGATGCTGCTGCTTACCTTTTGGCAGAGGGAGAGAGCGAGGAGGGGAAGTTAGCAGACAGAGGCAAGGCTGAGTATGCACACAAATGTAGCTCCATCTATATCAGGTGGTGAACACAAAGCAGGTATCATCCTGTGAGAGGTGAGGGGCTTGGAGTTGTGGGAGGAAGACTGCCCTTTCTCTCCCCACCCTGAACTCTTGTACCATGGCCACAATGGTGAGGAACAGAGCACAAATACTGAATGGGGTCCAAGAGCTTTTGGGACCCTCATGTGCAAATGGGGATGAGCAGAGTGGTAGTTGTTTGCCAAGTAACTCAGAAGTGGGCTGAGGAGACCCTGAGATGAGAAGGAAGTAAGTGTGTGTGTGTGTGTGTGTGTGTGGAACTCAAGACTGTCCTTTTTTTTCATTTTGGTACCTTGGAGGGAGGGGAGCTGCCCCTCTGCTTTGCCCCCCCCAAACCCCCCATGAGTGCAGATGGAGCACCTGGCAGCAGGTCAGGTGAGAGGACATCTTGTCCTGCCCCAGAGTCAGGTTAAGGGACCTTGTGACAACCCCTCTCTGCATTTCCCAGGGACAGCAGCCAGTAGCTGCTCTTTCTCTCCCCCACCCCTGCTGAAAGAGGAAGCGAGGAAGGGCCATAAACACCCCACCCACCGCCTGCCTGTGCAGGGTACAGACTGTTCTTTTCACTTCTGATGGCTGGCTGATAGCTTCCCTTCCCAGAGATTACAAACCTCAACAGCGGGTTTATGGCAACATTAACCATTAACACTGAGTGACAGGCCAAGAGGCAGCCTGGGAAGCCAATGTGCTGCACACACAGGCGGATTTGCACAACTCGGGGCCAAAGGAGCAGCAGCAGCACCCGCCTTCGGCACAGCCTGCTTCCCTGGCTAAATCAGTTTGATCCTCTGATTTTACACTTTTTGTCGTGTGGCCAAGACCCTGGCGCTTCTTCAGCTTAGCTTAAGTGATGCTGGCCCTGCAATTAAGTGTGTGGAAATCAGCCACATGGGAGAGCAGGCCGGGGGGTGCACTTGAGGAATGTGGCCCTCCCTCCCTAGGCAATCCTGAAGGCCAGGCGGGTCACGCTCTATCTGCCCACTGGGCAAAAGGCGACTAGAAAATCGCAAAGGGGGGGGGTATCACAATTTGGAGAAAATAATCAGGCAATGGAGGCAACTCATCATCCTTCAACCCATTTGAAGTTTTTATACAACTTCAAAACGGCAGACAGCAAAAAGCAGTCAGGACTGAAGGGCAAAAGGAAAGATTAAATCTAACAAGGGAGACAGGGAGTTTAAAAGTCATAAGGTTAGGCCCCGTTGGGGTGGACTTTTGTGTGGAAAGGTTGTAAGTGCCATTCAGTTCTGGGATTATGTACAAATCCCTGGGCTCAGAATGGTTTCAATCTGAATGGGTTTTGTTCTGTACCAAGCCCAGGTTGATAGATTTTGGAATTTGTGCACCTCAAAAGGATGCTGCAGAGCATGTGGGAAGGGGCAGAAAAAGAGTGAAATGAAGGGGCTGGCAGAGCAGCTCCCCCGAGGGAAGGCTACAGCCTTTGGGGGCTTTTTAGTTTAGAAAAAAGGAGATGTGTGGTTATGCAGGGTGTGGAGAAAGGGAGTAAGGAGTAATCCACACATAGCCTTTTTCTCATAGTAATGGGAATGCGTAGCCATCTGTTAGTTAGTTAGTTAGTTAGTTAGTTAGTTAGTTAGTTAGATTTCTTGTCTATATCCTTTACCCCAAGATCCCAGCTAAGCTGCGTACTGAAAGATTCAGGACACAGAAAAGAAAGGACTTCATCATACAATTAAACCAGAGGTGGATTTAGGGAAGCGCAACATCTTTGACCACACTGGGTGTTGCAGGGGACACCACAACTATCATTTAGAATGGAGCATAAGAGGCAGGGGGTTACAACCCAATAGTTTCATTTGAGCCTGGGCACGTCAGAGCACAGCACAACGTATCTGCAGGGCATGCCGGGGTGCTGAAAATGGGAAGTACTAATTTCTACTCAGGTGCAGAGTTCAATGCACAACCAACAAGAAGGCCACAGGTCAGTGCCAACCAGGCAGCACCCAAAGCTCCTCTGCCACCACCAACAGAGGTTTGATACTGCTTTTCTGGGGTGGTTGTGATGGGGGTTAGGAACCTTTCCCCACCCTGCTCCTCAAAGCAAAAGAGGCCGTGGCACCTCCTGCTTCATCGCTCTACTTATCACACTTTTCTCTGAACCAAAGAAGGGCAGAAAGCTGGTGGGGAGGCCCCCCGCAGAGAGGCCAGCCTCCCTCCAAGCACCAGGCAGCAGCAGAGGCAGAGGAGATGTGACCTGCCTAGGAAGGGGGGTGGCCAAGCTGTTGCTACCTCTGCTGCGCTGCTGAGGTTTCAGTCAGCTCCCTATCTGAGCAGATAACCGCAGCGTGTGGGCAGACTCATCTAATGCCCACAAAAGGCAGCTTTATCAGGAACAAGCCCTGCCCCAAGACACGGAATGGAAGAGATAAGCGGAGCAGAACACGGAAGGAAAGCCAGATTGCAGGCAGTTTGAGGCCGTGTCATAAACTTCACCTGTACGGCCCGGGGTGGGGGGAGAAGAGAAAGGAAGCTCAGGAAGGAGAAGCGCGAGGAGGAGTTTGCCTTGTCCAGATCTCACCCCAAGGCGGCTGGCCAGAGATGCAGCTGGCTCTTCCCCTCTTCCCCGGGGGCAATGCTGGCTCCTGGCTGGGTGGCCAGCCAGGCACATACAAGGTTACATATATATGCAGATTAATGTTTTAGCTTTAAAGGTACACTATCCTTTTCTACAACCAAAAGGTGCTTATCCCAAAATAAATGTGTTTGGGACAGCCAAAGCGAACTCCATTTCATCCTAGAATGAATGTGATTTTTAGGGATTTTAAATTGCGGAGCTATCCCTTTTAAAAAAAAGAGAACTTTGATCTCTTACACTCTTCCAGCTGCATTACTGAGAGGGACTATGAGCTGCACACCTTTCCATCTCCAATGAGCAGGAGCCTGGTATGCACAAGCCCACCCCTTCCCTTCCAAAGGCCCCTTTCACACTTTGGGGACCTGTAGCCCAGCTCCCAGGAGAAGAGCCCACTGGAGGGGTGCCTTCCTCCTGCGGGGAGGGCAATGATCACCAAACCTGCAGGGCATGCGGCATTGGGGCTCCTTTGGGCAATTCCAGGGCCACATCAACCTCCTACTTGAGCAGGCGCATCTACTGGCACCAGAACCACAACAGAGAGAGTGTAGCTCTTGCTTCCTTTCGAGCACACACACACTTCCAGGCAACTGCCTCCTTCCCCTTCGTAGACACTCTCAGGGCCAGGCAGGTAAGAAAGAACATCACACGCAGATCAAGATTAAGAGTGCCACCATTTCCCCGAAGCAGTGTTCCCACATCACATCCCCGGAGGCTCTGAAACGCCTCCTTGATGGCCCATTTTTGCCTTCCTCCATCCAGCATCTCCAGCGGGGGGGGGGGGGGCTGCCATCATCCCCATCCTCATCCAATTTGGGAGCTGGCCACACAGCCGCTTTGTGGACAGTAACTTGATTTCAAGCATGAAGGCAGCTGTTTGTCTTCCTCCCACACCCAAGAGCAGATGCCAAGTGTCTCTGGCAGATGGATGGGCCCTCGCCAGGCAGCCCCGGAGCCAGCCATCTTCCAGCCCAACCTGCTTCTCCAGAGAAAGACACCCCCTCCTTCCAGATGCAGCTCTTGCAAACAACTAATGTTTGGAAGAGACAGCAGTGACCAGTGAACACACATTTTGTCCCATCTATGTGAGAGTAATTAAAGCCACCCATTACCAGAATACGTCAACAGAAAGAGAAAATAAATAATAAACAAATAAATAAATAACAAGCCTAAAAAGCATATTGTGTGATATCATGCTAGGAGGGACCTATGGGGAATTGGTGACAGCCAGTTCACTGATAAATAATGACACAGCAATTAATCATGGAAGAGTCGATGCTCCAGCACCCTGCGTAATGAAATGAACTTTTGGGAGCCGCCTCGGAAGAAACATCCTAATCAAATCACTGTAATCCAAACCTCTCCCAATGCTGGGCATTCTTGCAATGCAAAAGAGAGCAGGTAATTCTTTCATCAAATGTCAACTTTGAAAATAACCTCTCCAGACACAGGTACACTGAGAAATTGCACTACATCTAAATTGCAGTACATTTCTTTAATATTACACTTAATGAAGAAACTGAAGTGTTGCCAAAGCTGTGCATCGGTTGCAGGTGCTAAAGTGTGGGGCCGAGGAAGTTGCCCAGTTTGCCCTGGAGGACCGGATGCTGGCTGTGGGCCACAGCAGTGCCAATGCCTGTTAAGGAGCTGTCCTGGGCAGCTAATCCACAAAGTAGAGGACAGACTTGAGAAGCCCCTGTGACTTCTGGTGGTGGGGAGCCCTTCTCTTCTGACTATCGGCGCACACATCTCTGACAGAGGATTGGGATCCAGCCTGGAAGCCAGGCATCAGCCCAGCAACCTGCGTGGTCTTGATGCCTGTCACAGGGTCAGTCATAGGAACAAAACTCCTATGAGCATGTGCAGGGAAAGGCTGACCACTGAGCAAGTCCAGAGCGGGCTCAAAGATGCCTTGGATTAGTCAGCAGAAAGCCGCTTCCTGCCCAGGGTCAGCCGCAGGCCAGAGCAAAGCAGATTCCCTCCCTCCGTTGCCCTCTGGAACTTCTCCTTCTGCTCCCCCCCCCATGAATTTTAGAGGAGCCTGTAAGCCCCAGGGACCACTATTGGGGGCTGGGCATTTAGAAGTGCAAACAAGCATTAAGGTGGCTCCAAGTCTTACAGGTGGAGAACAAAAAAACTCTGCAAATCTCACCACATGTCTAACTCTTGCCCATAAGTCAAGCGAGGAGCGTTGCTTTCCTTTCTCAGGGAAAAAGTAAAGGTAAAGGTAAAGGGACCCCTGACCATTAGGTCCAGTCGTGACCGACTCTGGGGTTGTGGCGCTCATCTTGCTTTATTGGCCAAGGGAGCAGGCGTACAGCTTCTGGGTCATGTGGCCAGCATGACTAAGCAGCTTCTGGCAAACTGGAGCAGTGCACGGAAATGCCGTTTACCTTCCTGCCGGAGTGGTACCTATTTATCTACTTGAACTTTGACATGCTTTCGAACTGCTAGGTTGGCAGGACAGGGAAAAAGCACCTCACGCCAAACCAGGGGTGATGTTTGGGTGTCTAGCCCTAAAGCTGTTTTACCAGCCCAGCAGCTGTCCTATGCAATGATCTGAAATACCTGTGCAATCCTGCCAGGGATGCTAGCCTCAGAGTGGCACTCCAAAAAGTATTTCCAGTCCAAGCGATGAACAGGTGAACACATCTCAGCAACAGCCCTTGTAGGTCAATAGCTACAGACAGATGTCACTGCCAGCTTGGCAGTCTGCCCATAAAGGACCATGGATTCCTTCTATCTTTCTAGAAGGGATAGAAAGCACCAAGTCAAGGACAGCACTTGAGACTTCAGAACAGCAGCTCTTCTGGAGAAGAGGCCTTTGGGCTGCCCCTTATTTATTTAGTCCTGGTACTTCTTCATCCTAAGGCAGGAGTCATCAAAAGGGCACCCAGGGGTGCCAGTGTGCCATTCAATACACCATACAGTGCCTGTGAATGGGCTCAGAAAATATCCCCTCAGAAATGTACAATATCCCCCTCAGCCTCTCATACCCTGGATTCACCCCCTTAAACATGCCCACTTTTCACTGGATACCAGGACTGGGCACCCTCCCTCTGCTCCGTTCTCAACTGAGGAGAGGTGCAAAGAGCTTTTCCCTGTGGGCAAGTGCAGTGGTAGCTGATGGAGGTGCTTTTCCTCTCCTTCTTGCATCCTATTCCCTCCATCAGTGGGGAAAAGGCACCTATACCAGAGTCCAAAGTGGCAGTCTCACACCATTCTCTGCCTTATCTCCTGTAAGATGTGGCAGCCATGACACACACACAAGATGTGATGCCATGCACACACCCCTCCCCACAACAGCCATTCCACCCCTGGTGCCCCCAGCACTCCCTCAGCATCCCAAATGGGCCCACTGGCCCCCCAAAGTGGGTGAGTCCTGCACAACCTTCCTGAGGCAGGCAACAAAAGCTAAACTTGTGTGGCATTGTAACAACACTTCACATTTGCCTAGCGCTTTCAAGCAATGGAGCCCTATAACAACCTTTAAGGCAGGTCCTGAAGAGGTGTCTTGATAGGAGGCAAGCAGATGCCCACTGCTCCAACACAGAGCTAGCAGACCAGCTCCAGAAGAGCAGGCGGAAATATTTTTTCCTGAAAGCGACAGTGGTGGACTTTTCCCACCAGGCACTGCAAGTGTTTCTAGGCACCCCTGAGCCATGCAGTGTCAGGTGGTGGGTGCACTAGTGATGCTTGCAAAGGTGCAGGCCAAGCCCTGACGTGCCCTGCCCTCTCCAACTCTACAAGTGAGGCAGAGACCTAGCAGCACACAGCAGAGGTAGCAGTAACTTGGAATGGCAGCTGGTGGCACAAGTCCCTGGATCCAATGCTAGCTCTCCTAAGCAAGCCGAGAAAGCAAATTCCTGCCAGCCTCAGCTCTGCACCTTGTGGCTGAGAAACTAAGCGTGTGCTCATATGCTTGAAGTGCACTGAACACTCTCCAGCACAAGGCTGGTCACTATTGTTGTTGATGTTGATCTTACGATTTCCCCTCTTGCTTTTTCCTGAAGCTTCTTCCCCAGGGTCCCCTCCTTCCAGGCCATTAACAGCACAAACCGGAAGCCGCAAATGGTCTTGACTATAGAGAGCAATTTGGCAGAGGCAGGAGGAGGACAAAGCCATCCGGGTCTCTCCAAGAGAAGAGGCTGCACAAAAGAGCTTCCACTTTACCTTCCAGCTTCCTTGTGCTGATGCTGCCGGGCTGTTTGGCTCCAGCTTCTCACCTTGCACAGGTGGAGGGGGGCCCATCTACACATGAAGAGAGACAACCTGGCGTTAGCTGGAGAGTGACAGACCTTGGGGAGCCCCTCCACCACCACCACTTCAAAGACTGCTTCAAAGGCACAGGAGACACACACCTACACTCTGCTGAAATTTGCCCAGGGTTTTCCGCAAGTCAATGCAATTCTTACCCTGGCTGAAAGGAGAAGGAAGGGAGTGGGCTGTTCTAGGTGGGTGAGAGGCATTGGAAAGATGGGTACGAAGGGGCAGGGGTCAGCCCTCAGGAGGCAACAGGGAGGAGAGACTTTGGACAGAGGAATTGGAAGGATAGGGATGTCAAGGAATGTCGGGGGTATTTTGCCTCTAAAGAAGTAAAAATAAGCAAGGAAATAACATGTTTGTCTTCTCACGTTTCCAATGGATTTCCTTTGGATTATTCCATCTGGGTACTTTAAAGACACCAATCTTCATGAAGGACTAGATACAACTTTTTGTCTATGCACTGCTGCAGCCTGGGGAGGGGAGGGCACATGCCAAGAATGGAAGGAACAGATGGCTGGCTTGTTTGAATACAGGGTGGAGCATGCATGATGCTGCAGCCGACAGTCAGAGAAAGCAGGCAAAAGGATGGGCAGTGTTAACTGGGGATCCTCCTTTTCTCCTGGAACAACAAGGCAGCAAACACCCAGAGGCGAGTGGGAGGAAAATAGATGGGAAACCTTTAAGATATAGTCTCTGGAAAATGTCAGGACTATTTATACGTTATCTTATTAATTGGAAGGACTATATTTATATACAATTTCATGATTTTGATTTGCTGGAGCTCAGTAATTTGGTGTGTGTGGTTTCTTAAATGTAGAATTGCTTCTGAAAGTTCTAATTTTTAAACATGCTCATGAGGGAGGGAGGAAAGGCAGGTGCCCATAAAAGATGCACCAACACAGAAGAGGAAGCCCGACTCTATCCCAGTGGAAGGGATGGCAGTAGGAGCAGGGAGCTGTTCTGTATTTTAATATTTTGTAACTCACTTTGAGATACCTTGTAAAAAAAAAGAGGAAAAAGTATAAACAATAACATTAACACTAAAATGCTCCATTGATAAGCAAATCTTACCCAAGCAGCCCTGGGTGGATCCTGCTACTCTTAAGTGGAAACAGAGGCTTTACTCACAGCAGTACATTTGGGGGAGAAGATAGACAAGTCCCCTGTTCACCCAGAGAAGACAGTGGGGTTTTTAGGGAGGGGCAGATACCAGCCAATCCCCAGAGGCTTTGGGCTATAACTCCCAGCAGCTCAGCACAGAAAGTCTCAGGCTGCAGGACACTTGAAAAGAGCTTTAACAAATTTGGGCAGGGCTGAAAAGGTAAAAAGAAAACATGGATACCTCCACATTTTCCCACAGAGACTAAAAAGCCTAGATTTTTATTATTTTATTAATTAGAACATTTGGGAAGGGCTCTTTTTCACCCCTCTGCTTAGCAGATATTTTTGACAACATTCAGCACCTCCACTCCTTCCTCTGTGACAAGCAAACAACACTCTCTCTTTCTCCATTGGAGAGACAAGTGCTGGGCCAAGAGGAATGAAGTCTTGCTTTTCTCCCATCCACTTCTCAGCACCCTCCAGCCTTCCCCCATAAAAACCAGACAATATATCTTAAAAGTCTCACACAATATCCATCCCATGTTTGTAAGGAGTCATTCCTTGAGGGTAGCAAAACCTCTGCTTTGGAACTCCCTGCCTATTGATGTTAGGCAGACACCAACAATGTACTCTTTCAGATGTGTGCTGAAAACATGTTACAGTGGGCTGTCCTACTGACACATGATTTGGTTACATTTGTTCTTCAATTTGATTTTTTTTTTTTTGCATTTTATTGTTTTTAGGTGTTTTAAATAGTTTTAAAAGTTTTAAATATATTTTTATTTGATTTTCGCTCTTTAATCAAAGAAACATTTGCTGCCCTGGGCTCCTGTCTCACTAACTCACTGGGAGCTCTTTGAGAGTGTCAACAAGCATATAGTTAGTTGACAAAGGACCTCACCCAAGACTCCTGAGTAAGCTTGGCAGTCATGAGGGCAGGACCTGGATCAGTAAGTGATTAAAGGACAGGAAGTGAAGAGTAGGAATAAGTGAACAGTTTTCTGAATGGAGGGATGTAGGAAGTAGAGCCTCCCAATGATCAGTATTGAAACCTGTGCTTTGAGTAGTAGAGGTCTAATTTGTTCATATATGAGCTAGAGTGAGGAATGAGCACTCAGGTAACTAAGTTTGTTGACAATATCAATTTGTTCAGGGGAGGGGGAGGATTCTGAGGAGCTCCAGAAGGATTTATCCAAACCAGTTGAATGGGCATTAAAATATAAATGCAATTCAATGTAAGTAGGACCTTAGGGTGAAGGGTGGGGAATGAATGAATGAATGAATGAATGAATGAATAGTAAGCAGGAAGGTATCTTCATTTCACACCTATGTCCCTGCAGTTTGAACTGGCCAGCAACGATACCTTGGGGTCACGGCGCTGGCCCGATTTGGGGCAGCTTTGAAAAATGTGTATGTATGTATGTACTTATATCAGCTTACCCAAAAGTGACTTACAAGCAAACAGACAGTAGACCCCACATAGCTACATTAAAACCAAGAGGAACAAGAAATACATTAAAAACATCCCACCCACTTCTAAAAGGCCTGGTTATAGAGGAAGGTTTTGGCCTTGCCACTGAAGATATGTAATGAAACGGCCAAGTGAGCCATCCTAGGGAGAGGCATTTCACAAACTGGGAGCCACCACAGAAAATGTCCATTCTCATGTTGTCACCCTTTGGGCCACTCATGGAGGGGGCACACAAAGAGAGGCCTTGGAATATTATTGTATGGTCCAGGTCAGTTCATATGGAGAGAGGCAGTCCTTGAGGTACTGCTACTTTATAGGTCAAAAACATCACTCTGAATTGGGCCCAGAAACCAACTGGCAGCCAGTGCAGTTGGGCCAGGAATGGAGTTATATGCTTAAATCATCTGGCCCTGGTGAACAACTTGGCCATTAAAACCCATGCTTAGGGATCATTGGGAAAGGAATTGAAAATAAAGCTGATAATGCCACTACTGTATACCAATCTATGAAGTGATCACACTGGGAAGACTGTGTAAGTATAGTTCTGGTTAGCTCACATCTAAAAGGATATTGGAGAGCTGCAAAAGGCTCAGCAAAGGGCAAACGGGATTCTTGAGGGAATAGAGGTTACTCCGGTACAAGGAAAGGTTTGGGGTTTCTTAGTGTGGAAAAGGTAAGTGTGAAGATAACAGAGGTGCACAGAATTAGCCCTGGCATTGAAAAAGTGGACAGAGGCAAGTTTCCCTCTGTCTCTCTTAACAGTAGAGCTTGTGAACTTCCAACAGAGCTCAATTTGGAGGATCCAGGCCAGAGAAAATAAAATGCTTCACGCAGCACAGAGTTAAACTGTGGGACTGATACTCACACAAGATGTAGTGATGGCCTGGCCACCATTTGGGTCCCTCAAATGATACACGTGAACATTAAAGAAAGAGGCAAAGTTTTACAATAGACTAAGCTTAATTCAAACAAACAAAGGAAGCACAAAAGAACAGAAGTTCAAGTAAGAGTTCCTTAACCAAACACTGCAACACTTCCATCAGTAGTTAGCAAACAAGAGCTTGAACCTGATGAAGCAACGAGAACAAGGCACCTATTTAAAAGGAAGCTTACAAGCATAGTTTAGTTTGATGGGAACCAGGGCAGTGCAAGCTCTGATGGATCCCCAGGGGCATCAGATCCTAGAATTTACTGATTTTACCACTGTTTTGGATCATCCATTTTTAAACTGAAACATGTTGACCACAGAAACTGCCCAAATTGGACAAATTTGTCCTGTTTTTTCTAAACCATCTCAGAATTGCGCATGAGAACACCAGCTAACTTAAGATGAAAGATTCGAACGTTTGTTGGTGACATCAATTCTTCATCCACCAGTAACCACACTGTGGGCTTGACCCATGATGGGAATTTTAACCTGTTCCTTCTGTGGCTGAAAACTAAGAGGTCTCTCTCAACCAAAGTGTCCTTGAGCATGAATGGGAAAGGCCAAGAATGAAACCTGGGTGTCTCCCTAAAGTGACTCAAAACTCATTTCTAAGTATGAGTGAAACTAAGCTCGGGCCCCTGTTGAGAAAGCTGCAAAGCCAAGTGACTCTTCTACTGCAAGATGCCCATTCCAAATAGCCAAGACAAGCAGGCCTCACATCTTCTCCACTGGACTCACAAGTGCAGATATGTTGGGCTCTGGTCCAATTGGGTCAAACTTTGAGCTGGAGGGCACCACAGCCCAGAATTTCTATTCAAAGCCAGGGTAAAAGAGCCAAATATTCTATTCAGCTCCAAGAGGGAGCCTTGATAGCAGAGAGGAGAGAAAGACTTTACACCCTCTTTGTGTACAGCTGGCCACAGTTTTGCTCCTATTTCAACCCTGGCAGCAATGGCAAGGACTCCCAGCCATCATTTCCTTCCCAGAGTGGAGGAGGAAGGAGCCCCTTACCCTCAATTGACTTGCCTTTGGATGCTATCATGTAGCTCCACCATAAAGCTGAATCAGAAGCAAAACTCCAGCACTGGACAGGGGAAATTCAAAGTGGGGGAGGGGGTCCCATGGAACACAGCAGCCATCTGTAGTAATTTGAACACACACTTTATTCTAGTTTGCAGTGAACACCTCATCCTGTCAAAATGATGATGATGATGATGATGATGATGATGATAGGCTTTTTGGCTTGTCCACAATGGAGATTTATATGCATTTGAAGCTGCTCGTGTCTCTGTTGTTTTAAGTATTTTGTAATGTACGCACAATTCTCCTCATCCAATTAATCCAATCTGATTAGGGTAGAAAATTCAATATAAAATCACATATTACCGGACTGTGGACGTACATTGTGTGGATGGGTGTTTTTTCCAGCGTGCGTGGCTGACATTTCGCCTGCCATTATGCTTCCATCAACCTAAAGGAATTGATGCAGCCTGCCTTTTTCACCTCTTGTTGCTGAAGTCATGTTTGTGGTTATTTTTATTTTCAAGCAGCTCACTTGCACAGAACTGCGCTTGAAAATAATATGGAAAAATAATAATAAAATCTGCCCTTGCAGGTGCCGGAGACGGAAAAAGCAAAAGGGGAGGAAAGGAAGGGGCAGGCCTTTCAGAGGAGTAGCTTCAAATTCTGGCCTGACTCAAAGCCAGACGGGCACGTTCTTTTTTTTCTACTGCTCTGGCATATCAGGAAACTTGTATTACTTTTTTTTAAAAAAAAAGTAAACAAAGTACCTGTATGCGTGCCCACAAGCAACCTCAGGTTTCTGGAACTGCTGATGGGTGGGGAAGTGCCAACTGAAGGGCGGGGACAGCCACACGTAGCATGAGCCCATCTTCCGTGAGCCACACACTAGAAACACTGCAGAAACACTGGGACAGATTTTGGAGGCATAAAACTGAAAGTGCTCATGTGTGGAGGGAGGCGCCCCAATGTGCACATGTGAAGGATGCAGTCGCTGTCTCCTGCCATCAGAGCAGTAGAGAAGAGAGAGCCACTCAGCCCTGGCAGAGACGATGCCTCTGATCCCCTCCTCCCTGGCAGTATTCACAATTCATTTCCATCTCTCTGGCTAGAGAGGAGACCAAGATATGCAAGTGCCCAGGCAGATAGCCTGCCCAAAGTCAGCCCGGCCTCTCCTGGACTGGGTGCCCCTCCCTGCCTTCCAGGGGGCCCAGCTGATCTCCCTCAGTTGCACTGGGACAGGAATAAATGCCACAGTTGTGAAGGGGAGGGGAGGAAGGAAGGACGAAGGAACCATCACTGGTGTCTTACAGTGCTCAGAAAATGTGGGGCTTGCACTCTGACACATTAAGTCACGGAAAGCACCCCACTCTCTTGAGGTGATGGCTCAGACATGTTTAATTGAGCAGTTATGGAGAAGGGGGGGGCTGAATGCCTGATGTGACACCCCCCCCAAAAAAATGCTGCTGGGGGTGGGAGGAAGAAATACAATCTTCTCTCCATGGGACTTAGACCTGATCTAAGGGAGCAATTTTGATGAGGGAAGAGTTAAGCATCCCCACCACCTGCAAGCATACGATCAAAGTCAGAGCCTGCACACCAACACTTGCAGTCGTACTGGAATGAAAAGACCAAGAGATTCCCTCGTGGCTCTCCCATGAAATGTGCAGCTTCTCCCCCAACTGCTGACTCTCCAGAGAAAACTGTGCTCGCTGCGTCATGGTGGGCCACTGCCGAGCCCTCCTCTCAGTGTCAGCCTCATGGTGTGAGCACCAACCAGCCTTTGTCTGGTTTTGTGGGCCAGAATGATTGAGGGGCTGGTGGGCTGTGGGTGGCTAAGATCAGACTGTGCAAAAAGAGGCATCAGAATGCTTCACTTACCAAGAAGCATCTCAAGATCTTCCCAGCTGCCTCCATCCTTCTGTTCTGGAGTGAGACAAGGAGGGCTTGTGGTCCTGATGCTGATGGCTCCAAAGAGTGACTTGTTTAGGTTTACACTACCTTGGGCTCTGGCCCCTTGTCAAAAGGGGCTTCTTCCCAGCCTCAGCTCCTTCCTTCCTTGTCCAAAACTGGCAGGCAGGCACACACACAGGGAGGCCAAGTCAGGGCTCTGGCCTGTTCAGTTGTTTGCAGCACTAGCGCAGCGGTATCTGCAAGGAGAGCTTGCACTGCTCAAGGGGAAACAGGAGAGATTGTGGGACCTCCATCTACCTGGGACTGACTGAATCAGGCTATCTCACCACTGCTTCTCCATGGCTCCAGGAGGCTCCCTAAAAGTGGGGTGTTGTTGTACCCAAGAATGTTACAAAATCCTAATCTTTTCACAAAGGGATGCTCTGGAACCTGAGCTTTGCAAATGTGGAGCTGCTAGTTGCTAGCCATGAGTTCATACTTTGTTTTTATGAAACAAGATCTGCTTCGAACATTAGTTTCTGATTTTATTTTAAATTTTAGCAACTTATATCCTACTTATCTCTATCAATATTGGACCCAAAGCAGCTTACAAAAATGACACCAGCTTACACAGCCCTGGAAACTTAATTGGGATTTGAGAACAGCACCCACACCCAGACACCCCGGCGTACCCTCATTCTTTTCTTCTTAGTCTTCAGATATAGCAAATATTTGCGTGTCCCTTCATGGCCCATAGCAATCTTAAGTGTCCCATGAAATGTTATTTGATGCATCAGCAGGAACGGTGTTTATTTTCACATTTAGACATCCTTTGGCATTCGGAGCCTGAGTTCTCCATCCCCACCACAGAGGGTAGAGAAGGCTCTGAGGCAAGAGGAAGTCATGGGAAGGACAGGGTAGCTCCTGCTGTGCTCACTGAGTCAACCTCAAGTGAACTGGATGAAGTCCCCTGGCAAGTGAGGGGGCCACCTGAAGCCCAGGCAGAGGGCTGTTTTTTCAAAGAGTGAAAGGCTGGTTGAAATAGGCATCACTGCATGTGGTCTGTGTGCCCACCCCACTTTTGCCTCTGGTCAAACAGGTTGCACAGATTCTTTGATGGTTTCAAAAACCTGCCAGACCTGTTGGACCAAAGGCAGCAACAGGTCAAATAAATGTTTGGAAGCATGTGGAAACAGAATGATCTCTGGGGGTTTCCTCAAGTGATGCACGGAAGACTAACTAGGATGCAAGAGTTGGAAGAAAAAAGAGGTGACCTAGAAGCAACTTCCAGATTTTGACATGCAAGATTTTTGGCAAGATGGTTGAGGAGGGGTATGAAAAAGCAAGGGAAGACCAAGGGACCACCCCTAATCTGGCAGCAGGCAAAGTACTTGCAACAAGCAGAGTATGGAATCCCTCTCCAGTGAGGAACTCTGCATCAGGGAGGCTCAAGCGGAAGGGCTTGAACAGCTGCGTCCAACCACCCCCCACTCACCACCCCATGGACCTTGCTGAACTGCCTGGAGAGAAGCAAGTGCCAGTAGGAATTCCTCCTCCTTGTGAGAGCTCACCCGGGCACAAGGGCCCAGCATCCAGCCTGGATACAGGAGGCCTCCCTGGTGTGTGGAACTGGGTTATAACTGTGCCCCCCATTGCCAACTTTTTCATAAAAGGGCAGAGGCTGCTACAGGATCAGAGAGGATCTAAAGCCTGTGACAGGTCAGCATGGAAAGGAGAAGAACAGAAGCAAGTGACATTGGTGGAAAAATAAAAATGTATCTTGAAAGCTCATTCCTGGTTATCGTCAATCCTATCTCTATCACAGGCTCTCCTGTTAGCTTTCTAACACTTTCCTCCCTGTCCCCAGGAAATGCCAAGAACTCTCAAGAGAAACCTTCCAGAAGCCCCGGGACTATAGGGCTAGATCCTGGACCCTCAAAGACACCTTCCTCTGAGATGGAAGAACCAGGTGTCTCCCACCCACATCACCAGTCGGGAAGTGCCGGGAAGAAAGCTATGGAACAAAGGAAGGAGGGCCTGTCTTCAGCCCCAGGGTTGGCCCTTCCAGGCTCTGGAGCTTATACATTTATTCATTTTATAAAATTTATATCCTGCCTGCCTGATTTATTTATTTTTTTACAAACTGGTCCAGCAAACTTTGACCAGCCTCCAGTCTTGCTTGCCCGCCCCGCCCCCCGCCCCCGTGCTCCAGCATCGGAGAACACAACACCTGGTGCGAGTCTGTGTCCAGAGAATCCAAACAGACACAGATGTATTGCAGGGCTTGACTGGTGACAACAGATTTCGTGGTGTGCTCTGGGTGGAACAATACCCTGCAGACAATGGGAGCTTAGCCCAAAGGTATAACCATGTCCGTTCATCATCAATGTACGCAAGCTCACAGCAACAAAACATTACAGACTGAGAGATGGACACAAAGGGCCAGACAAGACCAGCCCCTGGGGCAGGTCCAGAGGTCATCACTGCCCTCCAGGAAAGTGACTCTGGTCGTTTAGGTGTTATTTCAAATCACCTAAACATCACAGTTTCAGCTGAGTGAAAAAAGAGAGGAGGTGGTGAAGGCTCCTGGTAACCTAGGAATCTTCTATTACAAGGCAGACCTAATAGAAAAAAAACAGTTCCCAACTGAAACCACAGCCCATGCTGGGCAATGAGGCCCCCCCCCCCCGACAGGTCTTGGGAGGCAATGCTCTTCCACGTTCTACGTCCCTACGTTCTCAAACAAATGCAAATCTAACACCAGGAATGGCAATATTCAAAAGCCAGTGATGGACTTCAAAGGGCGACTCTGCAACGTGAAACCGCTGAATTACAATTCTTCAAGAATTTATCACTGGTGGACAGTATCAGCAGTATGGAATCTTATCACACAACGTACGTTAATTGGCTCACCAGTGCCAGGACGTCAGTGTTTTCAACGCAGCAGACTTCTGTGAATGAACCCTGTTCATACGGTAATTACCACTATCTGTACTTTCTGTGTTTCATTTCTTTCTGACTTCACTGTTAACAATCCCCACCAACCATGCGTATACTCAAACACGCAGACATGCACCACTCAGGACACCACTTCAAGCATCTCTAGCTCCCAAAAGCTTCTGCCGTGACAAATGTGTTTGGAGAGGGTAACAACGTTCAGATTTTGGGGCATTGAATTACAAGAGGATCTGTCCCGGAGTGTCAACACAAGGGGGCTTGTGAAGAAGGCGCAGCAGAGACTGTACTTTTTGAGAATACTAAGGAAAAACCATCTTCCGCAGAAACTGCTGCTTGCCTTCTATCACTGTGCCATTGAGAGCGTGCTCACTTATGGCTTATGTGTGTGGTACGGAAGCTGTACTACCCAGGACAGGATGGGGTTGTGCAGGGTTGTTAAGGCAGCAGAGAGCATTGTTGGCTGCCCACTCTCCACCTTAGAGCAGATTTATGCCACAAGGTGCCATAGGAAGGCACTGGACATAGTAAAAGATCCATCACATCCTGGTCACTGTCTCTTCGAGCTCTTGCCGTCGGGACGGAGATACAGGACGATGAAGACAAGAACGAGCCGTCTTAAGAACAGCTTCTTCTCCAGAGCGATCTCGGCCCTGAATGGGAAGCCCGGACTTTGAAAGTCATCTAATCTCCCTTGCTGTATTATACTGTATTGATTAATTAGTGTTTTTATGGAGCAGTCAAATAATTTCGTTGTCCCCGAAGGGGGCAATGACAATAAATATATTATTATTATTATTATTTCAGATGCCACAAAGAGCACTTTCCGGGGGGCGGGGCTACTGGGCAGATAAGCACCATTGCTGCTTGGGTGCCTCAGAGAAGCTCCAAAGCAGAAAATGCATCAAGGTGATGCTCACCCCCTTGTATCTGTAGCTCCCACATACCTGGTACTCAGAGGTGCACTGTCTCTGCAGCTTGTGTCCCCACCCCCACCATGAGCAACTTGACTACCAGTTGATTTCTTTTTATCTCCACTGCCAGCACTGTCAGGGGCTGGCACCAGCATATGTGATTTCTAAGCAGACGTTCCCATTTTTCACAGTTAGGGACTGCAAATTCCAAGTTAGGCAAGTCCATTAAGCCAGTCTTGCCTACACTGACTGCCAGCAGCAGCAGCTCCTCAGTTTTAGCCAGAGATGGGTGCTTCTCAGCCCTATCTGACATCCAGGAATCAGACAGGAACACTGTCCCTGCAAGGCGGGTTCTCTACTTGGGGCTCATCTACATCCCTTTATTTTTATAAACTGCCTGCCCTACTAGGCACAAGATATTGCTCAGACCCCTCTCCTCCATCACAGACTTGACACTAAACCCCAAAGAGCCCCCATCCCGACTGTCCCTATTTCCACAGCAGGACTGGCCAATTTCCTCCCCACCCCACCCCTTTTGCAAAGAGCCCTTGCATTGCTCTAGCAGGCAGATGGTGCAGCTGACCAGCATGTCCCCCAGAGCTAGCCTCAGCCCCACTGCCCATCTTCTTGACCTAGCCCTGCCTTGGTTCTTCCCAACACCCTAGGGCTTCTCTTCACCCTCCTCTTCTGGCCGATCCAGAATCTCAAGAAGGGGAAAGACCCTTCGCTTCTGCTGCTGACTCAAAGCCCAACCTTTGCAGGTTTCCTTGGGAGGAATTCCCATTGAGCACCAGCTGGGGACTTCCATCTATTTCAGCTAGAGGGACTGTGATGCCATCCGCCTGCAAAAGTTTCAGATTGCTGCTTCAATCAAATGCGGGGCAGGAGGGGGAGTGTGGATCTCTGCCCACCCTCAGTTCACTAGCCTTTCTGGCAGGAAGGTTTGGGAACAACAACATGCTTCACACCTGCCAGGCTGGTTTCTAAACTATTTCCCAAAACTTGGAACAGAGAGGAAAGTGGGGGTAGAGAGATGCTTGCCATGCCCTCAAGGTCTGCTGGAGGCTAGAGGTTTCCCAGGATGGGATGGGACACCAGTGGCTCCTCATCACTACTTCAAGAATAAAATTGACCTTGGCCTCTCCAACACCTGGGATGAGGGGGGCAGTTCATCACTCCATCCCCTTTCAGAGAGCAGGGATGTCCCCGTCCTCTGCTCCTGCAGGACACCTGGTCTTCCAGGGGGTAGCCTAGGGGCTGGAAGCATCTTTTGCCACACAAAGAGCCATCCCTCACAAAGTGCTCCTGGAAACTGGCATCACTGACTGCTCAGAGCTCCCTGGTGATGAGGCACAACCTCTCAAGCTGAGTCCTGACACACAAGACCCAGAAACGACTCTCTGCATTTCCCTTACAAATAGAGCAGTGCAAATGTTAAGTTGCATGGTGGTCAATTGCGGCATGCTCACTGTCCTTGGGCTGCTTTGCCTGGCCCAGGAGTCTTCCCTACCTAACAGGCCCCTGAAGAAGGGGCAGCAAAGCCCAGCTCCAGCCACAGATCCACCTGTGGAAGCCTAAAGCGGAGAGCAGGTGATTTGCAGGAAGGCGTCCTGCACAGCCAGCAGGGCGCTGAAATGGCTTGTGCAAGGAAGCCAAGCCGCACAGGAAGACCAGCCCCTTCCCTTTGGAACTCTCGCCACCTTGACTCAGCCCTGTGGTCCAGATGCTGAGCAAGCGTCCCCATGCCACAGGCCCCTGTCCAAGGGAGGTCCCCCTCCTGCTCTGTGGATCAGCCAAAGCAGGAGAGGTTCTGCCAGGCCAGGGGCATGGCACGTTCCTCCTTCCCTCCCACTCCCTCCATTCTGGGAAGCCAGCATGTGTAGGGATGGCCAAGAGCCTGCGGAGATGCTGACTGGGCTCACCTGTGATGAGAACGGCTCTCCCCACCGCAGGGATCCTCTTCCTCTGTGTGGCCCCTGCCAAGACAAGCCAGCAGGCGGTGCCCGTGAGAGCTGTGCCCAGGGGCAGGGGCAGGAAGGCTCGGCTGACGCCCTGCAGCAGGACCAGTAGCCCCACCTGGAGCAGCAGGCCGGGGGTCAGCAACAGGTCAGCGCGCAGGAGTTTGACGGCCAGGCTGGAGAGGAAAAGCAGCCACAGCAGGGAGCTGCACGCCCAGCCCAGCTCCATAGCCTAGGAGGGAGGGCGGGCGGGAGGAGAGCCTGGAGCTTGCGCGAGGGGCGGAAGCAGGGGGAACCCCGGGCTTGCAAGGCAGAGGGACAGCCGGGGGAGGCCTCTGTGCAGGAGGGCCCACGGGGTGCATCTGCTGGACTGGGAGATCGAAAGCGGCACCAGGTTTATAAAAGAGCAGCAGGCAAGGGAAAGGGGAGGAGCTGCCCGAGCCCTGCCAATGGGAGAAGTTGCAGGCTCCCCTCTCTCTCGCCCTCTTTCTCCCTCTCCCTCGCAGGCAGGCAGAGGCGCACATGGTGGCCCCAGGATAGAAGCAAGGGGGCCGGGAGCCGGCCGGTTCCTCCCCCCTCCCCCGCCTGGCTCCTGCCTACCATCCTTCCCACCCTCCCTCCCTCCCTTTCTCCAGCTGGAGCCTTTTTGCCCCCGTGGGGCAGCAGCCACGGCCTTGCCTGAGGAGGCTGGCCCCGAGGCCTGAGCCAGGGCTGGAGAGCTGCAGGGAGGCCCCTCCGGAGAGCGAGGCGCCCTGGCCTTCCCGCCGAAGGAGACAGAGAGAGAGGGAGCCAGCTGGGCGTCGGTAGGCTTGTCCCCTGACAAGGGGTGCTGGGCAGGAGCAGGGCCCCACAATCAGCTGGTGCTGCCCTCCAGCAAGCCAGGAGGAGCTCCTCCCCCTCCGCCTACACATATTTGTGTTCTTACCAGCCAGTGTTCAAACAAGCAAAAAACACCCAGCAACTTGCAAATGCAAAGTCCAGCGGCAAAGTCCTTCCCTCTGCCCCGCCAGGAAGGTCCCAAGCCCGCCTGCCAGGGGCTTGGCTTCTTGCCTCCCTTGTGGGCAAGGAGGCCGCGGGACACAAGAGCCTCCACCTCGGCACTCCGGCAGAGGAGCCCCCCAGCCAAGCGTCCCTGCTGGGGCCCGCCGAACAGCCTGGGCTCCTCAGCCACAGGTGCTCCTGGGCCCTTCCCTGAGACCTTCAAGAGGACCCCAGAGCCCCCTCGTCCTATTCCCCTTACAGGGCATCACTGGGGCAACAGGGAGGCAAGGAGGGAGGGGGCTTGCCCTTGGAAATAACTTCGCCTTCGCCGCCTCCGGGGCTTCCTCCTGGCGAGCAGGTGGCAGGAGCGGGAGGGAGCTTTCCAGGCGCTGTTCCCGGAACGGCCACCAGGTCGCGCAGCCTTCCCCTCGTCAAGCCCGAAGCCGCACTTCCCCCGGAGGCTGCTGCTGCTGCTGCCTGCGGGGAGTCCTCAACACAGCAGGTGGCTGCGAGTTCAAGTCTCGTCTTTTAGGCTGGCAGAAAGGTTATCAAAGGACATCCCTACCTGAATCCAATGGGAACTATGGAGCCAGGGTTTAATGAGGCAGGAGGTGGCTGGGGGCGGGGTTGCTGGCTTTTAAAGGGGGTCCCCACTGGTCTCCCAGCCCTGCAGTTCAGAGTGAGTGGAACAAGCTGGAGACCTGGGAAGTCAGAGAAATGAGGGCCCCTCTTCAGTGCAGAGATAGGCCAGAGCAGTCTATGGGAATTGGGACTGCGGGACAGTCGCTTGACACCAAGGGAGCTGCACAAGGTGCCTATAAGCTCCTCGTTTAAGATTTTTCTTTTGGGTCTCTTGTGCCCAAATGGTTAAAGGGCCTTGTAAATTAAGGCAAGAACCTTGAGTTTGGCCAAGTAGCTTCTGGGCAGCCGGTGCAAGTTTTGGAGAAAGTTCTGTGCTGGCCATATCAACATTCTAGTTGCAGTGTTTTGAACCAGATGGAGCCTTCGGACCAGGCCTGAGGGCAGCCCCAGATAGAGCACATTGTAATAACTGAGTCTTGAGGTTTCTGGTGCATGCATCAGGCTACAGACAATACCCTTGATCTGAACCACTGGAGGTCGTTAGGCAGGGGTATTAAAATGACCCCATTGTCATGGGATGTGTTTACCAGAGGTCATTGCTCTGTCTAGCTAGGTGGCCATTCTAGCAGCACAGGGGACAGACTCCCTGGGATGCTGCAGAGGTCCTTGCCCCAAGATGGCCCATGACTCCAAAGTTTTACAATCTGCTCAGTTTCCCAAATGCATGGCACAACCTTCCTTGCTTGAATTAGAAAGCCTTAGAAGGACGGGCAAGTCCTTTTGCAGTCTGCTTCTAGGCAAACAGGCAAAACTGTCCTGAAATGTGACATTCTTCTTCCAAAGAATGTTGTTTGGCCATCTCAGGTGGTGCACACACTGTACGTTTAAGGCACATGGTTTCCTCCAAAGAATCATGGGAACTGTAGTTTACCCCTCACAGGGTTCCCAGTACCTTTGACAAGTGATAGGTCCCAGGTTTCTTGGGGGGGAGTTGTATGGTTTAAATGTATGACGTGTCTGCAGCCTCATACCCTGATATTACAAGTCCTGCTTATTTAGGAGCGAGGGGGCCAACTAACCATCTTTCAGGTTGGGAGGGAGCACCACATCCTGGGTACCAGTAGAGTGATGGCCCTAAGGACCTGCAAGGCAGAACATTTGGGTAGCCTGTGTGGAATGTTCCTTCTAAGGCTAACTCAGGAGACTTTGCTGTGATGCAAGGCCTGGCAAGTTTTCAGATTGCTCCCAGGCTGCATCTCCCAGGACAGGTTTATTCAGCTATGTTCAAAGCAAGAGGAAAAACAAGCAAGTAGTAGGTCCTCTACTTACTGGGAGAGAGTGATGCTCAGGTCTCTTCCTGACCTGTAGGCCAGGACAAACTTAGACAGGATTGTTAATATTGAGTCTCCAGCTTCTGAAGCACGGTGGGCACAGCAGAGTGGGCAAGGGCTTTGATGTAACTAGCCCTTCTCCTCACCCCTGTATACCTTTGGCCACCTCTATAGCTTCCCCTATCTACCACCCCAGAGACGGCAGTCCCACTCCTGTCCCTGTCCCAGACACAGACATCCCTGACCACCTCAAAGACCAAGGACACGCATAGCAGAGGGCCGTATCTGGGGGAGCAATCACGAAGAAGAAACCTACAACACAAAAGTTGGACATGACTCATACCCCAGTTCATACTTAGGACAAAACCTCCACACTCCCTCCTGCTTCATACCCAGAAAAGTTCCCTGCAGGGTTGGACTCTCAGTCCAGGGACATGAAGGTGCTTTCACTTCCACCCATCCAGACTGATTTTCCTTTGCAAATATTGATAGTCAACAGTCTTCAAATCATACATGCATGTTTGTTATTCTTCAATATCCTCCTTGCCATCTTAATTGGAGCTTTCAGCAGAAAGGTAACAGCTAAAAGAAGGAGGACAACAAAGCAGTCAAGACCAACTTAAACAGGACAACCTTTTATTCTCAGCCATTGCTAACCATCTAGTAGAACCGATGGAGTCACAAAATGATCAAGTCAATGGAGCAAGTAGCGAATATTTCAGAGATATCTGTTAGGAGATTCCTGCACTGCAGGGGATTGAACTAGATGACCCTCATGGTCCCTTCCAAATCTATAATTCTATGATTCTAAGAAAGTAAGGTCCAATAAATTCCGCAACTGCCTCACTGGCAATTTCATTTCCCAGAAGGTGGAAGAAGCAACTAGTGGGTCATATCTCTTCGTCCTGGTCCTCACCAACAGGAACTGATGGATGAAGTGGAACTACTCGGAAACCTGGGAGGAAGTGATCATGCCCTGTTGGGTTTCATTATACACAGGTGAGGCAATTGCATTCTGGCGAATTTCAAGAAGCATAAGGAGCTACTGGGTGAGATTCCATGGTCAGCAATATTCCAAGAGAAGGGAGTCCAACATGGATGGGAGTTTCTTAAAGGTGAAATATTGAAGGCCCAAATGCAGACAATTCCAACAAGAAAGAAAAGTGGGAATTACCTTTTAAAAAGTGTGGCTGTGTAAGCACTTTCAGATGAGCTGAGAAGTAAGAAGGACATGTATAAGAAAACGAAGAAAGGAGCGATCACGAAGGAAGAGAATACACGAGTAGCCAATAGTTGCAGAGAGAAGGTCAGGATGGCTAAAGCTCAAAATGAGCTTAAGAGGTTAAAATAATAAAACAGGTTTATTCAGTTATGTTCAAAGCAAGAGGAAAAACAGGCAAGTATTAGATCCTCTACGTGGAGAAGATGGAGAATTGCTACTGGGTGACAAAGAGAAGGCAGAACTGCTCAACACCTATGTCACTCAGAAGGAAAGCAGTGCCCAACCTGGTGATAACAAAAGAAGCAATGCAAGGTGGGAGCTGCAGCCCGAGATAGAAAAAGAGGTGGTCAGGGAGCACATAGCTACTATGAATTCAAATCTCCAGGGCCTAATGAGCTGCATCCAAAGGTACCAAAGAAGCTTGCAGATGTAATCTCAGAGCCTCTGCCTATAATCTATGAGGATTTTGGAGAACTGATGATGTTCCTGCAGACTGGAAGTAGGTGAATCTTGCCCCCATCTTCAAAAAGGGAGGACAGAAGAACCAGTCAGCTTGACATCAATACCAGGAAAGGTCCTAGAACAGATGATTAAACAGTTGGTATGTGAGTATTTAGAAAAGGATGCTGTGATTACTATGACCCAACGTGGGTTTCTCAAAAACAAGTCATGCCAGACAAATCTCATTTCTTTTTGTGATACTGTTACAATCATGGTGGATCAGGGGAATGCTGTGGACGTAGTGTGCAACTTAGATGCTTTAGTTAAGATTCTTGCATTGCAGGGGTTTAGACCGGATGACCCTTGGGATCCTTTCCAACTCTACACTTCTATGATTCTATGAACTTGAACTTTTTATTTTCTGCAAACAAATCAAAGCGGCTAATAATACAAACATGCAAATTGCATGTGTGTGAGCATGTGACTGCAACCCCCAATCCCCACTCCTTGGGTCTCATCCCTTTGGTCTGAAAATGTTGCCACAGGTATTCTATCTGCCACTCTCTGCTTCCTAATCTGTGGTCCATCCACAACAGACCTTGGAGGAAGTTACTTGCTTAGTAAACTGGATGTTTCCCCTTGTACTGTGGTGTACGGATCTGGTATGTCTCTCTGTGTGTGTCTGCGTATTTTGCAAAAAAATGTAGACAATGGAGGAGGAGGAGGAGGATGTTCATTATTGAAATTGTATGATCCCATATGTGGCTTTCTTTTTGGGAAAGGGTACCCTGCTTGCTCCTTTGATCCTGGATGGAGCACATGCTTTTTCACAGTGAAGCACAGAGGAACTCAGTTGTCCAGATAGATAATACTGAACTTGTCAAATCTCTGAAGATCACATCAAAGAGGGAAAAGGCTTGTTCTCTGTTGTTGTTGCTGCTGTTTCTCCAGAGGGAAAGCAGGGTCTAGATCCCACGACCTGAAGGGGTGCGTGATAGGTGTGGCCTGC